ATACCGTTTCGGTAATGGGCATGTCCGAGGATTCGGCCACGGGAACTCCCTTGCGCGCTAGCGTCTGAATTATTGACCAGTGGTTCATGCTTTGGTAGTTGGGATCTGAGTACAGATTGGACAGCGTCTGGCAGTAGAGCGTGGCGTTGCCCAGCTCCACGATAATCTGTGGCTTGAGGCGCTCCTGGTTCTCATGGTCGCGGTAGAAGGGCTCCTTCAGGTTGTCCGGCACGCGATTGTTGAAGGCCTTCGAGAGCAGCCACTTGACGGAAGCACGTTGACGAGCCTGCAATGGAGCGGTGGGAAAACAATTTTGCATCAGTACAGATTGCGATAATGTGAGAACATTCTGCATCGAGGGGGTCGCACCCATTCCCATCCCAAGGTCAAGTTGAGCCTGCGTAATCAATGCTCTATAACTGCATCCTCTGCGGATTGAATGACGGTCTTTTTCTTGGTAATTAACTAGTGCACTGCTAAGTGCTTTTGTATCTGTATCCCCTCCTTTTGCTGCATTCGTATCTGTGCGCGAGTGAAGCCATGCGTACAATCTTCAATATGAGTTCGATAAACTCGCTCGTGTTTGGCTTGGCGTGCGCCGCCAGCCGCCTCCCATTGTTCCCCCCGAACTCTTTTGATTTTTGGGGCAAGGAAGGGAGCGGCTGGGAAGTGAAGGGGTTGCTGCTCGGTGGACGATGGTCACTCAGCATGAAAGACTACACTAGCGGGGCAGTCGTACAGCCTGCTTTTCCCTGCTCCGTTTTTAGAATCATCTCGAGTGCTGCCATGTTTCGCCAGCCAAACCATTTCTTGTTGCACTCATAATCACAATTCTGCTCTATTCCGAATTGCCTCTTCTTGGTCTAATTGAAACTGCGGGAAAAGCAATCAACATAAATTCTCAAGAGGGAAACTGTCGCCGTTGCAGACGCGGAAATTGGTTTTATCGGACGGATCCAATACAAAATATGTTCCAATTTGTGGTATCTCTACTCGAAATAAATAAAACATGTGTTCGTGCCTGATAAAAAAGTGTAAATAGATATAGCTTTGCTTTTTTTGAAAGGGAAGCCTCTATTTCCTATCTTAAAGTTCCCATTTAATGTTAGAGGGATTACAATAATAAAGAAAGTAAACATAAACAGCCGACACCGGCCAACACTTGAAGACTATTTTTAATAGAAGATAAAACTCATAAAACTTTAATATCCATTAATTCTGTTTTGCTTTCGGCATGCTTTCCGTATTTGCTGCAAGACTTCTGTGGTGTCTTTATTATTGGCTTTCATTCCATACATTTCAAACGGGTTTTCTTAAAAAATCGTTGCATGAAGTCATCAATAACTGTGTCAGAGAACCTCATCGAAGTGGTTCAATTCTTTTGTATAACCATGGCCAGTCGGCAAATGGTTGCTCTCGGGCGTTGTTTGGATTAAAAGCTTATTACAAAATGCCAGAAATAATTCGAGCAAGAGGGGGAGGGAAAACTGCATTGCGGAGGAAACAATATTGGCGTAGGTCGTAGACCGAGCAACTATGCGAATTGGTCAACAGGTGGAGGGAAAACCTGTTTGCCCAGCCAAGCGCTTTCCACCAAAAGCAAGAAATTGTCCGCAACATAATTTGAATGGCCAACGAAACGGAAAAACGATGGCTGCACTTTGCATCAACTGGCGGGGAAAAATGTCCAAAACTCAAATTTCAGAAGACCATGTAAACAATTCGGAGAAAAACAATAAATGTGCTGGTTTGAACGCCCACTATGAATAAACGAGCGATGGATGGAGGGCATATTTTTATTCGAACATATTTATGCAGAGAGAAAAACGCATGATCTAATTTAAAGAATGAAATCGTCTCAAGAAGACTTAACTATTAAAATGTACATATATGTTAGAGTGTGTCTTAAAGGTTTTCTGTGGTGGAATAAAAAAGGACACATTGTTGTTAAATTGTAGTAATACAAAAATAACACCAAAAGTCACGCAAAAGACATGTCAAGGGATTTTTTTTATTTAAAGTTTTAAGCACATTTGAATTCTGTGAGAAATAATATTACTACAAGTTTAAATAAAGTCAAAGAACAAGCTTAAAAACCAATTGTTCTCGATTTTGAGATATAATTCTCTACTTTTCCTATAAGATTTTTTTTTTTTGAAGAACTCATTTCTTTGTTTGTAATAAACTTTCCGTTCTATTGTGACCTAAAATAAGATATTTCTTGATCTGTTCGTTTAGGATTTAAAAATTTCAGACGCATGCTAGGTATTATTTTAATAATAATAATATTTTATATATTTCGTATAAAAAGTTTCAGATCTGAGCAACTGAATTTTATTCGAAATTAGTAAATGAATTAATAAAAAGAATTAACTGATGATTTAACTTTAAAAACAATCTGCTCGCAGTTTGGAGAAACTTTTTTACTGTGTGGCCACACATCGCCTGCATATGTTTGTAATAAACATTCAATTGCTGGTGGTTTTCAAATGTCACAAATTGAAATTGGCGCGGCTTTATGATTTCATTATCTAGCCGACTGTAGTTTGTTTTTGGCATTCCAGAGAACGGGCAACGATAGCTGCGGCTAAATATAACAAATATAACAGAGAGTGCCGGCGAAGGAAAGCGGCCAAGAGAGTCCGGCCGCTTGAGTCAGCAACTTGGGATGTTTGAATGGTTTAGCTTTGGGTTTTGCTGCCCAAGAACGACTCAACTTTCTAGGGAGTTGTCTAGAGGAAAAGTCGGTGTACGGTGTACACGCAAGGCCCCAAACCGCCGAGCAAAGTGTTAGCGTTTCTCCCTTTTCGCCTGGCTTTCGCATGCGTAAGCCGTTTTTTTTTATTTAGCGATTAGGTCATGCAACAGCAGCTACTTCGAAGCGAGAAAAGCGATAACATATGCCTAATCGAAGGGGTAAAGCACATTTTCCGGCTCTGTTTTATGAATGGAAGCTGCAGATATTATTTTCCGCACCGAACAGCACACCCCACACAATACACAACTACCGGTTGAAGTTGTTTGCATTGGCCATCGAAACCAGTCGAATGGTAAGTAGGTGTCGGTCGCATACTAAGCTATAAGCTACAAGCTATATTGTCGAGCGGCATTACCTCAGCGCACCATTTTGGCCAAGAGAGTAGGTGTTAGCCCGCTTCGCCTCTGTTGGAATGTTAATGAGTGTTTTACTTCGAGAGTGTTAGAGCCTACTTATGAGTAACTTTGGACCTGAGAAACCGAACCTTACCTGTCGTATTTCCTGTGTTTCGACATCCATGCTGACGGATTTTCCTGCGACGGACTCCGGCTCTCCGACGCCCGCCACTTGCTTTCCGCACTTTTTGCACTTTTCGCACTCTTTGTTTGCACCACAACACACCGCTTTTCCTTTTTAGGTGTGTGTTCGCTGTGCGCGCGTGTGTGTGTGGAGTTTTCTTCGGCTTAAGGGGTTTTCACTTGGAGCCTGAACACAGGGAAAAAACACGATTGGCACTTTGGCAAACAACTTGGAAATCGAAAACAGAAGAACTAATTGCGCACACGCATTGCCGTTGTTTTTCGGGGAGCAAGGGGGCAGTAGGGGGGAAAGCAAGGCTGGCCGAAAGAAAATGTGAATCATTCACAGAGGGCGACGATGGGCGGTGGGCGGGGGTTGGGCTGCAGTGTGACAATAACAGAGAACACTTTACAGTTGTCTGCTCGCTTTTCCCGAGATGCTGCACCATCAGCTGTTGCGATTTGGTTGTCTGGGCGACGCACTTACGCACTTTTCACCCCGTTATACCCGCCAACCGCCCATCTGTGGCATAATTAATGTTTCCCCATTCCGTAATGCCGATTTTCTTTTTGGGGAACCGCCGACTTTAGTAAATGAAAACATTTTCCTTCGTCTTGCACTGTTGTTGTCCGCCACCCGCTGTTTGCCTCTCTTTCGTGCGCACTGTAAAACTAATGCCACTGCGCGACACTGTTAGTGCTGTGCTCTTCGCTCTCACGGCGAAAGAGTGCTGACCGAAAAAGCTGTGTATGTGCGCGCATGTGTGTGTGAGTGAGTGGGGCCTACGCACATTTGGGATGTTTTTCGCACTGATTTACCGCACCGACGCCTTTCGCATGCATTTTACTCGGTTCGCGGTCCTCCGCGGCACATTTTTCAACAGCTTTAATACTACAAATTGGCCTTAAATTGAGGAAATCACCGACACCGAACTGCTCTAAAATCTTACAATTTTTCATGTGATGGAGATGGAACTAAAATCGATGTTTATTCGATGCAATGATGGTGCTTGCCAATCGATGTTTTTCCTCCACCATCGGTTATTTTCAACAAACTTCGGTCAATCTTTTGAAAAAATCATCACTATCAATAACAAAATAAAGGTCGCGTGCCAGCAAAACCATGATACAATAACATAAGGTAGTCTTGTTATGTCTATGTTATTGTATCATGAGCAAAACCAGACGATCATTATGATAGATATATGTATTAAAATCAGCGAATACAGTCATAGATTAAATTTAAGTGTTGGCAAGAAACATATACCATAAATCCTAGAGCTTCTATGGAATAAAGACGTTCGATCGGCAACGTTAATAATAATACATAGGTCTTGTAAATAATACAGTAAAAGTAACTAAACCGATTTGTCCACTTATTTTGATCAAGAACATACATACTTTGAATGGTCAAAAGGTCTTAAGTTTGGAAGTAGCTTCTATACTAAGCTATGGTATGTTTTAATAAAACATTGAATATAACCATTCGCGTCAACAACGGCTTCCTTTTAACACAAAAAATTCTCATTACTGTCCTGTATTTAATAGAATAAAATAAAATATGCAAATACTATTCAGTTAATAGCAAAAGCAAAGAGCTTTCCAAAAAACTGTCAATAATATTAATTCCTCAACCGCGTTGCCAACTCAGTTGGCCAGTTGGCAACACTCACCAATCCCACAAAACGCTACATACCTTGTTCGCCGTGAATGGTAAATGCGGCATCTCACTCTTCCTTTTTCACTTTGTGCGTGTGTGTTTGATGACGGAAAATTGCAAATAGATCGCTGAAAATGGCTAAAAAGAAAAGCGAGGAGCACTCCGGTGCGGATGCGAATGACAGCGACTACACGGAGGAGCCGAACTTCGAGGATCCGCCCGGCTTTGTGGATCAAATTACCGATGATGGTGAATTTCCCCGACTGCCAGCGCAGCACACGCGGCGATCTAACCTCAATCCGTGCGCGGTGTGCGAAAGTTTGCATATTTTATTAATCATATACATGATGCTCTTGCAGTTCTATTGGGCGACATGTTGGCCCAGCGCCCCTCGGAGGCGGACGGCGTTGAGAGCGTGGTCGTGGTGGACAACATCCCGAAGGTGGAGCCTGTGCGCCTGGAGAAGCTCAAGTCCGTGATCAACAAGCTCTTCTCGCACTGCGGCGACATCGTCAATGTGGTCTATCCCGTTGACGAGGAGGGCAAGACCAAGGGCTATGCCTTCATGGAATACAAGCAGGCCGGTCAGGCGGAGGAGGCGGTCAAGAAGTTGAACAACCATCGCCTGGACAAGAACCACACCTTTGCCGTTAATCTGTTTACTGATTTCCAAAAGTAAGTTCCCTATTTAAGACAATAAAAAGCAATGGAATCACCGGAATTCTAATCTTTGCAGGTACGAGAACATCCCTGAGAAGTGGGATCCGCCCACGGTGCAGACCTTTAAGGTGCAAAGCGACCTGTACAACTTCATCAACGATCCCGATACCTATGACCAGTACTGCGTGGCCGCCGAGACTTCTCAAAACTGCGTACAGGTGGGCTTCTGGCAGAACGTTCTGCCCGAACCCTTTGAGCTGGAGACTCGCGAGCGCTTTACCGATACCTTCGTCAAGTGGTCACCCCTGGGAACCTATGTGGTGACATTCCACAAGCCCGGCGTGGCTATCTGGGGAGGTAGCAGCTTCCAAAAGATCCAGAAGTTCCCCCATCCTGCCACCCAGTTTGTGGAGTTCTCGCCCTGCGAGAATTACCTCGTGACCTACGGACCCACGCCCACTGGGCAGAAGATCATCATCTGGGACATCCGCACCGGAGCCGAGAAGCGTTCGTTCGTGGCCGACGGCATGTCGGTGCTGTCCATGTTCCGCTGGTCGCACGACGACAAGTTTGTTGCGCGCATGGGTGAGAACTCGATCCACGTCTACGAGACGCCCTCTTTCTATCTGCTCGACCTGAAGTCGATCAAGATTCCGGGCATCCGGGGCTTCTCTTGGTCGCCCACGGACAATGTGATCGCCTACTGGGTGGAGGAACAGAACCAGATCCCCGCTCGCGTCACACTGATGGAGATCCCCAAGAAGCGCGAGACCCGCAACAAGAACCTCTTCCATGTGGCCGACTGCAAGCTACACTGGCAAAAGTCCGGCGACTACCTATGCGTCAAGGTGGATCGTTACTCAAAGTTGAAGAAGGACAAGAAGGACCTCGACGTTAAGTTCCTGGGCATGTTCTACAACTTTGAGATTTTCCACATGCGTGAGAAGGAGATTCCCGTCGACTCTGTGGAGATTCGCGAGCTGATTCTGGCCTTCGCCTGGGAGCCCATCGGCAACAAGTTCTCAATTATCCACGGCGAGCCCAACTCCTCCAACGTGAGCTTCTACGAGGTGAACAAGGGCGTGAAGCCTAGCTTGGTGAAGCGTTTGGAGAAGAAGTCCTGCACGCATTTGTTCTGGTCACCACGCGGCCAGTTCATCGTGATGGCAAACCTTACCATGGGCACCTTTGAGTTTGTGGACTCCACCAACGATTACATCATCAGTGCGTCTCCGGATCACTTCCGCGCCTCCGAGGTCGAGTGGGATCCCACCGGACGCTACGTTGTGACTGGAGTCTCCTCCTGGAAGGTGAAGGAGGACACCGGCTTCAACATGTACACGTTCCAGGGCCGCATCATCAAGCGCACTATCCTCAAGAACTTTGTGCAGTTCTTGTGGCGCCCGCGTCCTCCCACTCTCCTAGGCGAAGAGAAGCAGAAGGAGATCAAGAAGAACCTTAAGAAGTACTACGCCGCCTTCGAGCAGAAGGATCGCCTTCGTCTCACCCGTGCCTCCAAGGAGCTGCTGGAGAAGCGCTCCCAGCTGCGCGAGACCTTCATGGAGTACCGCAACAAGCGCATCGCCGAATGGGCGGATCAGAAGAGTCGTCGCGTCATGCTGCGAGGGCGTAAGTATTTTCAAAATTGTTGTAGCACTACTATATATTTGGCAAGGATTTTAAAATTAGCATTTTGAAAGACGTAGGTCGAACACTTTCTGTTTGACATATCGAAATGCAGTATTTAATTACCATGTAACTTTCAAAATTTATTTAGGCATTTGTGATTCATATATTAAACTTGGTTTTCTAATCTATCAACAGATGTGGACACAGATAACTTGGAAACTGATGAAGTGGATGAAGAGATTGTTGAATTTTTAGTCAAGGAAGAAGTCACCCTGCTGGAGTAGACGACCCCCTCAGCGCCACACACCCGCTGTCGTCCCCTGCCTACTTCGAAGCGATCCTGTCGCCTCTCATTTCGTGTCCGGGACGCGTCTACGCCCTGGTTGAGGCCAGGGCCCCACCCCATTATCCAATCCAGTAGCGCGTCTGCTTGCAAACAACTCTGAGCGGAACCTTTGCCTATACATACAATATACAAACTATAAGCACTAAAGTAAACTTCAACAAAATCAGCACTTGCTAATACAACATATAATTAAATGACCTTTATTGAGCACACCCCTCCTTCCAGTATGCCTAAAAGTAGATTTGCGATGTATTTGTATGTAAACAGCAAAAAGAAAACGAAAACAAAATATGTTTGGGGTTTGTTTTTATTTTCCCAAGGCGATAAACGATAGGTGAGCATGTGAAAAACTAGTCGGTTACCATTAGCAACCCGAAAAGGCCAAAGCAAGCTTGATGTTTTCTGTATCTACTTGAGGTGTTGTCCTGAAATAGTAATTATGGACGCTGCTTCACCCAAGAGGACCGTAAAAAAGAAGCGCAAGACCCATACCACCAGGCGCTATCGAAAAAGGGAGCAGGAGGTGCAAAATTTACTTAAGGAAACTGAAGGCAACATCTCTGGTCAGGAATTCGATTCGGAGGCACTTAGTTTGCAGTTTTTCCACGGAAACGGTGATGAGGTGCTGCAAGAAAGGGATTCCCCGGTGCAGGAAAGCGCCGGCAAGGAGAGTGACGATGATTCTGGCGGGGAACTGGCTGTGGAACCTTCGGACTCACCCTCCCAAACATTCATACAAATTGATTTGCAGGATCCACCGCTGGTTTGGAGTCAGCTCTTCAAGCAGCGTCACTATTATGATGAGAGCTTGCTGTACCGTCCGAGTAATACCCTGCACTTTCAGTTGCATTTGAGTGATTCCCAGCTGGATGACTCCCAGATCCGTATGTTGAATCGCTACCAGGAGCAGGCCAAAGGCGAGTCCAGCAAACTGAGCTCGGATCTGATAGCCCAGCTAAGTGGTGGGAGTCCTCCCAAGTTTCTATTGGATGATAGGCTATATCGCACTGTTTGCCACAAGGAGTTCCAGGGCGTATTCTTTGCCCCCATGTCGGCAGGGGAGTTCCAGGGCCTGCCCACCAGACGATGCCTAAAATTGAGCCTAAAGCAGCTCCGGTTCAGCTCGCATCCTCAACTCCTGGAGGAGCATCGACTGGCCCAACAGTTGGAGGATCTCTTCGATGTCTACATCCAGCAGAAAAGGCAGAGGATCTGCCGGAAACTAAGGGAGGAGCTGGAGATTGCTCGCCAGGTGGCACTCAAACTGCTCGCCTCAGCTGGCGAGGATCAGACGGCGGAGGTTAAGCGGCAACTAAGGCTCACGGGGCAGCTGAGGCAACGCTACTACTCGGAGTCGGCTGCCCAGCGTAATCTTCTCCAGCGTTTGCTGAGCGAGTGGGCCAAGCTGAAGGAACTTCGCCGTCAGCAGCACTTCCAGTGCACCCGTTTTCAACTCGGACTCCGGGTGGTGCATCCTCCTGACCTGGAGGCCTCCTATTCCGCCTGGAAGGAGAGCTTCGAGACGGACCTAGCCGAGGTCTATCGCGAGCATCTGGAGGTCTTCTACACCCGACTGCGTCTGTGGAATGAGCAAAAGGCCAGGAGCAGGAAGTCGGAGGGTCAATCGAAGCCCCCCCGCAAGCCGCAATTCGATAGGGTCATGGCCATACTGAGGAAGGACTTCGACAAGGCCTTCAAGGACCCGGAGGAACCGTTTGTGGAGGTCATCCGCCTGCATGCGGATGAGGCAGCTGCCAGGCTATCCATTCCAGGTGGTGAGCAGTTGCCCAGGGCCCGCAACTACTTCCTGAAGATCTTCCTGGACGGCCAGTTTGTGGGCCAGAGCAGGAGCTATCGCCTGGAGCCCGACCTGCAGGTGTGCATCAACGAGTGTATTGGAGTGCTTCTGGAGAGGACTCTGCCGGAGAGCCTCAACATATGGGTGGGTATGTGGTTTTCGAACCAGAAATGGACTATAACTCTTCACCTCTAGCTCTATGAGAAGTCCACGCTGACTCCAAAGAGTCGCCGCCTGGCTCAGTTGAGCACCCCGCTCTTGTTGAGCTCCAAGGATGATGCAGTGCAGGAGAAGCTCAGTTTCCAAACTTCATCCTCCACCCAGTTGGCAGGCGACGTTTATTTGTACTACGAATACCGATCAACGGAGGGATGGGCAGAAGCCCATAATCTGGACGATGTGCAAAGACTTCCGGATGGACTGCGTCAGACTTTGATCCCGCAGAAGCTCTGCGCATTGCCTGAAGCCTCCAAGGAGTTGGTATCCCCTCGACCGCCAAGTGGGAAGACCAAGAAGAACGTAGTGCCTCCGCTGATCCTCGCAGAGCAGCAGCTCCAGTTCTGTGCCATGGAAGTGCTTCTGGGAAACCGACGATTCCAGTTACTCCACTCGCGGCATCAGCAGAGGAACCTGCACACCAAACAGCTGCGCTTTGTGCCCGCCCTGGAGTACGAAATCTCGGAGGAGGAGCAGCTGCCGGATGGCAGGGGAACGGTCCAGCTCCTGGAGCCGGGCACCTACTGGAACCCCATCGATCTGCACAAGCATCGGGGTCGAAAGTTCCTCCAACTGCTCTACGAGGTGATCGCCAGTCAGAGTGCCAGGAGGGCCAAGGCCTTGCACACACCTCTGCCGCTGCTCCTCCTGGCCGAGGATTCGGATCACTCATCCGCCACCGGCTGGACAGCTCTTTGGCGGGCCATCTGCTCCGTTTTCCAGGGGCAGCCCACGTCACTGCCCCGCGAACCATCCGCTTGGTCTGGCCAGCAGTCAGGTCCCGATCTCTTCAAGCACTTTAGCGTCTCCCTTCATGTGGTGAGGGCTACGGGCGTACCAGTCAGGAGTCGCCACATCCTGAATCTCAATGAGCGACGCACCAGCGCTGGAGGCGATATGAGCACCAGTTTGTTCGTGACGCAGAGTGAGTAATAAACAATCATAAGGTTTACTTTTTATAAAAGTGATCTATGATTAGAATGACTCATTGAAAGAATGTCTTAGTCATAGTCTCCCTGATAGATAAGGGATGTTGGGAGTCCCATATGGATTAATGTATATAATAATTACCCTTTCCAGCTCTCATGTACTCCAATGTGCGACCCTTTGTGACCCTGAGCTATGGACAACGTTTGTGCCGGAGTCGCACCGCCGAGGGCAGTAATCCCACCTGGAACGAGCAACTGCAGCTGCAGATCCACAGTCAGTTCGGGGATCTGCGCGAGGATCTAAAGATCAGCATGTTCGACGAACTAATAGAGCAGCAGTACAGCGATGAGGCCTCCGATTTGTACCAGAGGGTTCAGTGCAATTGGCTGGGGGAATTCCGGGTGCCCATCAACAGTCTACTAGCCAGTCGGAAGGTGAGTTACTTTAGTTTAATCTGCGATATAGTAACTCCCATCTAACATCCCCAGTTTGAGGGCTGCATCGAGTTGGCCATGCCCAAAGTTCTCGTGGGCTACAAACGACCTTTGATAGACTCCGTGACCAACATGTCCGCGGATCAGTATCCCGAGTTCAAGGAGGCAGTGCACCTGTGGTTCTACCTGAGCATCGAGCCCAGCAGCGGAGACCTGATGCCCCTGCAATCGAGTGCCTTGGCCTGTGCCGAAATGCCGGAAACGCAGCACTTCCTCGGCGAAAGGCGATTGGAGCTCCTGCAACTTCTGCCCCAGCCACAGCGCTATGTGGAGCCTCTGGTGTGCACGGCCCAGGGGAAGAGGGTGTGCCTCACGAGACTCCTGGAGGCAGTGCCCCTGCCTCCGGCGGTGGCCACTGGGGAGAGTGCCTTGGAGGCCTCCTGCCGCTTTGTTTCGCTGCTCAGTCATTTCCGCAGCTACGATCCCTGCCAGGGATTCCGGGGCGTTTGGCTGGACAACCAGACTCTGCTGGACAGCACCTGGTGCTCGGTCAAGGATCTGGGCGTCCTGCTCTGTAACTACATGCTGTCCTTGGGCCTGGAGTGCTGGCTGATCCTGGGAGTGGCCTGTCCCCACGGCGAGTGCTCCTTTGTCCTTTTCCGCCAGCCAGAAACTGCCGAACTTTTCCTGGTGGCTCCTGCCACTGGCAAAAGATTCCAATTGCAGGATGTCCATTGTCCCCTCAGACGAATATTTTGTGTGGTCGGAAAACAGAATGTATGCTGGGGTATAATTTATAGGCTTGAAATCCCTGTTAACCCCTTTTAATTCGTCAGATATATTTCAACATTCAAACGGAATCTCGTGTGAGCATGACGAATTTTAATCTGCAGGATGGCGCCTGCTGGTTTCCTGTCTTCAGCCGACGGGTTCCTGCTCCCCAGAGTGGCGTCCAGAAGTTGGACTATATGTACAAGAGGAGCTACGAACTGAGTCAGCTGCAGAAGCACATTGAGCGGAAGATCATGAAGAAGATAAGCGCCTGGCGCGCCACGAGGAAAACCATCTGGAATCGGTGGGTATTTCCATTCATTACATATCCATTACCAATAACTAATATGTTTTAATCCACAGAGCCTTCCAACCACGTCTGCAGAAGATCCTCAGCGACATGGAACATCTTTCCACCTTTTCCAGAGGACGATATGATGAGCCTGTTTTCAGCGAGCAACTAGAAAGGGAGTATCCCAACTACAGGGTAAGTTTGCATTTTTTTGTTTAAGGGATATATTAACACACAATATCAGCTAGGATTAATCTTGTCAGGAAAGTAAGTCATATTTTCCTGCAGAATAGTTTTCCATTAGTTCCTAATCATATTTCTTTATCACCCTGATTAACATGTCAAGAAATTATATCATTGTCACATACTCGCCATCTTCTCAATAACTTTTAGTGAAATTTGTACGCTTTATTTTAATAAAATGTCTATTTTTACATTAAAACAATGGAAGAACAAAAGAAATAATAAGCTTAATAATCTGTTACCATTGATTAGTCTTGTTGCATAATGTTGTATTACTTTACTTACTTACTTTACTTAATAAAGTGTGCATTTTAGTTGAAATTAGAAACACCTCAAATTGAAAGATTTAAATGACTTTTTATTGAGGCTTATTTCTTTAATAGAATATTAAAATGCTAATGTTATTTAAGAATAGGATCCATTAATAGTATAAATAACGGCGAATATATTGTGTTAAAAAAGGGAGTTTTCATTAAAAATGGTAACAAGTTAATTTACCTGCTAGAAACCTCTCTTTTAGCCCGAAAAAGATAAGAACTGATAGTAGTTGTTCGTCACAAAGCTACCCCTGCCCTACCCTACCCCACTCATCAATCACCGACGCAATCGATCACCAACCCTATTTGTTTGCAGCTCTACGGCTTCACCCTCAACTTTGCATACACCAATCTGGCGGCGATATCGGAGCGCATCCGGACGACCTGCATCCACTACAACCACGACGCGACGGCGGAGTTCTGCGTTGCCGTGCACCTGCACGCCTACGCCAACGACGTGCTGTCCGTGTGGGTGTTCCTGCTCTCCATGGTGCCACTGGTGGTGTGAGTCAGAGATCCCCGAGTCGGAGGCAATCCCAGGGCATTTGGAATCCGCTATCAGTGCAGGCCAAGCCGAATGGACAGATTTTTATCGCACGCCCAACTGTCGCCCGAAAGGGGCCGAAATGAAATCTATTTAATTTGGTTTACAGCCCGAAAAATGTATATATATGTATTTATAGAAAAAAGCGTGTAGTTGTACGTACGGAGCAGCGATAAGGCGGTGACGGGGGCGCAGGCACCGGTGCCACCAGGTGTACCAGGTGTCGTACCTGGGGTTAGTTCACCGCACACCCTGAAACCGTCGACATCGCATCGCCTGACATCGATTTCACAACCCCATGTCGAAAAGCATGTTCCAAAATCTGGCCGAGGACTATGCGAAATTCAAGCGCTATGTGAAATGGCTGTATGTGCTCTACGAACTGAACACGCAGATCGCCATCTGTGAGCCCTGGGAGAAGGTGTTCCTCAGTGAGTATATTGGGTATTGGGGCCCATGCCCGCGGGAAGATTAGCGCTCCTCGCACCACTCGTATCCGTATCTACAAAGTAACAACTTTGGCGCGATATTATTGTCTTTACTCATCGATATCTTATCTATGCCGGTCAGTCGGTGTCTTAGTCATGGAGCGGCGCGGCGAACACCCGACCTGCTAATGGATAGCGATAACTGACCAAGTAAATTTCCCTTTCAGATGTCCTTCTGGGCAGCTGCGTGTCCCTGATCCTGTACGCGACCTTTGCCTTTGTGCCGGGCTATTGCGTGACGGTTTTCCACCTCCTGTGGCCACAGACTATGATGCAAAATCTCACCAGCGCTTGCAATATGAATATCGAGGGCTTTTGTGCTAACGAAAGTGGAGCACTAATCACGTAATCTTAGTTTAGCTTATCATAATCAATAAATAATTTAAAACGTAACGTTCAATCTGCGTACGCCGTTGCCAATTGGAAAATATAGTCGATGCAGTAACATTGGTTCGGATCTCTACTAGATATTTGTTGACGGCCTGGCAGCACTGTACTCTTACGCCTTTTTAGTATTTTATGCTTAAGATCCGACGGCCACACTGTTGTTTGTTTGGGTTTTCGTTATTAGTGGTTTTTTTAGTTTCATGAATTAATTTAACCATGTCTAACGACAAAAGGACTGTTTATGTGGGTGGTCTGGCCGACGAGGTCACAGAGAGACTGCTTAACAACGCTTTCATACCCTTTGGTGATATTGCTGACATTCAAATGCCGGCGGACTACGAATCACAACGCCACCGGGGATTCGCCTTTATAGAATACGAACAGGGCGAGGATGCGGCTTCTGCAATAGATAATATGGTAATTGGTTACCTTTGCAACAACACATAGATGTAAAACAACCCGCTTTACAATTTCCAGAACGACTCAGAGCTATGTGGCCGCACAATCCGCGTGAATTTGGCCAAGCCGGTGCGCGTTAAAGAGGACAGTTTCAAGCCCGTTTGGGCGGATGACGACTGGTTGCAGAAGCATGCAGGCGCCACATTGCAGCCGGAAGGGGATCCGGAGGCGGAGAAGGTGGAGACCCCGTCCACGGGGCCGGCAGTAATCGAAAAGGCGGAGAAACGAAACCCACAGGTATTCTTTGACGTCCGGATTGGCGGCAACGATGCCGGTCGCATTGTGATGCTTTTGCGGGCGGATGTGGTGCCCAAGACAGCGGAGAACTTTCGGCAGTTGTGCACCCACGAACAGGGCTATGGCTACAAGGGCTGCTCCTTTCACCGCGTGATTCCAGAGTTCGTAAGTTGTTGAGCTGTCTGCCTGAGATTCGCCCATTACAACCCCTTTTTTACCCAACAGATGTGCCAAGGCGGCGACTTTACCAATAATAATGGCACTGGCGGTAAGTCCATCTATGGCAAAAAGTTCAACGACGAGAACTTCAACCTTAAACACAATAGTTTCGGCACTCTGTCGATGGCCAACTCGGGTGCCAATACAAATGGCTCGCAGTTCTTCATATGCACCACTAAGTGAGTCTTACATCGTTGGCCACGAGTTTTACATGTTAATCGTATTTTTATCAAACACAGAACCGATTGGCTGGACAACAAGCATGTGGTATTTGGTCATGTCATCAGTGGCGCCGAAGTGGTCCGTAAGATGGAGCGTTGTGGCTCTAAGTCAGGCACTCCCAACCAAAAGATCGTCATTTACGCCTGCGGAGAACTCAAATAAAATCGCTCTTGTACCTACTTTACTTCAACGTTCTCATTTATTGAAAAATCCACTAAGTCATAGGTAAAAGCTGCAGGAGAAACCTACTGGAAGTAGGTCCTGGGCTTCCTGAACGAGAACAGCTTCCTGTTGCCCTTGTGGTGGACACGCTGGACCAGCGGGAACTTGATCTTGGAGTCGTGGAACTGCTTGACGTGCACGCGGCGCGTCTTGGCGGCGGCGATCGACTCCACCTTGATGATCTGAATGGAGTGGGCACGGGCACGGTGGCGGGCTCCCATGTCGCGGTAGCACTGAGTGACGGCACCGCCGACGGTCAGGTCACGGTACTCGCGGTACATGTTGTGGGTGCCGGAGCGGGAATCGTAGCGCAGCCAGATGCCGAAGTTCTTGATCTTCACGGGCGACGTCTCGTACACCTGCTTGATGGACACGATCTCGCCGGTGGTCTTCTTGAACTTCTTCAGCTGACGCAGGAAGTACCAGAAGCGGGATTTGGCCACGATGTTGTCGGGAGCGAAGATGCGCATCTTGTAGAGGGGCGTCTGGGGCTCCTTCTCGCTGGGCAGCTTGCGGCCCACGACCTCATACTCCTTCAACTGCAAATAAGATTTGCGTAAGTAAAATGTTCAAAAACTTTGTAAACAAATGCAGACATTAGCAGGCAAACAAACACACGCATGGCTATTCGGTTTTGAAGGTTATGTTTTCGGCGACGTAAATTAAAATTTTGTAAATTATTTATATAGCAGGCTTAGGCTGGGCTATTTACAAAGGCCTCTCTCAAGATCTTTAAATTACTTCAACTTAGTAATGAATACAGTTTTTTTCAAGAAAAGTGGATTGTCAATCTGCGTCTATAGCACTTTGAACTCTCAAGTCGTTTTTCACATAGAAATTGCGTTTTTTTACAAATTTTAACGATTGCATTGCATGCGCTATATGTTTGCCTGGCTGTTGCACACATTTAAAACGATAATAATGATTATTTAAATCATTTTTTCGTTAAATACTAACCAATCCCTTGGCTCTCATGTTGGACGTTCACGCGAAAAGGAAACGGAAAGAGCTTGGCAGATCGGGATGACACTGAACGTCGATTCAGGGATGGCAAAAAATATCGATAGCTGTTCTGAAAAAATAGTCATTTGTACAACATAATAATGGAAAGCCACTAATTGTAAATAACACTTGTATAAGGTAATTATTCGTATTATATACCCATTATGAATGTAATTATTTTTAATGTTTCAAGCATAAAACCGTCAAATATCGATATGCTTACACTGAACCGCTTGGCGATGCTACCCACACGGTTGCATTTTTGGCAGTCACACCAGCACGCTGCGCTAATCATCGAACTATTACACATCCCTAGCTTCTGCGCGTGTTTCAATGAAAAAAGGCGAAAAATAGTGCTAAAAACTTGTTTTTCACGCGTAATTCAAGCGCTAAAAGCATTCAACTTATGAAATTCCCATTCCACATTCAAATGCCAAAGTGTTGCAACTGAAACACTGTGGAAAAGAGCGCAAACAAAGTGGGCAGAATATAAAATGCATAGCGTGGACGGCGACGTGCAAAAAGAAGAAAAATTTTTACCCCTCACAAGAGACGCGCAAAAAGGCCACCATTCGTGTTGGCCTGGACTAAAATAAATAATTGCATGCAATTGTGAAATCCACTTGCATAACGATTGCGAGTCCTGGGCGTTTATAAACAATTGAAACCAGGCGCAAACCGTAAATTGTATAAGTACGCTGAGGGGTGGGGGCGCCCCGTTCTTGTTCCGTCTCGTCTCGGCAAAAATCTCTCAGTTTCGTCGGACTCGGTCTCTTTTTGGTTCAGTTGTGCAGCGAACTTCCGTGAAATCGGTTGAAATCGTTCTCTATTTGTGTTTTGCGCGCGTAAAATTCGTCGTTCTCTTTGGCCTCTCTCTCCTTTCTCTCTCTCTGCCGCCTACAATTTGTGGGAAAATTCTACCTAAGCAGAGGTACAGCAACAACAATAACATACTGAGCAGAAACAACAAAAACACACGGGAGAAGAAGAGCAGGTAAATAAACGTGCATAATTGCTGTATATGTGATTGTAGTGTCCATTCCAAGAATATTTCAAGTAAATTCGTTTATTTTTAGCAGTAAGTTGCTCTCTCGTTAACTTTTTGCTACCATTTATTTGGTATTTTGAACTACTTTGGCTTTACTTTATGTGCCAGGGCTTCAAAATTCGTAATGACCGGTGACTTGCAATGTTTATGCAGTAAATATTGATAAACAACGTATACAATCGCGTATTTAGGCCCCCCGCATAAACGATCGACTTTGTTGTCAATTTCTTGTCGAAATGCCAAACCAAATATCTCACGTAATAACAAAATCATTTCATTTCGCTTTCAGCTGCGTAGAGAACAGCGAAAAACGAAAAAATAGAGAGAGCGAGAACCGGAACGGATTCAACGCCAACGGCATGCAAAGGTAATAAAAATAATCACTTCAGCCCAAAGTGCGTTTGATCGATTTACTTTACTCTAATCACAGCGTGTGAATGCATAAAATATGATGGAAGCATTGGATCAGCAACAAGCCAAGCTAACGTCTAACCGAGATGATGGAGAAGCGGGAACAGGATCGGAAACGGGATCGGGAGCGGGAACAGGAGCTGCTGGCGAGGAAGACGACTTCGAGGAGCCTCATCATGCGCTGGGCCTGGCGGAGGAGGAGAGCGAGACCAACCAGCACAGGGAGAACAACAACGCCCGGGAGAAAGACGAGGGAAAGCGGAAAAAGAGCGCCGATGACGTGATAGACTTAACCCTGGCAAATGGCCAGGACAGTAGAGATGCGCAAGGGAAAAATTTAAATGAAACAGAGGAGGCTGGGCTGGCACACAAATCTGTGGAGGAGGAATCTCATGGGGATGTTAAGGAAAAGACTACAGAAACTCCAGACAAAGAAGCATCTTCTCTCTCTACAGATCTTGTAAAGCAAGAACCGGCAGAAGATAGTTCAGAAGAACTCCAGAATCCCGCCAAAATCCCATTGCAAGCGGAGTTTCTAGATGATATTAAATTGGAGACCGATGTGGAGGACAAAGCAGGATCCTTAAGTGATAACGAAATGGAGTTCTTATCTGATCCAGAGGAGCAGGCATTGGACTCTCCCGAAGCTAAACCTATAGAAGAAACTATGGAGACGGCATCCCATAACCTGCTAAGCGAATCAGAGAGTGAGGAAATTGAAGAAAAATATTCCCCGCCTGCCAATGAAGACTCTGAAAGTAAAAATGAAGAACAAGTTTATCCCATGCCAGTTATAGATCTGGAATCCGACTCGGATAGTGAGGAAAAAGAGTTCTTATCCATTAAAGATCCCAATAGCCCTGCTGTGCGCAGTGAGGAAGGCAAGGTTGACTCACAGTCTTTAAAAAATCTTTATAAAGATGCAGTTGGTGAGGATATTTCCAATGGAGAGCTTAAAGTGAATGAAAAGCCATTGAAGCCAAATTGCGAATCTCTTCTAGAGGGATCCGATACGGTGGATTCTCCTTCGTTAACCATGGACGTGGATCTTCCAAGCAGCGAAAATGAAGAAGCGCCCTGTGGTGTCGTCAAAATTGAGTCGGATTCGGAAGATGAAGTTCAGAGTAATAGTGTCAAGTCAAAGGAACCTGCTATTGAAGTTGTGCCGCCAATCAAACTGAATGGGGCTCACCAAGCTTTAAAGGAGGAGACACAGGCGGACGACGAGGAGCAAATTGAGTCCAGTAAAAAGCCAGAAGACCCCAAGCAACTGTCTGTGATAACAAACCACACTGGCAACAACACTAAGGTGGAGGAAACAACTGATCCAAAGGAGCCGAGCTCCCTCATCCTACCCATTCGTAGGAGCCGCAGCACGAGCACCAATAGCCGGAGCAGCACTGTGAGCTCCGCATCGCAGCCCCAGCTGGTCATCGATCATCCGGAGAGCGAGCACAATGCCAGGGTGCAGACACTGAAGCTTTCCCTGAAGCGCAGGCGCAGCAAAAGTTCCTCCGCCAGCCAAGCCGATAAGCAGCCAAAGGTCGAGGCAGCCGGCTCCGTCTCCTCGCTGCTCCTGCAACGCCTCCAAGGGAACACCAATGTGGGCCCACCCGTTGTCCCTGCGGAAAGCCAAGTCCTAAGTTGCGCAAAGTGCAATCTGCAGTTCAAGTTCGAAAGCTTTCAGCTGTTGAACGAGCATCAGGCCCAGTGTAGCGGGATCACGAGTGGGAGTACGAGCAGTTCTCAGGTGCCACTAAGAAAGGAGCGCTTCTTCCGCTGCGCCCAGTGCAGCAGCGTGCACCAGTGCTGGCACTTTTTCCTTCACATGCGGGAAGTACACCAGCGCTACATCTGCCTGTACTGCAACCATGTGTATCCGAGTGTGGAGAAGCTGTCGCTGCATTTGGAAAACAAGCACGACATCGACCAGAGCCACTTTGCCAAGGATGCGTGGGCATTGCAGCAGAGGACTGAGGATAGGGCGAGGCATCTCGTCTGCTGCACGTGCCAAGCCACCTTTGTGCAGGGCTCAGAGTTTGAGGATCATGATTGCTCCCAGCTGATGCAGCCGTGTGCTTTGTGCGGCCAAAAAGGTGGACATGCTACGGGTTGTAAGAATAACAAGCGAAAACCGGTAAGAAGGCGGAGAAAGGTGCGAAAGCAGCCAGAACCGCCTCTGCCACTTCCGCAGGAAGTGCTGGCACAGTCCGCGCCGATGGAGGTGATTCCGGAGCAGGAGTCACTACATTTGCAGCTGCCACCGGAACACCAGTATCTTTTCCCAGTAGAGAACAGTAAGTTACAGTGGTTTTATCTTGTTCTAAGCTGATTACAAAATCATTCTAAAGTTCCAGCGCCTGAACCAGTCGAAGACCCTCCAGCGCCCCCTATTCCCAAGTTGGTTGTCCCCAAGATCATGTTGCGGGTGCCCAAAGAGTTCCAGAAGTCTGTGGATGCTGCTCTAAGCAGTACGGATACGGAGGATGAAGAGTTAGACACAACGCAACCGCTGGAAGAAGCTGTATTAGCACCACCAGAGGATTTGCCTATTGAGGCACCACTCCCTCCACCGCCAGCGTTTAGCTTCGATGACTCGACCTCGGCGAAGTTAAATCGCGTTCTGGCGGAATTGGAGCGCACCAAGCTGGACATTGAGCGAACCAAGGCGGATATAATCACAAAAAAGCAGGCCAAGGTGATCATGGCCCATGCAGAGGAAGAAAATGTTGTGCCAGAAATGGTGGATCCTCCACAGCAGCTGCAGCCTCAGCCGGAGGAGCAGCGTCGCTGGTCTCTTACGCCGCCTGCGTCGCCTCACAACAATCACGTCAACCTGCCCGTGCCGCCGCCAGATGTAATTACTGATTTCCAAGATCGGGTCGATGCAGTGCGTCGCAACAGTCTCGGCAGTGATTGCATGGACATAGACGACAGCTTGAATGGACCGGAGACGGAGGATAGTAGAGATCAGCCAGAGGAACAGGATAAATCTTTTGAACCTGCACAACCTTTACAGGAAAGCCATTTCGAGCCGATTCCCATTCAGCCGCTTCCACCTGCCGATGGAATTATGGTGGCTGGAGCCGACACGCACACGGTGGATCTGCAACTAGATCGTCCTCTGGACCGGTTTTCGATGGTGGATTTTGTGCGACTGTGTTTAAAATCAGTGTACTCCGTTTGCCTGTATTGCAACCACGCACGGCGTATTGCGGTAAATGGAAAGCAGCTTGTGCTTCATTTAATCAGCCAGCACAGATTTACGGCCACAGTGGACAGCATTACGGCAGAGGAGTTGCATGCCGAGACGATTGTCGCAAGGCTCAAAAGTTTTTTGCCAAACCTGGAGAGCGAATACATGAATTCAGCCAGCTGCTGCAGTGTGGAGGATGGCAAGTATGTGGAGCCGTTTAACGAGCGGATCTACGAGTGCTTCACCTGCCGCTACGTAACTTCCACGCACAAGGAACTGTATACCCACAACAGGAGGCTGCACATCAAGTCGAACATAACGTGCGTCATGTGCCAGACGAACTTCTACAGCTACAGCGAGATTCTGTGCCACATTTGCCCGGGTGAGGTGGCCGGGAGTATATATGACCTCCAGTTCCGGTGCTGCCTGTGCGAGATGGCTCCACTGCCCTCCGCCTTCAGGCTGATGGTGCATCTGAGGAAACAGCACCAGGCTTGCGACATCTGTCTGGAGGATTGCCAGAGCCAGGCAAAGCTTTCGGCGCACGTGTGGAAGCACAAGCTGCTGCACTTGTGCTATCGCTGCGGTATTGCCTATCGCAACAAACAGGACATCTCAAAGCATTTGTTTTGGAAGCACGGAACGGAGAGTGCAGGCTGCAAGCAATGCCTGCAGAAGCGCTGGCGCCATGTCTACCACTTTTGCGTGCCGCCCGCGCAGTTTCCATGTGAGCAGTGCGGCTTCGTATTTAGCAAGGCAATCTACCTGGAGGTGCATCAACGAATGCATTCTGGGGATTTCCGCTATGCGTGCACGGAAGAAGACTGCGAGGAGAAGTTTGTGTCGCGCAAGCTGCTCCTAAAGCACGCCAGCAGTCATGTGGTAAAGGAACTGCCGCAAGCAGTTTCCGATGAACCGACGAATGACGGAGCGACGGCCGAAAATCTGGAAGAGATCAAGAAAGAAGCTGAAGAGGGTGAGGAAACGAAAGACGGAAAGCAAAAAGAGCAGGAGCACCTTGCTGAGGCCGAAACCAATAAGGAGTCTACCAAAAAAGAGGAGTCGGACAAAAAGGAGAGTGTGAAAGAGCAGGCAGTCAGTAAATCAGAGAGTCGCAAGCGCCGTAAAAAGTCCAAGCGCAACAAGGAATCCCTTGAGGACCTCAACCTCATCGCACCCAACCTTTCAGAATCGGATAGCAGCGATGACAGCGATTCCGATGCGCCGAGAAGCAATCATCAGGAGCAGCTCGTGCTGCCCATGCGATCTTCTGTGGATGATCTGGGCATGCCAAAAGTGATGCTGTCACCATCTTCAGAGAGTGATGCTGATGAAGCAGATGGCAAGCCCAAACTTGTGGACAAACCTTCAGACGCCTTGAAAGAAGAAAATAAGCTTGAGGAAAGCAAAGTCGATGAAGATTTGGAGCCCAAGAAGGAGGAAGACCAAGTAGATGTGTCGATCTGGAAAAACCTCCTGCAAAATCAGGCTTCCAATCCCGAAGAACAGGCTGTTAAGGAGGAGGAAAGGGAAGCCATGGTGGTCAATCTGCCGCCCAACAAGCTTCATGTGGCCTGGTCTGATCACGATTACTGCAAGCTGCACCGCACGCCTCCACCCTCGCCCGTTAAACAAAAATCGACAAACAAATCGTCCAGCAAAACGCCTGGTCAGAATGCCTCTAGCGAAAGCGACAGTTCCAGCAGCTCCAGCTCTTCGGATTCGGATTCTTCGAGCTGCTCCTGTGGCTCCAACTGCAGCTGCAGTTCCAGCAACAGCAGCAGTTCTAGCGATGACTCCGACGACTCGGACAGCTCTAATGCTCGAGGATCGCCACAGAAGCGGGCTCGGAAGAAATCCCTGAAGCAGAAAAAGAGCTCCGAATCACTCAAAAAGGGACAGCAAAGCGAGCGAGATCCCGAGGAGAACGTTAATGTTACTCCTGAGAATAAGAATAATCCTGCTGCTCCTCCTTCGCCAAAGCCACCCATGTACAACGAGTCGGATTTCGATACTGCTTTCTCGGATACAGACGAGGAGTTCTACGACTCCCATCCCCAGAAACTGGCCAACGAGCTGCTGGCCCAGAAGCGCGAGGCTCTCTTGGCGGAGCATGCTCCACTGCGTCCGAGCAACAATTACGACATTGTGGAGAACAGTCGTCCTTCGACTCCTTCTCTTCCGGAGGAGGCATCTGCTTTTGCGGAGAAACGGGAAAGAGTGAGAAACAAGAAAAAGAAGCGGGAACGAAAGTCCACATGTAAATCTGGCAAGATGCCACCAATGGCCAGTACCCCTCTACCTATGGATGGAATTAGTGGAATGGTAGCGCCTGTGGAGCCGCCTACTCCTCTGCAATCTCACCCAGAATCTCTGTTTCCCATCACCCCACTAACTCATCGCAATCTGCAATCTTCGATGACCCGGATGAGTGAGGGCAGCAGCTGCTCCGATGCCGATGGCCAACTTAAGCGTTCGAAACGGCAGCGAAGACCGAACAAGTTCTACGGTTACACGAGCGACGATGAGAACATGAGCGCCATTTTAGCGCCACCGCTGCAGGTGGGAATGCAGCTCATTAAGCCACAGCCACCACCACAATTGACCTGGGCCAAGGAGGATCTGCCCACACCGCCCAAGCAGCGCAGCAGGAATAACAATGGCAGCGGACACCACCATCACTCGCACAGCAATGGTGGAAGTTCATTCGCTGGATCTTCACGAAAGCGGAGTAAGCAGCGATCGCTGCACGGCGCAGGAGGATCTCGTTCAGCAAAGCGCCACAAGCCTGATCGGGAGGATCACTTGCCACCCATTCCAACGCTTAAGATCCGGCCCAGCTTGCTGCCCAGCACTGCTCCGCCGACGGACAGCAGTGACAGCAGCTCGGAAGACGAGGATGCGGAGATTAATGTGACAAGTTTGATAGCGACTCCGCAACCGGCTCCTCCTCCAGTTCTGCCAACGCCTCTGCCGGTGGCTCTGCCAGTCCAGCCACCTCCACCACCGCCTCCTGCGGCCACCGCTTTCAATCAGCCTATTCCACCCGCTCTGCTGCCAAATCCCGGATTTGCCACGCTGCAGTACTTTAAGGCCAACAACATACGGTATCCCATTCGACCGCCGGCAGGAGCTCGTCTTGCCCGCGAGGGTGAATCCGTGTACTGCTACTGCCGCTGTCCGTACGACGAGGTGTCCGAGATGATCGCCTGCGACGGGGACAACTGCCTGATCGAGTGGTTCCACTTCGAGTGCGTGGGCATCATGGTAGCGCCGCAGGGCAAGTGGTTCTGCGCCGAGTGCAGACCGAAGTACTCGGAAGGTATCTATCAGGGCACCAAGCCCACATGAACGAACACGGATTAACTGCATCATTGGTTCCTCCTACCACAAAGAATCAACTATAACTACAAACCCCACTACAGAATGGATTACGCTTATTAATTGATAAAAACATGTAGTCGCTGATTCTCGGCGATCGGTTGAGAAGAAGATAAATATATCTTATCTAAACTACTAAAAAAACATCTAGAGTAATAAAGTAACGTATTTGTAAAAATTGAGGTCAGATGTAACCCCAGGCTCAAAGTAGCTCTCCGAGGAGAGCCTAAGCTAAGCTAATGCTAATTCAAATATCTGCAACAAGCTTATCAAATGATATATATATATTTCTATATTCACTTAATTGTATGTAAATATCGATGGCTGCATATTTCGTATGCACTTTGTAAAATAGCTAGAGTACGCGAGAGATCCCATAAACACTTAGGCAATAGGGCTTACACTTATAAATAGCAGTCCCCCAAGTATAGTACATAACTAAATCTACATATATATACATGTAATGACTATGATTAGAACACAAACAAATCGAAATCCATCTGCAAATCGGAATGGATTATGAGAGAAATAAACATGCAACATTGTGAGACGTATACAACAAAACCATCAACACTAATTGTCCTAATTTGTTTGGTCACTCGGCGGTACAACTAATATTGGCTCATCAATTTATATGGTAATCAACCATGTATATCCTTGTTGATTACCATAATTGGGTGCTCTGAAAAATTGAAAAGGAAATAATTTTAACTAATAGTGTTTAAGGTACTTTACAACTATTTTTCGATGGAATACAAATAGACTTGGGCATTCTTGGGAAACTGAAACCATAACTCTTTCTCAGGCATTGTGCCTTCAGGGAATTGCTTTAATGTTGTTAACCCACCCGACCAAGTAAAGAATTTCACGTTCCCGGCTCTGATTATGCCAAAGTAAATGCAAATAAGCCACGACAAGGCGCCCAATGTTGTTGTAGTCGCGCACGATGAATGGGCACGAAAGGCGCCAGGGTCAGCAGTGGGGTCATCCGCCGTCCAGCCAACCAACTAGCCACCTAAAACCACCCACTTACGGGGAGTTTCGGTTTGTTTACCAAACAGCACGTAGATTTAATTGCTATTATGGGAAGGAGTCGCTCTAGCGAGTGCCTTTGGCGAGTGGAAGCAACAACCACAACAAAGTCAAATTACAGGTGGTGCCGGGGGTGTTAACTGGGTGGGTAGTGGTGCCCTGTGTCGCCTGGTCAGTGGTGTGCGTGCCTCGAAATTACCATAAATCTGATGGCTCGAATAAAAAAGGCTGCTCTGGTGAACTTGGCCAGCCAGTTCGTGTTGAGTTTTCGCGGCGAGCGGTTAACCGGAAACGCGGACGAACACAACGCGAATAGCGCAATTTTGAATATCGGCCGACCTGCGTGTCCGCAGTGCCATGTCCACGGGACAACCAAGCGCTGCGCTAACAATCGTCCCCTCATCCTACACGTGCCTAGCTGGTGGCATCCACATAGGTGGCCATGGTTCGCCGGGCCTCGAGTGTTCCGCATCTGAACAGTAGTGGCGGTAGCAGTGCGGATAGCGCCGGAACGTCGGGCAGCGGACGTGGTAGGGCGCCCGTAGCCGGTTCCCGGGGCCGAAAGACGCCCTCGACCACGTCCACCGGCCAGAATCAGCGCCAGAGCTCCGGGAGCAGCAGCAGCGTGCCCCGATCCCGCAGCCTGACCAACGGCATGCGTCGTCTGAGTCCGCAGAAGGGAACTGGGAGCAGTGGAGGAGGAGGAGGAGGAGGAGGTAGCTCCCGCAATACGCCGTATTTCCTGCGTTCACGCGAGAATGAGTAAGTGTGGGATAAGGATTGCGATGATTCCCACCGTAATCAATAGGTGATAAGTTGTGGACAGTGGAGACCCACTAATATATTACTATAGTCAAGTAAAGATCTTATAAGCTAATACAGTCACTTCTGTTGTCTAGAATTCGTTTTGAATTTGTCACATTTTCCTTGAATAAAGTAAAAATCCATGAGAGATTGGGAAAGAATGGTTAACTGCAGAACTCTTTTTTGATTCCTTTCTGAAACAGTAAGTAATTTTAATGTTATAAACCTAAAGTTTGAACAGTCTTATAAAAATCTTATTTTTCGAAAAAAACTGTATAAATTGGATCAGGTTATTACCATTTTTATCATGACAAAGAAAATACAATTTCTAGAAAACACAAATTTCTAGCCTTGACAACGTTGTGTTTTGCTAGCTTGAAAGAAAAAGAGATTATAGAGTAACTGTTACTGTAGTAAAAAGTTTAGCAAATTCCTACTTTACTTATTTAACCATTGTCTACTGTACTTATATTTTTGGAATTTTAATGGCGATTAAAAATGGATATTAAAAATGCCTCCTTTATAAAACCTTGGCAAAGTCGTAATATAGGCCATTACTTATTAACAGTGTCTATATGAGGGTACCGAGAAAATGTATTAATTTGCATCAGAGCGTATGGCAGGGAAATGGGAAATGGAAACGGAGAAGGGGTAATGATAACACGACAGGCCAGGAGCAGCTCACCCCCAATAGGCGATCCATTAAAAACCCTCGAGGCGAAGCAAAGGACGAGAAGCCACAAGCCAAACCATAATGACCACGCACAATAATCGAGGAGTCGGAAGGGCGGGCGACTGACAGACGGACGGACAACCAAACAGGCAATCAAGCGGACAGACAAACGGACGAGCAGTTAGCCGGACTTACCGGCCTCAATTTAAACACTTTGTGGGACGGAAGCGTAGGAGAGTATCGGCCGAGATCTGGGGGTTGAGTTCTGAACGAGCACGACACAAATCGATTTTGCAATTAAAGCATATTGAAGTCTATTGCTGTCTGCGTTTGACCGCAGTTGAGAGCGAAAGTGACATATTTATGTTAGTTTTTATTTTCGATGTGGGTTCAGGTGTAGCAGCCACAATGGAGTTAAGGTTAAGGACCCCAGTGTCTTGGCTGACCAGCAAGTGGGTTAAGAGCTAGTTGGTGGTTTGCCTTGGTTTCGAAAAGATCATTAATAATTAAAAAAAAGAGAGAAGGGTAAAAAGAAAGTTTGAACTGAAACCGGATATTTCTTTTACTATCTAGTCATTGTTTTTCTGCCATGAAATACGTATAATTCCAGTGTTCCATTGAGGGCACTACTGTCTTATAGATATTAATTAAAATGAAGAAGTCCACAATTGACACCTATGTCTCTTGGTAATTTATTATATTGGCTGGATATTCGAAACCTGAATTTGTTGTATAGATAATTAGAGATTAATCCCTCCAGGCAACCGGCATTATGGGCGTTATAATTATTTTGGAGCACGCATGTGTTTCAGCCTTTTGATTAATTAATGCGTTGATAGCCATTTGATGGAAGACATACATTGGAATCACTCATAAATATATATATATATTCATATATCAACTAGATAAATCGAGGGAATAGTCATACATAAACTTAATACCAACCCAAACTTTTTTTTAGGGCAACACTCAGAAAGTGAATTCGCGTGCGTAACCGTCAGTTTGCATTTTAAAAATCCATACGGACCACATAGTGCCCATATGCATATATATTTTCTGGCATGCACAACACGAGTTAAGTCATAATTACGCCCCTGCAGATAATCAAAGCTGACATTTCGTTGCCTAAACTTTGCGTGGCTAATAAATGTCTCCCACTGGCGGCTTCGGTTTGCTTCTATTCTGAATAGGATTCCATGCCTGGGAAATAAAAGTGAGAGTCCAAACTTCTCACTCGCTACGACACTTTATTTGATTCGCAAACAAGTGACACAGAAAAACCCATATTTTTACTGGGCCTACCTGAAGTTTCTTGTTGCTTTGAAATCGGCGCATGGCATTTAATTATATTTGCTATGAGTAAAGATCAACAATACTTTCAAGAAGGCTTTCATTTATTTAGGAATACAACATTTTTGGGGACAAAAGGGATCTGATTTAACAAGTCATTAAGTGACTTTGAAAATAAAATTATACCCAAAATCAATATTCCGTTTTCTTTGAAAAGTTTATATATTCTTCAAACACATCTACGTTTTATGACACAAGCTTACACATTCACTCAGTAATTACTACAAATGTAGATATTTAAAAACTGTATTTAAATATTTTTTACGATTTGTATGAAACTACACTTAGTTTTGAATATGTTAGGACCCATTCTGTATTTACGGGAACATTTGAAAGCAAAATCAAAACTTTCGCTTTTAGCTAAACCTTTATAGAGCCTTATATTGGCCGATTAATTATTAAGGACCGACTGCGGGTAGACCAAAAGTTGATTGAACTTTCCTCAGCGTTAGCTTCTCAAGTCGCCGCTCCTGGGGTTTCGTGTTAATTTCTTTCTATTGGCGCCTACTGAAATATTTACCAAGAGCACACTGCAGGCCCAACTCATGTCTGATTAATAAAGGTGGAGTGAAGTATGGCCATTAGAGCATAAATGTTTAACAAGTCATTTACGTGAAAATGTTAAATGTCAGCGGTGTGTGCCACATACAATCACGCCAAGATGCCACATCGCACATACGCCGCGTTGTCCGGCCTATTTGCAGTTCAATAAACTGTTTGTATTGGAAACTTTGTTTGATTTGTGGGGGTTCCATAAAATTAGTTGGATAATTGCCGGCTTGACGAATAACTAAAACAAAAACTTGTGGAAATCCTAATCAATAATTTACTACCTTGTATTTACATATTTTCCTTTGAAAATATTTCTTAATCCAATTGAAATGTGACCTCTGACCCCCACTCAACTAAACTAATAGCGAATTAGTGTGAAAAAAGGTGGTCAAGTGAAACAGAAAAACCCGAAAAGTAACGAGCCACCCTTAACCTTGGCTATTTATAGGCCGGTTAACGTCAGAACTCCACCAAGTTCAAGGCAAATCCAGAAATTCTGGAAATTCGCATGTGCCACAACAATCTGATTCAAAAAAAAAAAACAATGAAAGCTTTGTTTCCACTTTGATAGATTAATTGCGATTGTAGGTACTGTGAGCGACATTTGGGTTTCAGGTTTAAGAACTGTGTCCCAGAAATAAATGATTGGTTCCAAACTAAGTGATATACCCAACAACATTTGGGTTTCCACTTTAAGAGCTAGTGTCCTTAGGGAGTATCTTAAACTCTTCAGTAAGATATAATATGTAAATAAGTATAACAGCTTTTCCAGCATTCTTTAAGAGCCAGTGTTTAGATATCGAGTGAACGTTCAGTAAATTATAATATACATTATGAATAAGTAAAAAAAAAAACATTTCTTTTCAGGATTGGTAGTGCTGACACCCTAGAAATCGTTGCCTCCAAGTCCACGGGCAGCGAGGAGTGCTCCACGCCCGAGGATAATATTAACGTGGTGGTGCGAGTGCGTCCGCTTAACGACAAGGAGAAACGCGATCGTCACGGATCCACTCTTCAGTTTCCCGGGAACGGGCAGGTTATAGTAAGTATAAGTCCAGTATTTTGTAACAAAGTAATGTCGAATCCTCTCCAGCTGGAGGGCAACGATGTGGGCCAGAAGAGGTCCCACAATCGCGACAGCGTTCGCGTCTTCACCTACAACGTGGTCTTCGAACCAGGAGCCACTCAGGAGGACATACTGGACTACTCAGGCATCAAGCGCATCATCGAAATGGGCATCGAGGGATTCAGTTGCACGGCGTTTTGTTATGGCCAAACGGGATCCGGCAAAACGCACACGCTTACTGGACCGCCGGATTTGGTGAGTTGGAGTCTAATTAACTTTAATAGTCCTGTCTCATGACGGTCTTTACTTTCTCAGTTCGTTGGCAAGCCGAATCCCAAGGATCCGCGCCATGGCCTAATCTTCCGCTCGTTTCTGTATCTCTTCCAATTGATTAAGAATCGCAAGGACGTCAACTACGTCCTGAAAGCCTCCTTCATGGAAATCTACAATGAGCGGGTAAGCGGCATACTTTAATGACAACCGATGCCCGTGACTTGACCTCTGCGAATTCAATTTAAATTCAAATTGCATTTGCCATAATACTGATTGCTCCACCGCAAACATGCATTGCATTGACCTCTATTTAATGGATGTCAGCACGCTCCACCCACAGAAAATGGAAGGTATTCTGACGGGTAGTCCACCCACCTTTCGAGGAATGTCACGATGCGTGAAATGTTTCTGCATTTTGCGTGGCATTTTCAATGATTTGTTTTCCTAGCCCACCTCCAATTTCCTTATTGGTTTCGCAAATTGAATTGCATATTTTATCTTTCCCCCAGGTAATCGATTTGCTCAATCCGGGAAGTGCCCGAAAACCGCTGGCGGTGCGCTGGTCCAAGAAATCGGGCGGTTTCTTTGTGGAGAACCTTTTCACGGTGGACTGCGAGGAATTGGATGACCTTCTGGCTGTTTTAGAAGAGGGTAAGCAGTTCAAAATATGAAATAATTGATAAACCAACTAACTTCCTTGATATGGGTTATATCCTTTCAGGTATGAGAAATCGTGCCGTTGGCTCTCATGCCATGAACGATCACTCCTCGCGATCCCACACCATATTAACGGTCCACATCCTGTCCGATCAGCAGACGGATGGAGGTGTGTTCCTCTCCAAGCACGGAAAAATCAACTTCGTGGACCTGGCTGGCAGTGAGCTGACCAAGAAGACGATGAGCGAAGGAAAAACGCTGGAGGAGGCAAACAACATCAACAAGAGCCTAATGGTACTGGGCTATTGCATCTCCTCACTTAGCGACTCCAAGAAGAGATCGGGTCACATTCCGTACCGGGACAGTCAGCTCACCAAACTCCTGGCCGACAGTCTGGCAGGGAACGGGGTAACACTGATGATAGCCTGCGTCTCTCCTGCGCACTACAACCATGCGGAAACCCTGAACACCCTGCGATATGCCTCGCGGGCCAAGAGGATACGTACCAAGCCCGTGATCAAAATGGATCCCAGGGAGGCACTGATCCTCAGTCTGAAGCGTGACATCCATGCGCTCCAGATGGAGAACGACCACCTGAAGGCGGCCTTGAATCTCCACCATCAAGCGGCGCCGAATGGTGGAGCAGCTGATAATCTCCTCGAGCTTCAGCTGGATCGGGTGAGCAGTGGTGGTGGAGCGCCAGTGCCCAAGGTTGATCTGCAGCGTTTGCCAGAGCTAGATGGCTCCGAATTGGCTGAGCTCGTTAAGCTCTACATGGTGGAAAACGAGTCCCTGCGGCAGGAGAACAATCACCTGTTCACCGTGCGGGAGACCATCCTCAGGGATCAGGAGATCGTGTGCCGGGAGAACGAGCGTCTGCTGAAGAAACTGGAGGATGTGAACAAGTAAGTTTTCTTTAAAAAGGCGCAGTTTATTTAAATGGTGTTCCGGATGGTAGTTCGTCCCTTCTCCAGGCTGGCTCATTGTTCTCTCCCATTTCTGACTCGTTCTAGGTCGAATCCGAACGGGAACGAGGACGACAATGAGCCAAGCAAGGAGGTCCAGACGAAAAAGGAGTGAAAAATCATATATCAAACGTTTTCTACTTTTTAACAAGTTTTTATAGAATGTGTATTTTTAAAAAAACAATGTTTTTAAAAAACAATCCTAGAGTGTGACTAGTTATGTAAGGATTTGTAATAAAAGTTTGTTTTTGTTCCTATGAATAGAAAAGCCTTATTAAATTATTGAGATAATTATGTCTTTTAATTTGTTACGTCATTTTATCCACATACTAACAGACTTGTTTTTAAAATTCTTTTAATTTATCCAGTTCGGAAGCTATGCAGGAACTTAAGATCACTATAGTCGTCCCCTTAAATACGTTAAAATACAAATTTTTAAATATTTGAAAATCCATTCTTTCACAGAGTCTGTGTACGTTCACCTTTGATACCAGCGCGACCGGCTATATCTCCAACTACTGGAAAGGAAACACCTGGCACCGAGATCTGGACCAATCCAGAGCCACTTCAATCTCCTCCAGGAGCGGATCTGCCAATCGAACAGCGAATGTCGGAAAATGCTAATAGAAGGACAGATACAGCTCAGAAACGAATTGACCAGCAACGCATAGCCAAGAACATCTTGATTATGGCCAATGCTTTCCGGAAACCGGACTCAGAGTTGGCTAAGGAGTTGAACATTAATTCGGATAAGTCAGCAAAGCAATCTACTGACTTTATGCCTGAGTAAGTAACAAAGAATTGGGTTAAGCAACGCAAATTGTAATTATATTATTTTCAGTATGCTCACATAAGTAAGTCATTTGCTGTAAACACATCTAAAAATGATATATATTTTTGCAATAAATGAAATGAAAAGTGTCCAAAACATATAAAATAAAACTCTTTAAATACAATTTAAATTAGTTCTTATTAGTTCTTACTTTTAAAGGGCAGAAACAATATATTTTTTAGAGCTACAACAATAACTCTATTTTATTCTATTTGTATTATATAAGATCTTTTAAATCAAGAAGGATATGTTTTTTTTGTGTGTCTGTTATCAAAAAACCAAGCTTTCACGATCCAAATAAGGTTTGAACTTTTCTCCACACCCCCAAGAATTTTAAAGCTTTTGGAAAAGGCGAAGAAAACCCGAAAAATCGAAGCGTCGTACCCAACGCGGTCACACTTTTGTAAATATTGATTTTTCAGCGCCCCCACCAGAAAAATCTGCGACAGGTGAAGCGCACATTTTCCGATTATAATACCACAAGTCTGAGGGAGTCAAGAAAATCAACCAACAAATTGCAGCTCCCAGTATTCGGCGACAGAATTAGCATCCCAGCATCCACCATAGGTCTCGCGGAGACAGCCGTCCTGGACATTATGGCTGCGAACCTGCAACAGCAGCGCTCCATCAACCTGCAGCTGCGCCGGGAGGTGGAGATAGAGCGGATGCCCGTCTCGGAGGCCTGCTCCCTGATGATGAAGTACATGCTGGAGCACGAGGAGGAGGACTGCCTGCTGAGCGGCTTCACCCAGAAGGTGAATCCGTTCCGCGAGAAGAGCTCCTGCAGCATCCTGTAGGTTCGGCAAACGGTCCGGACCCGTTCCTAACAGTATTATCCTATAAAGTATACTCAATTGCGGCGGATAATCCAATCCCAGCCGTGCATGTCGTCTAACCTATTCGCTGTTCGTTGTAAGTGTGCTGACCTCAATTATGTCTATAAACTGACTATATATACAATGGAATCGGGCGCACCGAGAATTTATGAACGTGTAAACAAAAAAGGGGGAACCGTCTTGAACTTAAACGCCTGCATATGTGTGTATTTTGCTAATCCTGTAGCTCTTTATTGGAGAATTTAGCAAACACCTTCACTATATAGATGTTTCCTATTGAGATATTCCTGAAATAAAGCTATGTAGCCAGAGATTTTCATGTGAATTGAGTTTGTTTCGATTACGTTACAGAAGTATATTAAAATTCCAGAGTGTATGTATGATGTCAGCTGAAAACTTCCGGGTGAGCTTCTCTACTTTTGGATGGGCAATGCGAATGAACAAATCCTTGTCTGTGAATCCCTATTTTGTTTTCCTCGATCAATTTCGAAGTAACCTTCAAAGGCGCGGCATTCACCACCTGAAACCGATTGACGTGGCCAAAATTGGTGGCAGAAAGTGGCGAGAAATGACGCCGGCTCAGAAGTCTGTTTTTATTGAAATAGCTCAGATAAATCGCTCTAGGATTAGGAAACGTACACGCCCAAGGCTTCCAGTTGGAGGTGCTAAGAGGTGCCGCATTAAAAGGACTCACAAGATGTCCAAATCGGATAGTTAATCCCTGTGGTATAACTTATTTTATCGCATTTTATTCCGAAAAAGAACTACATAACATAACGGACAAATTGCCGCATTTAATTTAAATTACCCAGGGCCTTTTACAACACTTTGATTACTGCGTACAGCTGTTTTCTTGGCGTTTATCCATACTGGCATTATTTGTGGTGTGTACAAAAGAGCAATTTTACGGAAATAAAGCATGAGTTCAGGGTTTGTGACTGAAGCTGAGGCCGCTGAGCAGAGGCAGAGACGTCAGGAAGAATGGGAGCGCGTACGTCAGCCGGAGGATCCACTAGAACGACCCGAGGAACCTTACGACGGACGCTCCCTGTACGAACGCCTTAAACAGAATAAGGACAAAAAGGACATGGAGTACGAGGAGGCCCACAAGCTGAGTAGGTCTTCAGCATTGACAATGGAGCATCCACACCATAATTAACATATTTATCTTATAGAAAACCTTATTCGCGGCCTGGATGATGATGAGGTGCAGTTCCTAGAGCTGGTCGATGCCCACAAGATGAACGCAGAGCGCCAGCAAATGCGTGATGAGGAGCTGGAGCTAAAAGACTTTCGTAATCGCGTTGAAAAGCTACAGGAAGAGAGTGTGGACAAGGTAGGAGTATACCACAACTAGCTATGGCATTCAACATTACCCTGAAACCCACAGAAACTCCAGGCAGAGCTCAAAACCACGGCCAAATCCGCAGGAGCCTCTGCCGGTCGCAGCACTCAAAAGTCGCTGCTTGGCCAGGGCATCAAGCGGAAAAACGGGGAAGTGCCCACCACCAGCAAGGTTGCCAAGATCGCCGACGAAGAGGTGGTTCAGAGCGCAGCGGATGCGGCGCCCAAGGATCCAGAGAAAACAACAAACACTACGTTAACCACAAACAAATACGACCAGGGAGCCCTGAAATGCATTGCCGTGCTGCCTGGCATTGGTTCATACACAGAGTCCAGCGATTCGGAAGCCAGCACGGATGAGGAGCCCGACTTGTGCAGCCGGACCGACTTGTGTGGCCGCAAAATGCCCAAGAAGAAGCAGTGCATCGAGTAGGATCAACTTTTTATTTGGATTCTTAATTTGTAGTTTCTTTCCTTGCAAGAGAATATAGCCTAGAGTGTAAACATAATGTGTTACGCGTCCTTCTTCTTGTTTCGATTGCGGTTCTTAACGTTCGTCGTCTCGTAAAAGTTGCTGCCGATCTTCTTGCGTTTCTGGCTGCGTTCCAGTGAGCGTTTCTGTTTAGCCGTCAACCGGGAAACCTTCGAAGTGCTGGGGCCATCGTCGTCAGAGCTGCCGGCATCGTCCGAATCTCCCGGCTGTATTTTGGCCACGCGGAATTTTCCGGACGACGTGATGGCCAGTTGCTGGGTCTTTTTCGCCTTGGCCTTCTTGTGAACCACGCGCTGCAAGTCCTCGTTGTACTCGTCTTCCGAGTAGAATTCGTCCGCTCCATCGCTGGACTCCTCCTCTTCTTCGCCGAGGTTATGGAGACGGGCTTTCTTCTTGGCCGCACGCTCGGCCTTCTGCTGCTCCAACAGCTCAAGGTCTATATGGTCCAGCTCCTTCACATCCTCCTGCTCGTACTCCAGACCGACTCGAATCTTCCGGAAGTCCTGGATCTGCTTAAACTCGCGCGCCTTTTTCACCGACTCGCTGACAAATGTCGGCGCTTCTGATTTGGCATCTTCGTTGGGATCCTCGGCAACGACTTCCTCTTGCTTGCCCTCCTGGGACTTGGGAATGGCGAATCCCTCGGGGGGCACGTAGAAGGGCAGCTTACCACGCTGCCAATCGTTGAGCACCATGCGGGCAGTCACCGTTACGTCAGGCTCACCACCCTTCAGCAGTTTTCCAGTCTTTTGGGCCAGCTGCTCCAGGAAGTGTGTGGACGTGTTCCAGTGTTCTATTTTGTAGTTCTTCGAAATGTATTCGGTGCGCACTCTTTGCAGCAACGACTCCACATAGTCCTCGGGATTTGTGACCAGCTCCACGCGGACAACACCCTTCAACACCTTCTCAGTGTCCGTCTCCGCCGTGGGATATACCACGCCAGGACAATCGATCAGGAAGATGCGCTTCATCAGCGTAATGTACTGCCACACCTTCGTCTCTCCCGCGATGGGGGCTACTTTGCACACCTTTTTGGAGCGCAGAGCGTTGATGACCGAGGATTTACCCACATTGGGATAACCAATGAAGCCCACGCTGATCTGCTTCTTGTCCAGATGCAGTTTGCCCAACTGACGGAACAAGTTGATAAGCGCACCTAAAAAAGACGAGGAAATTTAGAATCTTTTAATCAATCTCTTTTTATAAACTTACCCTTTCCAAAGGGATGTTGGAGGGATGCATGAAAGGCAATGGTAGGATACTCGGCACTGAGAATGGCCACCCACCGCTGGGTGACCCACACAGGTACCAGATCCACCTTGTTCAGAATAAAGAACAGATGCTTGTGGGGTTTCTCCTTGCGCAGGAACTCTTCGATGTATTTGGATCGCGTGCCCATGGGATCACGGGCATCCAAAACCTGGAGAAGAACATCGGACGCATCCACCACTTTGTGCAGTTCGTTCCAGATGCGCTTGCTCTGTCCAGCACCAAAGACCCAATCCCGCACAGCCTTCTTCTCTCCCGTGTCCTCGCGGATTAGATCCAAGTCCTTGGCTGAATCGTACTTATCGGCCTGATCGTCGGCAGCCTTACTCAGATCCTCCAGATCGCGCACTTTCAGGCTGACCCGCTTGCGCTGCTTTTTGGGACCAAAAGTGCTGTCAAAGCTTTCGGTGTCCAACAGGTGAACTCTTTTGTACTTGGCCGCCTCGTTGAGCAGCGTCACCGGCAGCTGGGAAGGCTTCATGATGACCTGGTAGGGATCCTTGACAGCCTTGCCAATCTCGTCCTGGAACTTTTGCAGCGCCGTTTGAGAGATGACGCGGGAGTTGCTGAACCACTTGGGCGTGGGCTCCACACGGGCCATCGTTCCAGCCGGCAGGCGCCCCTATAATAAAAAACAATTAATATAATAAGTCATTTGCAATTGATTGAACTTCTATACTTATGTTTATGATTTCCACTTTTCAGCAATGTTCTTAACCTTTTTTTTTATTCTGTTTTAGTGTTTAATGGCCTATTCTGAATTTTTCCTAAGTAAACCTTAATTAGATGAGCTTTAAGATAAAGCATATAACTAGTACTTATCTATCTGGTTGTATTTGCATTCTTTTTATGAGCCTTTTCAACCCCATCATTAAGTCCTATAATATTAACGGATAATATATATTCATATTTTTTAAAATAACGGACAAATATGCTTTAGTCAGAAACACTTTTTTATGCCGACTTTTTGTTTGTGAAAACCAGTAAAAAATTTTGTACAATCCTTTAGAGCGCCATCTACATCTATCGGAAGTTCAATAGATCGATTACAGCAAGTATCGGATTGACATTTCGCGTAGTGAAATATCGAAACACAAAAAAAAAATGGGGCTTCACACGTATTGCAAACAGTATAAAAGCAAAAGCACACAGTTCTAATCTAGCAGTCACTAAGGCCAACAAGATGAATCCGGAACAACCCAAGTCCGAAGGGTCATCGCTGTCGCACCAGATGAAGCAGAATTTTCGCAAGATGAACGACCTGGTGGAGGAGTTGCAGCAGGAGAAGCAGAAGGTGGCCAGTCTGCAGCACAACGCCGGACGCAACCAGCAGCTCGAGGAGCACAACGCCAGTTTGGAGCAGCGAGTGCGCCAACTGGAGCTGCGTAATGAGCAGTTGGAGGAGTTCAACAGCGAGCGCATTGGTATCCTGCAGCAGCTGCAGCAGGAGATGTGCAACTACGCCACAATTCAGGAAAAGTTCGAGGAGGAGGAGCAGTCCATGCAGTTGATCGTGCGCGAGCTGGAGCTGGACCGCCAGGATCTGCTGGACGAGCTGACCGAGAGCACGGGCAGCATCGAAGACCTTAACGAAGAGGTGAATGAGCTTAACCAGCAGCTGAACGGGATGAGCGAGGACATCAACTGCTCCATTTGCCTGTCGCCCTGGGAGTCGGAGGGCGGGCATCGACTGGTGTCGCTGCGCTGTGGCCACCTCTTCGGGAACAAGTGCATACGCACCGTCCTTCGGCAGTCGCACCGATGCCCCATCTGCAATAAGTGGGCCCATCACGCCGATGTTCGCAAGATCTACGGACTCAGCGTTTTGCCAAGTTGAGGGCTTCGATTTAAGTTTCTCGAAGAAACACAGAACCTGGCCCTTATTTGTTTTATCTGTACGATTGGTTTTTTTTTAAAGCCGTGAATTTCTCAATATAATAATTCTCATACCTACAAAATACTTTGTATAAAATCTATCAAATCGAGGAAATCAACAATAAAGGCATACCCCAACCAAATAATTTGGAAGTAAACTTCGTTTAAGTTTTGATTTGTACTACAAGCGGGAACTTTGCAAGAACATGTTTTTCAACAATTGTTTTAAATTCGTTATCGCACAAATTTGTGAATTCCCTTTATCATACCATCTATGTGAAATGTATTAATATGGAAATGTAAACAAATAGATTTTGAAAACTAATTATTTTATAAGGCGGAATAGGTAAATACCATACAGAGTTTCAAAAAGTATGGTTTTAATAATCAATACCACCTAATCCGGTTTAACCCTTTAGACTGATTTCTGTGGAACAATAACAGAATCCAAGTCCTCAAAACATAGAGATGTCCATAGGTTGAATCCACGTGTGGAAGGGACTCACCTGGAAAGGGGCGGGCGTAAGAATCTTTCCAGTGCGATCGCGCTTGGCCTTGAAGTTACGGTACATCTGGAGCCGCTTGATCGTTCCCTTGGTGCGAGGGTGGGCAACTCCCTTAAGGCCACTTTTGGGGCGCTCCGGATTCATCGAGTGGTTAGAGTGGTTGAATCCCTGCGTTCGGGGCTTCCCCGGGGTGCTGCGTACTTTCGGCATGGTGTCTCAATTCGACCAGTGCCTCGTAAATAAATTAAAATATATTTTTTCGGCACGCTCAAACCAAAACACACGTGTTTGGTTGAAATAAAAAAACAAAGGAATTGGGCGTTGCACAGCACTGCTTGGATGTGCTTTGCAACACTATTTTAGAATGCGCTGGCAAAAAATCTCTATCAACAGGACTGGCCACTCTTAAATCACAACAGCAGTGACTACAAGTTTAAGATCAGCTTTAAATCAAATTTTATTTAATAAATGCTCTAAAACCGAGGTTATAAATATTTTTTAATAATGTAGATAAAATAGGTACTTATTAAAATTCATTTTTCGATATATCTTGCATCTCTACCAACTCTTAGCAGCAAAAACAATATTCCTATTGGCCGTAATTTGTTGGCCACAACTGTGCTTCAAGAAGCAAGCTGGTTTTATATCCGTGTGCATACAACATATCCGCTTGTTACAGGCCACGAGCTTAGACTACACCTAGTAATCTTAAATAGTTAAACAATTAAATGCTGCCTATCACAACAAAGTGATAATATGAATCAGGGCATTTAAAACGAATCGTAGTGATTAGTTAGCGATCAGCATTCGAGAAATACAAATTTCCCAAGCGCGACTTGGAATTTCGTATGTGTGTCCCAGCCTTTGCGTGTGTGGGTGTTTTGGAATGTGGCCCTGCACGAAATTCAAATAGTGACCATCCTTGAGATTTTCACATTGGCGAAATGGACGAGCATACGTTGAACGACCTGTTGGAGTGCTCGGTATGCCTGGAGCGACTGGACACCACATCGAAGGTACTGCCGTGCCAGCACACCTTCTGCCGCAAGTGCTTGCAGGTGAGTAATACCACTGGGTTTTTCCCTTCAAGATATTAATCATTTTGTGATTTTAGGACATTGTGGCCAGCCAACACAAGCTGCGCTGCCCAGAATGCCGCATCCTGGTCTCCTCCAAAATCGATGAACTGCCCCCCAACGTCTTGCTGATGCGAATATTGGAAGGTAACGACACCGCCCACGCGAATCTCAACTGGAACAGCAGCCTACGCTCCAAAGCTAGAATGCTTGACATTATGAGTGCGGCTGAGTGGCTTTGCAAATTAAATGTCTTTACCTGGCTACATCTAACTAAAAACCCCTTCTAACTTTTTCCCTCAGGCATGAAACAAACTGCAGCAGCTGGAAAAGGCGATAGCAAGGAGGAGGAGGCTGAACCGCAGCCGGAAAAGCTCAAAACTCAGCCTTTAGTGGAACCAGTGGCCCCGACTGGCAATCAGCTTCTCCAGTCGCAGTCACATCAGCAATCTCAACAGCCGACACGCCACAAGCAGCGCCGCTTTTTACTCCCTCACGCATATGCACTTTTCGACTTCGCCTCCAGCGAAGCCACCGATTTGAAGTTCAAGAAGGGGGATCTAATATTGCTCAAGCACCGAATCGACAACAACTGGTTTGTCGGACAGGCAAATGGCCAGGAGGGAACCTTTCCCATCAACTATGTGAAGGTATCGGTGCCGCTCCCCATGCCGCAGTGCATCGCCATGTACGACTTCAAGATGGGACCGAACGACGAAGAGGGGTGCCTGGAATTCAAGAAGAGCACTGTTATCCATGTCATGCGCCGCGTGGATCACAATTGGGCAGAGGGACGTATTGGCCAGACCATTGGAATTTTTCCCATAGCATTCGTCGAGCTAAACGCAGCAGCAAAGAAGCTGCTGGACAGCGGGGTCATCAACCATCCTCCGTGCCAACCACCGCAGCAGCAAGCGCAGCGTGCGCTTCCTCCGGTGCCAGTAATTGATCCCACCGTGGTCACGGAGTCCAGTTCCGGATCGTCAAACACCACGCCGGCTAGCAGCAATTCTAGCTCCACGTCCAGCTCGAACAATTGCAGTCCGAATCACCAGTCCTCGCTGCCGAATACCCCTCAGCATGTGGTTGCTTCTGGTTCGGCATCGGTTCGTTTCCGGGACAAAGGAGCCAAAGAGAAGCGACATTCACTGAATGCTTTACTGGGAGGAGGAGCTCCTTTGAGTCTGTTGCAGACCAATCGCCATTCGGCTGAGATTCTCAGCCTGCCGCATGAGCTGAGCCGCCTGGAGGTGGCGAACTCTCCGGCCCCCAAACCCACATCCGTATCGCAATCAGCGCGAGTTCTTAAGACGAATGTGCAACAGCAGATGCCCCCCAATTTGCCCTGGGGTTACTTGGCCTTGTTCCCTTACAAGCCACGCCAAACGGATGAGCTGGAGCTAAAGAAGGGCTGCGTTTACATTGTGATTGAACGGTGTGTGGACGGTTGGTTTAAGGGAAAAAACTGGTTAGACATCACCGGGGTGTTTCCGGGCAACTACCTAACGCCCTTGCGCACCCGCGACCAGCAGCAGTTGATGCACCAGTGGAAATATGTTCCCCAAAGCTCGGAGGCCCAGCAGGCGCACCCACAGCAGCTACCAGTTGCCCCAGACGTCCGGCTCAACAATATGCTACCGATGCAGCCACCGGATTTGCCGCCCCGTCAGCAACAGGCCATCGCCACGACCACCAGTTGCTCCGTTTGGACGAATCCGGTGGAGGCATTGTTTAGCAGAAAGTCGGAACCTAAGCCTGAAACTACTACGGCCTCTGCCACGAGCAGCAGTTCCTCGGGGGCAGTGGGACTTATGCGGCGATTGACTCATATGAAAACACGCTCCAAGTCCCCAGGAGCTTCGCTACAGCAAGCTCAGAAAGAAGTTACCAGTCCTAGCGTTGAAGCCACAAATAAACCACAAGTTAAAATGCACCCAGTACATGTTAGGTAAGAGATGCAATGCCGTGTAACCTTAAAAATTAGAATTAAAGTTGCTGTTTTTTTATATGCAGATCCGGTTCGTGCCCCAGTCAACTGCAGCATAGTCAACCGATTAATGAAACTCCCACAACGAAGGCAGCGCCACAACAGCAGCAGTTTCTGCCAAAGCAACTGCCTGCTGCCACCAACAGCAGCGTTTCATACGGATCGCAACGTGTAAAAGGAAACAAGGATCGTCCTCACTTGATTTGGTTTGTTTAAATTACTTTTTAGAAGTATAAATACTTAACTTACTCATGGTCTTATATCCAGCGCAAGACAATCCTTGGATCCAGCCACGTTTCGCAACATTTACAGCAATGCCGCGTCGCCTCCGCCGCCTGCTTCCTCGGTAGCTCCAGTCATCTATGCAGGAGGACAGCAACAGGCGCTGCCTGGAGGAGGAACGCAATCACAGTTGCATGCCAACATGATCATTGCACCCAGCCATCGGAAGTCTCACAGCCTTGATGCGGGTCATGTGCTGAGTCCCAGCAGCAATGTAATTACTGAGGCGGCCATCAAGGCCAGTGCCACCACCAAGTCAGCTTACTGCACAAGGGAAAGGTGAGTCTTGGAACCACATAAAAACATTCAAGACTTATTATTGACGTAATTTTATGTTCTTGCAGTCGATTCCGCTGCATTGTGCCGTATCCACCAAACAGTGACATCGAACTGGAGTTGCATTTGGGAGATATTATCTATGTGCAGCGCAAGCAGAAAAACGGCTGGTACAAGGGCACCCATGCGCGCACCCACAAAACAGGACTGTTTCCCGCATCCTTTGTCGAACCGGATTCCTAGGTGGCCTCCGGAGTCGGGATAACTAAAACTTATTAAGCGAAATTCCAAATTATTCTTTTAAATGGTTTCAATCGCCGGTCGATTCGGGCTTCCAATTTTCAATCTCCTACTACTCTTTTTAAAAAAGAAACTGTTTTGTACTTATCCACTCGATGGCACAGCTCGCCAATGTACTTTTTACACAATCCATAATCAAAATAGGCTAGCCATGTAAGTCTTAAGGACATGTTACTTAAGCCCTAGCAATAAGTTAGCTAGAGAAAAAACTAACCGATTCTTGTGCTCTCTACGAAGTTATTTGTAAAATACGATTTTCAGTAATACCCAGTGGGTCGTTTTAACTTATTTTATTCACCAAGCAAAACATCGAGGCTAACAGTGGATTGAACTACGGCGCATCAGAGTTACTCGCTCTTGTCGAACTTGGATCCGTAGATGGGCACGTACTGCAGTACCAGCTTCCAATCGGTGTAGTAGAGCACGGCCAGGCCAGCAGCTCCTCCGAATCCTGCTCCAGATCGGATGCTACAAAATCGAAAGAAACTGCTTGAGTTTTTGATGGTTATGCAATGTGTGGTGTATTGTGGAAGAGCGCCGGAACCCCTGTAACTCCTTGATATGGGATGAATCACAACGGGTTATACTCACAAGGAACTCGCGATTTCAGCGTGCTTCTTGCCAAAAGGTATACGGAAAGCCATTTTTTGTCGATTTAATTACTTTTCTCTCGCACCAAAAGATTCGCAATAAATGGAACGGTAAAGCACTAAATAATACCACATCAGTATGACCCTAATTTAAAACAAATAACTCTTTTACGAAAGGTGACAACTCTGAGTGGACTACGTGAGAACAATTTGTCATCAACAAAAAGTTTTATTGGATAAACACTATTTAAAATTCAGAAATCACAATGAAAGTATCTGTATTCGGTGAACTAAACACATTTGAGCTTTTTATCCTCTCTACTGTGATACCGGCGGTCTTCGTGTTCCTGTGGGCATTGATATCTGGAGATATGAGGGTAGGGCACTAGGCTCTTATCAAAAATACCCATTTTCAGTAATTTTCCATTTCTAATTTTACAGAACTTCAAGGGCAGCAAATTGGCCTACTCTGTTTTCACTGCAAAGGATCCTATTAATTGTTATCAGGACTATGTGCCGGAAAAACAAAAGGATACTTAGAATAGAAGATCTTTTGGATCAGAAAACCATAACATGTATTCAACCTGTACATATAAGCTATGTAGGTGGAAAATCCGCAGATCTTTAGTTAGAACAATAAATACTTGTTGAGTTAACATTAATTGCGATTAGACTATGTCCCCGAAAAGTTTAATGGATTATCTAAACTAAAAAATGTATTAAATGCATGCATTATTAGAACAATTGTTGATTAATATTTGTATTTTCTTTAATATTAATCTATTGGAATTTTAAGACATCCATACTAATGGGAGAAAATCCATTTAAATTCCGCTTGTACATATAAGCAAGCTAGGCACCCGAAGGATCAGAAGAAATTTAGTTAGAACAATAAACAATTGTGAATTATTATTTGTGTTTTCTTTAATATTAATCGGTTGGAATTTTATGACATGCAAGTTGATAGGAGGCAATGCCTGTTAGATTTTAAATAAACTTAAACTGCACAGTTTTTTAAATTAAAAGTAAACAAATCTGAGGTGCAACATAAATTATTAATTTCCCCACCTGGTCACACCCAGTTTTTCTTGGTATTTTTCCGTTTGTCTTTTACTTCCTCACTGAACAGCAAGTCGGAGAATTCGTCTATTTTTGATTTGTTAATTGTTTAAAAGCGTTTTTGACGTCGGATATTGCGGCTTTCAATCGTGTCCTGTGCACTCCCTGGTGCCCATCCGCACCAGCAACCTGATAGCCCCGGAAAGAGGCCAACTACTAAGGCAAACAAAGGAGACTAACTACGCAGAAGAACAAAAACAATGTCGGAAACATACGGTTTGTCATCATACAACTAATTAATTAATGAGCGTAACTAATTGATTCCGGTGCTGGGCACTCACCTAGATTACCTGTTCAAGTTCCTGATAATTGGCAGTGCTGGCAGTGGCAAAAGTTGTCTGTTGCATCACTTCATCGAAAGCAAGTGTAAGTTGGTGATAACCCATGAAAGCAGATCCCGCTAAATCCTTATAAAACTATCACCAGTCAAAGACGACAGCTCGCACACCATTGGCGTGGAGTTCGGCTCGCGGATCGTGAACGTGGGTGGCAAATCAGTAAAGCTGCAGATATGGGATACGGCCGGACAGGAGAGATTCCGCTCGGTGACGAGATCCTACTACCGAGGAGCTGCCGGGGCTCTTCTGGTCTACGATGCCACGTCGCGCGACTCCTTTAATGCCCTGACAAACTGGCTGAATGACGCCCGCACCCTGGCCAGTCCCAACATTGTGATCCTCTTGGTTGGCAACAAGAAGGACTTGGAGGAAGCGCGGGATGTGACCTTCCTGGAGGCCAGCACATTTGCCCAGGAGAACGGTCTGTTTGCTAGGGATTTAACAAAAATGTTTCTTCTGTTGATCACAATCCTGTTGTTGCTTCGCAGAGCTCATATTCCTGGAGACAAGCGCCAAGACGGGCGAGAATGTGGAGGAGGCCTTCCTCAAGTGCTCCAAAACCATTCTGGCCAAGATCGAGACCGGCGAGCTGGACCCCGAGCGGATTGGCAGTGGTATTCAGTATGGCGGAGCTGCCTTGCGCAACTTGCAGACGCGACAGCGCAGCATCAACAAGCCGGATTGCACCTGTCGCGTTTAGGCCGCACGATATCAGTACTCTGGACTAGCGAGCAAATTTATCTCTATTTTATCTCAACCCGGAATGCGGACTCGCATTCCCCTTAGTTGTATCGTGTACTTGTGTGTGTCCACTTTGTTTTAGTTTATATTTTGTCTTGCTAGATTAATCATTCCAAATGTAAGCATATTGCTCTTCGTTTTAACATAATCTTAACCTTTTGATTGCCCACGATTTCGGGTTTCCCCCCAAATGTTACTTACTATAATTTTTAATTCGTGAAGCACTAGGAGCCCTCGAACAACGAAAATTTACGGCTGATGCTGAGGGGCACGTGGATCAGATCGGAGATGAGGAGAATGCATTCGGCATTTTTATTGTATATAAGTGGCGTTCCGTCGTTGACGACGTCGCCGATTGTAAATCTAACTCGAGCATGCACGCGGTAAATAAAAACGCAAAAACATATTTATTTATTTTTATGGAAAAATAATTAATTTATAGGCCTCAATATATCTTGCTGCTTATCAGAGTATAAAATGTTATAGGTTCGAAAATGTAGTTTTCCACATTTGCAAATATCCTTATGCTCTTGTATAATCACGGATAGAATTAATAATTGAAAATGGAAGTATAATGAAAGCTTATTTTGTATAGACAATAAAAAATTATCTTTAAATTCGAATATTCTAAGACATTAGGTTCGTTGTTGTTCATAACAGCAATAAAAAAGATCACCAGATCTCAAAAGTGGAATGCACACTTCAAAAGGATTTTTTTCGAATCCGGATAACCAGTGGTTTGCGGTTAAAAAAAAAATCCTTTTAAAGTGGAAATGAAGCCACTTTTAAGGCGCGGACGTCATTTTAGGCGTCAGACTTGCTCAACTTCTGTAGCGCGTGCTTGGCAGCCGCCAACTTGGCCTGGTTCTTGTTACTGCCGAATCCGTACACCTTGATGGTTTTCTCCATGCAGGTGAACTGGCAACTGATCATCACCTTGTCCCGGTCGACGATGGGCGTACTGAAAACGGGATTGGCGAGCCTATGCTCGGTGAGCTGGCGGATGGGATTGATGGGCACGTTGCGCGAGAACTCGAACAACTCAGGCTCGAAAAGTTTAAAGATCACCTCCCAGGTGCGCTGCAGATCCCGGCAGTCCAGGTAGACGGCTGCAATCAGAGCCTCCAAGACGTCGCCCAAGGCCTTCGGGACATCCACGTTCGTCGACATGTTGAAATCACCTTTGCGCGGGGCATCTCCCTTTACGTCCGGAGAAATGGCATTTATAGCCTCCATCAGTTCCGACATCTCCAGTTCGTCGTCTAACTCCATCGCAGTGGGTTGAATGTCGGCTTCCTCGAGCAGGATGCGTACATGGTTGGTGACCCTGTGCCTCTGCCCCTCCTGGAACTGCACAAACTTGGCTATGGACTCGGAGAGCAGCGAGTTCTCCGCCAGGATGAAGAAGTGCAGGCGATGCCGCACGCAAATGCAGGCCAGAGTCGTATTATTGACCAAAGCGGATCGCAGATCTGTGAGAGCGCCCGGATTCATTTTGGAATTGTTCTCGAAAATGTAGGCGGAGATAAGAAAGTCCAGGATGGCATCGCCGATAAACTCCAGCTCCTGATAGCAGCCAGTAATTCGATTCGTGGGATACGACGGATGGGTAAGCGCCTGTAGGAGATATCCCCGATCCTTGAACGTGTAGCCCAGATTCTGCTCCAGATGATAATGATTAATGAGGAAGCCATCGATATCCGCGGGATTCACGTTCGCCCGCATCCTGTCGCCGCCCAAACGGAGGTCCAGCAAATGGGTGAGGGGCTTGCCGATGTCCGCCTTGCAGATGCCAAAGTATTCAAGCATCCGGAAGGCATGCTGCAGTCCGTAGTTCTTTACGACCACCCCAAGAAGTGCCTCCAAGGTATCGGCCACTACTTTGTCCGCAATCTTAGCGAGGCCCACGCAGAAGTTAACCTCGGAAGAGAAGTCGGCGCCAGCATAATGGGTGTGCGCATTTGATTGACAGCCCTCCACAAAGCTGCGGAAGTTGAGTTCACTGCAATTGCTATTCGCCAGCGCCTCCTCTTCGCTTAGCGCCAGATCCCGCAGGTTATGCGGACCCACCAACTGCGCCAATTCCGGCTTTTTCTCCCACAAAGCCAGCACATTGTGGGGCAGACTGACGCTTGGCGGAACCCATGTGTATCTCGGGGTAAACAGCACGGAGCTGATCTTCCTGGGAATGTCCGTGTCACTGAGGCAGTATAGCAGATTCCGGTTCGACACAAGTTTGGACTTGACCTGCGTCAGGGTGCCCTCGTTCCATTCCGGATACTTGTTGGCCAAGTAGAGAGTGGCACTCAGTTTGAGAAAGGAGTCGCCCAGCATCTCAAGGCGTTCCATGTCGTACACGTCCGCGCTGCCCGAGGTAGTGATCGCAGCCAGAAATTCTGCCTGCTCCGCGGGCGTAATGTGTGCAGCGGAAACAGTTTTCTGCAGGATGGGCAGGGGATTCACTTCTCGAACACTGGGAGTCGCGGGCATTAGAGCTGGCAGGCTTACCATCGCCTTGGTCGGAGATCTGTCCCCATAGATATTGCCCTTGGGCATTTTGAACTGATTCTCAGTCCAGTACTCCTTATCCTCGAACTCAATCTTTTCCAGCCGAGCCACCTGGCCCATTGTGAACTTGTAGTAGTAGTCCAGCTCCACGGGGTACGCGCCCATGATTTTCCGCGACAGATCCACTGGTTCCATGTACAGCTGCCAGGGATTCTCAAAGTCAGTGATCTGCAGGTTGGCCGTGGCCGTCTCCATGGTCTTGGTGGGCATGGGTTCCAGGAGGGATCGCGGCTCCTCGATGTCCTCGGTGGCTATGGCATTACCCACAGTGTCCACATTCCTCTTTAGCGACCAATCAATTTCCAGGGGTTTTGGCCTGTAATTTGCTCCGTTCAATGGCAGTTGCTGGAGGCCCAGATAGTTATTGAATCGTTTCCGCAGGGACTCCGCATGGAGGAGGAAGTGCAGGCGGCGAAGAATACTGGGCAGAAAGATTAACTTCAGCCAGAGATCGCCAGGAAATTGAAAATTATGGCACAGTTCAGGAATCAGGACAACTTTCGCCCTGGCCTTGCTCTGTGTGGAGGATTTGCCGCGCTGCTGCACATAGAAATTGAGCTGTTCCGTGAGTTCCCTGACCTCGATCAGAAACTGATCTTTGTGCACAACGTCGCCGATGTGGTTGCTGTACTTGGACATGGTGAACTCGTAGTAGGACTTGTCTTGGTAATTCTTTTCCATTAAGCTGTAGGGTGTGAGTTCCCGGTGCACCTTGGTGACCAGCATGCGCTTCTCCTCGTAGTTGGCATACCACTGGGTAACAATCTTGCCCTCAAAGTCCTCCGGACGGGGCGGAGGTTGCTGCCTGCGCTGCTGCACACTGGACTTCTCGGCCTGGGGCAATCTCTGGAACTTGGTGACCAGCGGCCAGTCGATGCCTTTCCTCTGAGCGTCACCCTGAATGAGAGGGACTACCAGGTAGGAGTTCTCCTTGCTGCGACGATCCAGAACGAAGAACGGCTGCCAGATCTTTAAGAGATCGCGGAATATCATGCCGTGGAACTGATGCAGTAGCTCCAGCTGGTTATCATTCTGGATAACCACTTCTAGTGGCTCCTCGGCCACCTGAACATGCAGTTTTCCCTGATTACTAAAAAGCGGCATCACCGCCAGTCGTGGAAGCTTTTTGCGCAGCATTAGGGCATAGTTTCTCGGCGTCTTCAAGTTCGTATACATGTGATCCGTGTAGTCACTCCGCTCAAACTGCGGCTCCAAGAAGATCTCGTAGACATAGCACACCTCACCCACCCGAGGACGGGTGTCAAAGAACTCCGCCGGACAGTCGCTCCGGTATGTGCGCACCTTGCTCTCTACATCTTTGCGCACAGCCGCAGTCACTGGAGGAAAAATATTTGAGTAATTTAACAGATTGAGTGTGGCTTGCTGAGTACCCACCATCATCGCCGTACTTCTTCCAGTGCTCAAAGTGGACGTCCGCAATAGCAGCCACTCGCTCCTTCATTGTTACGGGTAGGAATCTCTCGTTAAGCTCACCGAGGCTGTAGAGTTGCTTGCAAGCCTTGAATGCAGCTGAAACTTTGGCTGACTTTACGCAGTCCATGGGATCGCTCTGTAACAGTCACAGCAATTAAGAAATTTTTCCCACCCGAGTCTCGCCTGTAGCTTACGTAAATCGTGTCCTTCAGCCTAGAATTCAGAGGCAGGTTGACGGATATTACTTGCTTTGTTCTCGCAGAGTCCCCGAAAAGCCTTTTGCGTTCGATTTCATCCAACAAATTGATCCAGGGAATCACAAAACCAAAGGCATCCGTTGGCATGCTCTGGCAGTAGCGATGAAGCAGGATCAGGGCGTTGCTGGCCAACAAAACGGCTCCGTGTTCGTTGACGAACGCCGGAATAATGTCCTGGAAGTGTTGTTTGATCTCGTACATTTCCGGCTCTGCACGCTCTAGAACTCTATCCTTTAAATACGCAGCAATTTCTTCGTGGGCTGTGCGATACTGAAGAATTTGCTGCGATATCTTGACCCTGTCTAATTCGGAGGAAAACATCACGAATCGGGCTTCCTTGGAACGAGCACGCCCCTTCGTCTGCACATACATGTTGAAGGTTTTGAGCGGATCCAGGATCAGGACATGGTTGCAGGCCTGCACATCGATGCCCTCTTCCAGCACGCTTGAGCAGATCATCAGATTGGCATCGCCATCCCGAAAATGCTGAATGGCCTGCGGGAAAGTAAGAACGTGTTTTAAAAAAGCTATGTTTCTTGGTTCTTCCGGTTGCACCTACCGACTTCTGCCACTTGCGATCCAGGACGGCTTCAAAGTCCGGGGAGATCGCGTTGCGGCCCACCATGAATTGCGGCGTCAGCACGTTTCGTAGCTCCGGCGTGGCCTCTATAAAGTTCAGCAGCAGGCCGTAAATGCACTTGCAGGTGTAGCGCCGTTCGACGAAGACCAGGCAGCAGATCTCCTTTGGATCCTTGTGAGCGAAGGTTTGCTTCAGATACTGCAAGAATTTCTGCACCTTCGGGGTGGAGAAGTTCATGATGGTCTCCTCCGTGTTCGCCTTGTCGTCGAGATCTTCATCGTTGTCCACCATGTCCCGCAGCTTCTGCACCAGCATGTGCCGGATTGTCTCGCACAGCGAGATGGCCGTCCTGTGCATCAGCTTCAGGCTGAGCGTCTCCGCTTGGCGCTTCTTCACCTCGAACTCTACGATCAGCGAGACGATGGCGATGGAGGCCGCGTAGATGCCGTACTCCTGCAGCTGGAACTGGAAGTCGTTGAACAGCTGCTTCACCGTTCCTTTCTTTTGCGGATCGCGCTGGCTTTGCAAGGACTTGGACCTCCGCACCGGCTGATTGCCAATGTCCATGAGATCCAGCGATTCGAAGAACTTACCAATCTGCCCCTTTATAGATTGATTCACCGCAAAAATCTGTACCTGATCGGGATACGTGAGCAGGAACTCCTTTGGCTTAGTGGAGTAGCTGAAAGTTCACATGTTGAGGGATTTCAGGAAAAGAGGGAGCAGGAAACTCTTACAGCATTACGTTCTCCATTTCCTTGGTGTCGGACACGGTGATGATGTTTCCCCGATACGTGGTCTCCAGTTCCTTGAGCTTCTTGGCCACTTGCTTGATCTCGTTTCCCTTAATCAAAACTCCGGTCAGGCCGACCACGCGCGGCAGCTGCGTGGCACGGCCAACGCACAGGAACAGACGCATGAACTCATGGAACGGATGGTGGCCGGTGCCGTGGTGACACTCGTCTATAATTACGATGCTCACGGAGCTCAGCTCCATGTTCCGTTGGGTAAATAGGTCCAGGATCACCTGGGCAGTGCCCACCAGAACCTATTCGGATTGCAGGGGTTAAGTGATTCAATTATGAACAGTTTTCCTAAAATGTAAATGTGTGTTTAATAATTGTATACAAATTATACAATTTCATCATCATTGACCGATTCTCAAGTACTAATAATAAATATTTATGTTTGTATATATGTTACTTAATGAAACCCGATTCCCCGGGGCCCTTAAGTGCTGATCTTAGGGTTTTTATATTAATGTGTGTGTATAACCGATCGCATATCGTACGTGAGCATTAGTAGGAAAGTGCCCGGAGGGACACGTCATGCCCCGGATACTAGTACTCACTTGATTATCTTGGATTTCATTGGTCCATTGGCCGCGCGTCCATTCGTCCACGCCTTGTTCGCCAACATAGAACCCGACCTTGAAGTTGGTATACTTTTTTACGGCCACCGCCTGCTGACGGGCCAATTCCACAGTGTTGCATATGAACAGAGCCCGCTTTCCACCATTTTCGATGGTTCTAGAATGCGTAATCAAATCGGATGCAATTGGATTTACTTGGCTAAAACATAGCTACTCACTTGTCCATGTCCTGCGAGAAACGCTTGAGGGCCAGGATGGCCACGTAGGTCTTCCCAGAACCCGTGGGCAAGTAGATAATGCCATTGTGCTTGGTAATATAATCCACGAGGCGCAGTTGATAGTCGCGAGCCTTCCCAGGAATTATGGTTTATTGAGGGGAATAAGACCACTTTATTTTTCAAAGAACCTCACCTTTATTTCCGTGGTATCAAGGATCAGACTGTCTCCCATGATATATGTAGCACTAAAACTTTGAAATCCTTCCTGACAAACTGATGAAATGAATTGGATGCGAAACCCTAGAGGCCTTTTTTCAGACTGAAACTAACGTCTTGGACTGCGTTTGCTGACGTGGCTAATTCGATTTCGATTGTGAATGGAAGGCGATAATTGTTCCGGCCCGAAATTCCGGGATTCACCGGTTTTTTTTTTGCCCGACGCGAGAGCTTTACCTGCTGCACTGGGGTGGCAACCACCTGTGGGCCAAATTGAATGACCCAAAATATTTCCCTTCGCGACACTTGCAAGACCAGTTTTCCGCGGGTTTGACCTCTATTTCCAAAGTAATAACTTTAAATGGTAAACTTCAAAAATTAAAGAACTAATAAAACTGGGTGTCAAACAAAGAACTAAGCAGGAGGCGAAAGCGTGGCCAGCGTTCCTTAAGTTGTACATCTCAGGAATTCTGCATTCCCATAAGACTGGTCACACTACTCAAGGCGGAAAATATAAATACTTGGACTTTTACTCTTATCAGTTAGATCTCAGATAAATATATTTAAAAATATATTAATGGTAATTGGATACAGCTGAAAACTAATAATACTTAACTATGGATGATTCCCTACTTGTGATTACTAGTACTGTAAAGTAAAGTATACAAACACTCAAAACTGATAAGGATCTTGGAAAGTTTCTAGTAGCAAATTAGAAAAGTAATTTTAGAATTAAGTTCTTAGCTGCATACTTTTGGGATGTGGCAGTTACCTAAAATTAAAGATTTAATATTTCAATTTAATAATTTATTTTAAAAAATTCAGCTTGATATAAAGCAGAAAAAAAATCATTTAATTTAAGATTGTTTTAGCATAGATTTAAACAATAATTATTAACCCAAACTTTTTATGACGCAATATAAATGATTGTGTTGAAATCTAATCAATATTATAGCTTGTGTTTGCTATCAATACACTAAAAACAGGAAGACACGATAATCTTCCAATTGAGTTAAATTATTTTGATATGATATGATCTTATAGCTTATTCAAATCAATGCTAATATACTCATATTTTAAATACGAGGTCACAAAGCTGTTAAAAAAATGAACGTATATTTTTCTTTAAACAATGTCCTTAATTTTTTCAAAAGTATTTGGCTTTATTGATCATGATCGTTCTTACATATAACTTTTGCTTATTGGCTTAAAGAGAACTTGAAAAAGGTATCCTTACGGCTAATACTATGTATGTATCCGTCCTCACGTCTGCTCCTTGTCGGCACCGGAACTATTGTTGACACTCTTTCCGCCGGACAACATTTCCTGGATCTCGATTATCGTCTTGCCCTTGGTCTCCGGCACGAAGAACAGCGAGTAGAGGAAGGCGAGGACCGCGATCACGGTGAAGATCCAGAAGGTTGGTCCCGGCCCAATCGAATTCTTGAGGATCGGGAAGAGCAGTGTGACCATGAAGGCTGACAGCCAGTTGCTAGTGCCGGCAATCGATCCCGCAACACTCTTCACGTCCTCGGAGAAGAGCTCCGCCATCACCAGCCACGGCACCGGTCCGAATCCGATCGAGAAGAAGACGATGAAGATGCAGATGCTGCTGATGGGAAGCCACCCGAAGTCGTCCATCGAGCCCGGATTGCTCTCGCTTAGCTGGAAGTAGACGCCCATCAGGGCGGTGGTCACTGCCATCAGAATGCCGGAGATCAGGAGCAGGATCCGGCGGCCGGCCTTATCGACAATGGCCACGCCCACCAGTGTGCTGGTCACCTGGGCGAATCCAATGATGAGCGTGGAGTCGGTGCCAGTCAGACCAGAGCCTGTATCCTCGAAAATCGATGTGGAGTAGAAAAGGATGGCGTTGATACCCGTCCACTGTTGGAACACCTGCAACAGCACAGCGATCCCAAGACCCTTCAAAACGATAGGACGGCGGAGGGCGGACAAAATGTTGACCTGCAATTAAAAGACACAATATAACTTGTAAGTAATATATACATTTGCTTAACTTGTAACTGATTTCTGTTCCTTGTCTTTATCAAGTTAAGAACTGTATTGACAAAACTACTAATAATAAATAATGATAAGTAGTATCGCCAAAACATATACCTACTTGTACAAAGCGATTATGATAACCGGAAACTAGTTTTTATAAAAGGAAATCAAAAGGGCAAAACAGTAATTAATCGAAGCTATTTTTTTCATATTTTACCAATAAGTTAAGATCATTTGGATGTTAAGTAAGTAAAATAAATTGTAAAATTTAAACAGGAGTTTTGCCTGTTTTTAAATAAATTTTATCATAGTGAGTTTTCCTCTTCATATCTGAATGTCAAATTCAGGCTGTTTTATATTAGAAGATCTGCTTCAATTTGAAATTGAATTACAAAACATATTAATATACTTTGCAGCCTTCTTGACTGTGCATTCTTTATGGCTATGTAGTATTTACGAACCTTTGGCATATCAATCTGCTTCTGGGACTCCTCCATGATCTCCTTGAGCTCATCATCGATATTGGCGTTCTTGCCTCGCAGCCACTGCAAAGACTTGGCGGCATCCTCATTGCGCCCCTTCATGGCCAAGTAAACGGGGGACTCCGGCATGAAGAAGTGGATGGTGGCGAAGATCAGCGGCAGGATGGCGCACAGGATGTTGATAGTGAGCAGGGGCAGAAAGGCTCCCACCAGATACCCGTAGAACACGCCCGACACGATCAGCAGCTGAAAGAAGGCGCCGATGGTGCCTCTCAAGGCGGTTTGACAAATCTCGGTACAGTACATGGGAGCAGTCACACAAAAGGCTCCCCCGCACATGCCCAGGATGAATCTGCCGAAGTACAGCATGGTCACGTTGTTGGCGAACAACATGAGCACCCACCCAACCATATAGGGCGGGATTAGGGCCAACATGGTGGGTCTCCTGCCGATCCAGTCGATGGCAAACCCGATGGGAATGCAGATTACGGTGGCACCCAGGGTCAGCAGCGAGGACACCCAGCTGAACTGACTCGAACTGATCTCAAATCCATAGTCAAAGCTCTCGGTGATCTTCTTCTCCACGGGCGAGGACCAACCGATGGAGGCCCCCATGCAGAGGGCTCCGAAGCTGGCCGACAAGCCCGCAATATATTGCGGCAATACTGATCCCTTGGACATTATGATGTTCTACTACAAGTTGCTCCCTCCTCGATCGCTGGGAATGAACTGAATTCGCCACGCGACCGTTATTCCGCTGGAAAAATCGCTTTCCATGCGATAACGGAAGCAGCGACGTCGACCGAGAACTCAAGCACTGCAAGTCATAGTAGTAAATCAGTTCCCTATAGTTTCCTCCACGCCAGGTGATAGATCATATAGATGATAGGAGGAGGCAGAGGCAGAGACGGAGGCAGAGGCGGAGGCAGAGGCGGAGGCGGAGACGGAGGCAGAGGCGGAGGTGACAGCGTCATTGAAAGCGCCCAAAATCAGTTGAAAGCCGAAGCAGCTAATTAAGAGCCCGCCTCCGTTAACAACACATGTCGTTATAAGAGCAATCAACAATTCTCCGTTTATGCCCTGCAGCGAAGTATGCCCACTAGCCCTACGAACTGGGTTTGAATTTTTGTGGCTCGAAGTGGTCTAGGGAGTCCCCTTGAGCAATAATAACTTTCCAGTAACAGCTTCATCATCTTTAATTTGTGGGAATGGCTACTGAAACATAAAATACCCTATTCCTTCCTAATTTCTCTAGAGGTTTGTTATGTTTGAGATAGCTATTACCACCTTCGGATTTATTATAAAAATAGTTCTTAAAACGCACTAAAAAGCAGATAAACAAGAAGGTATATGGATAAGTACTGAATATAAATCTGCATATGAAAAAGTAAACACATTGATGAATAACTTAATTGAATCAAGTTATCAAAACCATGCTAGCATGATTTATTTTATAATTGTTTTGTACGTACAGAAAAATATTAAAAGTATTAATTTATTGAAATTTGTTCAACCATTATCTATCAATTCTCCACAAGGTGCAAAAAGCTGAGTTGAAGTGACAAAAATTATTGTGACCGTTACAGCGCTTCATCTGCATTACATTTAAATGGGTATGATAAATACTATAACTAATCCAAAACAATTCAAAATTTTAAAGGAAAAATATTGATTGTTCACAGCGTGGTTTTACTTTCTAGAGATTTAAGATCCCAAATGATACGATTTTTTACTTCCAATATCTGATAAACAATGTTGACGCTTACAATCTAGCCTCAGCATTCTTATAAATCGATTTAATGGGAACTCGATCCAGCGAAAAAATTAGGCAATTCCTTCTTCAAAAACCTTATCAAATTAACCAATATTTTTAATCTTAAGCTAAAAAATATCTTATCTCCAATAGGAATTTTAACAAGCCAAATACATCATGAACAAATCTCATCCCATTAAGAGTACCCTATCTTCGGCGTGATTAGGGCATAAGTTTCCGGTATTTTTTTATTTACGGCACAATTGGATCTGCACTGTCGTGTGAAAAGCAGATAATAACAGAGGCAGACTCTACGAAATAATTGAATGAGCGTAAATCGCCCGGGGTGCATCTAATCTCAGCCCTCGAGCAACATCGCATCGCATCACGCCCAAAACACATGTAGAGAAATCAATCCGGATTGAACCCCAAAGTGTGACAAAATCGGTGAATACCTGTATACCTGTACGATCACTGCCAAGTCGCACGGTCACCTGGCGGTCAAGCGGCGCTATCGGCTATCAGCGAGCCGCGTATTGATGGCCCCCGGAATCGGGGACTCCTTTGAAAGGGGGATGGGGGATTGTCCAGATAAGCGATTACCGGGTGATAGTATTTGGCAGAATAACCCATTTTCAAGTAGCCCACTCTCCTTGTGGGTCTGCTCATGTAATGGCCTTATCGTGGAGGCCCACACCGAGTGCTCTTGGCCTGCAATGCAATTGTTTTTGAAAGATAATGCACATGGGACTCCGGGGAATGAATGTCGAGTATCCCCTGGAGCCTCATCATAGTTATTTCCTGATGATTTACAGTCGTAAACACTTATCGAATCCTCGATTTCGAGTGCTGTTTGGTTTAATACAAGTCTTTATTACGTTGTTACAGAGCAGTTAGTCATCCATCCAGCCGGAGCATCGGTTGTTTGTTTGCCTCCGATTATATAACGGGGGATTAGCTGGATTGATGGAAATGAATCCCCTACTTCTTGCCATCCGCCTCCTGCATGGCGCGCATCATTTTGGCGTCGTGCTGAGCGTGGTGCTCCCTTATGGCCCGCTGCAGTTCTTCATGGTGGCTTTTGCTCTCCGGTGGATAGAGTTCCCGCTTTTTCTTGGTCACCCACTCCTCGAAATATTCCGGCTGATTGAAAAGGTGGAACAACGTCACCGGAAAGGCCATGTACATGCCCATCTTGGCCACTTCCAGCACCCAGGTTCCCATGGCGTTGGTTTTAGTCACTTCTGGTGCTTGAAAGTCGAAATAAAAATTAATTTACGCCTAGTAATTTGTTTTCCTTAAAACTGTCAACAAAAAGCAGCTGTTTAACAGTGTTGCCCAGCGTTTGAGATTAAGTATGATCTGTGTTGGATAACTTTACTTATGTTTTGGGACATATGTCCGAAAAACGTCCGATAAACGGGTAAATTTTAAATTTCAAATCATTAATTTAAGTTATTTTTTATTATAAAATGCCAAGATTGTGAATTAATAAATGAAATAATAATATACATAAACCAATATTATATGTAAATCTGTCTATTAATTTCTTGAAATGTATTTTTTATTCTTTAGCAAAAACATTTTATTAATGGTTAAATAACAAACCCTCCTTTTACCTCAACGTTGCACAATACATTATTTATTTTTCAACGATTCCACAATACTATCGCTAGCACTTGAAAAAAATATTATTTAACTACTTTTATCAGCAGCCCCCACATAGTCTCTAACGCTTTATCACCTTTAATCCTTCCAATAAAACACCTTGTACTTTGCGATTATATATATTTATATATGTATTTTATAAGTTTTCGGGGCATGCATTTATAATGTAAGATCTTAGGCTAAACTTTTAGAACTCGGCCAAGTTAAAACGAGAGAACTTGTCATACTGAAAATATTTTTTCACGGAAGCAATCTTTTTCTTTAACATTTTGATGAGAGATGATTTTTAAAACCGTACAACGGTTTTAACGTTATATTATGAAAATACCTAGGTGTGCGATTAGTTCGATTTAAAGCTAAAGGGCGGTTTCGCCAGGATACTCCTCGGGAGAAGTAATAAGGAGTTTTTTGGTGCGCGAGTGCTCCTCCTGGAGATTCTCTACGTTCTCCTTGTTATCGGCATCATGGTCGGAAATAAGAGCAGACTTTAGGGGCGTGCCCGCCGATCGCTTTCGCCCATTGCTGTTGCCAAAGGGCGAGGCTAAGGTAGGCTCATTTCCATCCAAACAGTAGAGCAGACTGGGACTTAGATCGGACTCGTCCAAGTCATCGATGTCCTGCGTGGTGCTTGCTCCGCCAAAATCATCAGAGCGACTGGCAAAGGACAAGTCCGCCGGACTGGCTGTGAGCACGCTGCGAGTTAACAAATATTCCCTGGGGATTAACCAATTGGAATGTAAGAACCATTTCCCCACAATTCCCCGCATCGCTACTCACTTGAAATCACTGGATAGGGCATTCGAGGGCTTGGAGTCTTCGTTGCTGGTGCTGCTGCTTGTCGTCCGCTGTCTGGAGTTTAAGAGGGCAAAGCTCTGCTGGTGCCTCAGAATCTCCGCATAGCCTCCCAGTGAAGTGGCATCTTCGCTGTGCAGCGTTGGCGGCTCCCGCTGTTTGGTGGGTGTGCCGCCGATTGAATCCTGCTCCTCTTGCTCGGCAAAGCTCAGGTTTAGCTGCTTGTCGCCATTGCCGCCCAAGGCGTTCAGCAGCATCACGGGTTTCCGAGAGCGGGGAGTCATAATAGATTCCTAAAACGGTGAATGAAAAAGTTATGATTATAAGAAGGCGTGGTTAATTTAGTTCAACAGGGAGATACCGCTAAATTCACATTAGAAATATATTTTTGTAGGGCAAAATGGACAAGTGTTGATTACGGTTTTGTGTTATCTTGTAAACAGTAAATGCAAGCGGCTAATGGGACTTTTTCGTACCTGCATCGCCTTGGGCATGCGTTGAGTGGACTTGGTTATGGGCGACATGGAACGCCGGCCCATGTGCAGAGCTGGTGTACTCGTGATGAGATCCATATTGCGGTACACGCTGCTCTGCAGAATCTGCCGATAGTCCAGACTCATTGCGGGCAGTTCGTTTGAACTGCCATTGTTCTCCGACAGCGTATCATCATCATTCTCCTCCCTATCCTCATGATGCTCCTCCTCTTCATCGCTGTCATCCACATCCTCCAAAAGCGGAGCATCCGCTGCCAACGGGCAGTGTTTGCCTTCTTCGCCACTGGGACGCCTCCTCAGGGTGGCCGAAACACTCCGCACCAGCCGTTTGGTCGTCTCCGGTGTGCTGAACGGGAATCTAAGATTACCCATGCTGACGCCCTTCATCAACTTGCGGGTTATGGACCTGCCCATGTGGCTGCTGCTTGCCGTCATGGTGCTGCGGCCCTCTACAATGGGCGTGAGTGCGCCGTCGTCCTCTTCCTCCGGGTCCACCTGGGGCAGGATACTCGAAAGATTAGGCTCCGATCTGTAGCGCGACGATTGCTGAACTGGCGTGGAAGGATTCGAGTACTCCTCGATCTCCAGCAGGCGCTGCTCATCCCAGGCCACGCTCTTCTTATCGATGAGCTGCTTGGCAACTGCTGACATGATCTTTAAAGGCGTCACACAGCAATCGGCATCGATCTCGTCCAGGTCCTGTCCGGGAGCAGCAGCCCCCGCGCCCAAAGGTGACTCCTTAGACTGCTGCCGACTCACTGGAGCAGAGATGCTACCGCTGGCCGCACAGCTGGAGCTACTGTCCGAGGATGAGGACTCGATCTTAAGGGAGGCGGATGAGATGGATTTCTGAAGCTTGTGCCGTGGGTTAGTTGCCAGGGTAACGCTGGTGATGGTCGATGAGGTGGGAGTGGGTGGCGTGGGACTCTGGAAGAGCACCCGCATCTTGGGCAGTTTAACATGCGACATGTTGGGCGTCTGGCGATGATCATGCGATAGATGAGAAGGCATGCGGTTAGTCAACAGACACATAAGTAGGCATATCCCAAAATCACGACTTACCTCTGGCCCTCCTGCCAAATGAAAAGTGGGTGGCACTCTCTTTGGGGTACGCGACATGAGGCTCTTGTGGAAAATGTGCTTCTTAATAGAATCGCCCAGAGACTTGGCACTCCGAGTGGCCTCATTGTTCTTCAGACGATTCATTACCACCAGCTGCAACGGTGTGCCTGATCAAATGAGATTACAAATAATTTAGATAAAACAAGTTGCAACGATTAACTTTTCAAAATCATTCTTTTAAAGGATAAATTAATTGATAATTGTAGTCCATTAAAAAATAACTATTGATATCAGTAAGCTTATGTTGCAATTAGTTTGTATGGTTTGAAAAGTATATCGTATAAGTTTGGGCAATGGTTTCTTAAGTTTAAATATTTTAAATACTTCGGCCAACTAACTATTTTGTAATAACTGGCAGACGAATTCAAATCATATGGTTTGAAAGCCCTCCTCTAAATATAAATAAATTTACCCTGCCCGTTTTGCTTGTTAAACTGCTTGATCAGTCGACGCTTCTTTGAAGACTCCGGCATGCTCTGGATGTGGGCATAAAGCTGTGCCAGCTCGGTGTCCGTGTTGTTCGTATTTGTGGCCGCTGCAGTGGCGGCGCGATCTACAAAAGTGTACACCGTGTTGACCGTCGAGACGTCCGAGATGGACTCGTCGAGAGTTTGTTCCGGCGACATGGTTTTCTTTCGTTTGCGCTCAAGAAAGTACGCCCGGATATCGGTGGACAGCTTTCCCGGCACCTCGAAGATGTCTAGTCCGCGGACTATCATGTAGGTCACGATGCTGGCCATCTTCTTCGCCTGGTAGTGGAGCACCTCGGGCGGTAGTTGCCTGGGACAGATCAAATGGGGCGTGAACAAAGTGGCCAAGTTCTCGGCGCTCATCTTATTACTCCTTTCGTTCTGAGCCACGGCATGGAGCATTTCGATGATGTGCTGAAGGAGTTCGCGATGTTCCTCAGGCAGGAGAAGGAGCAGCAGCTGCACTGAGTTGAGCAGGTGCTGCTGACGCTCGGCGGTAGACATGGCCTGACCATTGAGTGCCTGGCAGAGCGGGGCTATCTGTAGATGGGCTGGATAGTGAGCATCTGTGAGGAGGGGTTCGGGCAGCTCGGATAGGAAACCCTTGAAAACGGTGGCGCAGTCGTGAGCCGAGAAGCCGGCGAGCTCCAAATTCAGTGGCTTGTCGTGCTGGATGTGCATCCTAAGTTCATTTTGTCGAGAAACGGCTCCGGCTTTGCGGAAGAGCCCCTCCTGGGTGAGATCTGCAGGGGTATATTAATTAATAATTATCTTAATGGTTTAATTTTTATACCAACTTTTTTCTAGCATGAGAAACTCCTTGAGCTCTTGCAGATGCATCAGAAATCCTGGGTCAATTTGCTGCTGCAGGGTTTCCGTGGGACTGTTACCCACGGATTTGCTACCTGAGGCGGAAGCACAGGATGTGCTTGCTGCTCCATGACCCAGACGGTGCTTCTTGGACAGGCGGTTCCACTTCTTCAGCTTGCCCTTGTCCTCGTAGACGATCTCGTGGCAAGGAAGGTCAAATCTATGGATGGGGACTATTAGATATGTCCAATAAAGCAAGGATATCCTTCTTACTCATCCGTATTCAGGTCCAGTTCAAAGGAAAGGTGCATGCGCACCAAAGATTTGTACTTTTCATAATTGCAACGGCGCATGCGCGAGGCCAGATCGCGATCCTTGAAATCATTGATATTCGCATGGTCCGTGTCCATTGTGGTTTCCTTGTAATTTGATTGCGGTTCTGTTGAAGTTATCGAGTAAACACTGTATGTATCCACGAGCAACCACAACAACGACTGCCAGCGAATACAGCAACAAAACAACAACAACGTAGGGAAGGACAATGACAAGTTCGTTCCGTAAACCCGAAGGCTACTCCTTTCACTTGCGTCCGCAATGATTTTCTGTCTAGAAATGTATTGCCTTCGAAGGTTTGTTGCCCGAGCACATAATTCCGCATATATCACATTTATCGCGTACTTTAACTGAAAATTATTGAAAATTGAAACGAGACGCTACCGAACCAGTGTGACCGCGGACAGAGCGCCAAATTATGGCCTTCTTTTGGACCGAAATGCATGCGCTGATCTGGTAGCACTCTAGTTTAATTGATTTAATCTTTTTTGTCCGCTTAGGGGCATATATTTCCTTTATTTACAAGATTTAAAAGTTAAGAAATATATTTTTCACCTTTAGAACACCTGTGACAGTGATTTGACTTTCAATGGTGGAAAATTTGGCTGAGCGTTGCCAGAGTCCTGACGTCTTAAGTTTGAAATAACTTAATACAATTTTAAAGGAAATGCCTTCCTATCTATAAATTTAAAATCACCTATTTATTTATTATTATATTTTATTATTATAACTATTTTGAGTTCTTCATTTTTTTGCAGCACTGCCAAACTTTTTAAGGCAGACATAAAAACGTTTTCCAACCCTACATTGCACACTTTTTTTGCAAACTGTATTGTTTGATCGCGTTTTTATCAATTTGTGTATTAAAATGGTGCTCATAATGCGCATTTCTCCACCAGAACATGGCTTGCTTTACACGGCAAACAATATCAAGTTAAAGCTTGGCGAAAAAGTGGTGGGCGAGGGCACAATCTACATTGCCCAAAAGTGAGTGAACCAAAAGCTTATGCCGGCGTCTGCAGTTGTTGTTTTCTAACAAACCAAACAATAATCGAAAATAACTAACATTTTACCATCCTAGTACGCTATCCTGGCAGCCCAGCGATCTAGCCGAGGGAATATCCATCGAGTGGAAGCAGGTGAGCCTGCACGGGATCTCTTCCAATCCGAGGAAGTGCATCTACTTCATGCTAGACCACAAGGTGGAGTGGAATGGAGTCTACGGGGATCCGCCTCAGCCGGCGGTGAATGGCCAGAATGGCGGAGGACAAGAGGCCGAGGTGGACGAAGGCAACGGAAGCGATGAGCACGAGGAGGACGACAACTTCGAAGACGCCGTAGACGAGCAGTTTGAGGAGGTCACAGAGTGCTGGCTCCTACCGGACGACATTCATACGGTGGACACCATGTACAGCGCCATGACTACATGCCAGGCACTGCATCCGGATTCGGCGGACAGCGAATCGGAGGACAGCGATCCCATGCAAGATGCCGGCGGCCTAGAAGAGGAGGATGACGCCATGGAGGAGGATGACGCCCTAACGCTGGGACGCAATGGCGGTATGCAAAATCTCAGCCTGAACTCCGACGACGAGCGGTTCGAGGACGCCGACGAGTAAGCATCACCTATTTATATTCCGATATCCCTTTTTTACCAGCATAAGTGTATGAATTGTAAAGATACAAATGTATTTAAATAGCTTTTGGAGTACTAATAATAAACGCTGTAAGCGCGCCTAAGAATTATGCGTGTTCCTTGGTGTTCTCTTTGTTTCGTGCTATTTCTGCTTCTAGATCCTGCTCGCTAATGTGTTGTGTGAGCTGTGGATTAAATAAGAGTCATTTTGAAACCTTTATGGGATAAATAGTCTTACAGCCTGGCCCACATCCGCCATGAGGAGCGCCTGTCGGTAGGCATCGCCGTTGGAGGGTACTTTATCGTAATTCCAGTATGTAAACTCCTCGAAAACTCCCGTGAGCCGCAGCTGTCTGTCGATTGATTTGTTTATGGACTTCTCCGTTTCCTGGAGAACTAATCCTCGATATTGTTCTGGCACTTTGAGCTGCTCCCCCACCAAAGGATATCCGCGCAAGGAGTTTGTCAATATTCCATTACCACATTCGGTTGCTTCCCTTGTGTAGTTGTTAAAGTATTGCTCCACATTTGCCTCGCCATCGCCGTCTATTTTGGCTGGCAGATAATGGAGATCCATTGTCTTGCTTTTGGCTAGATTCTTGCCATTAAAATCCAGAACAATCGACATTGCTTTATTAATTATTGAAAAATATAAAAGTAAACAGAAACGCCGCCAAAATGTGTGGTAAAGTGTTGAACAACGTTGCAGACCCTTTTTGTGGTGCGAGGCACAGCTGATTGCCTATCGATCATACACAATGCCAACAAACATCGATTGGCGTTGAATTTGTTATAAATTTTTTAATCAATTGGCATTCACAGCTAAAATATCGTAATTATGACCGATTTTTGACTAATAATCATGATGTAACCTCTTATAAATTCTGAGAAATTTTAAAATGTCATACCTCGTTGAATTCGATTTAAAAATTTCCAATCGAGTGGCATTCAAAGCTAAAAATCATGAACTATCCCTCTGCGAAAAATGCCAAAATCGGTTTTTGTGATCACAACCTTGTAATATAATGGTCAAATGTTGGATGTCATCTGTCGTTCAAATCGTTATAAAATTTCCAATCGAGTGCCATTCACAGCAAAAATTGTATTTGTGTGGTAAAATGCCTAAATCCGGAGATCCGGAAAAATTAACTTTTTATTTCGGTTTTTTGAACAAAACCCTGGAAAATAATAATCAAATGTTGGAATGTTGTTAAAAAATGTTCAATCGAGTGGCATCCCCAGCTAAAAAATTTAATTTGAGTCGATTTTTTCCCAAAAAAAAATAATAAGCTTACCCCTAGTGAAAACTGCAAAAATCCTGGGATCCGGAAAAAACACACTTTTATTTCGGTTTTTTTTTTATCAAAACCCTGGGAAATAATGGTCGTTGGTTGGAATGTCATACCCCGTAGAATTCGTTATAAAATTTGCAATCGAGTAGCATTCACAGCTATAAAATTTAATTTGAGTCCATTTTTCGCAAAAATTAATGAGCTAACCCCTTATGAAAAATGCCAAAATCCGGAGATCCGAAAACATTAACCTTCATTTCTGTTTTTTGATCCAAACCCTGGGAAATGTTGTCAGATTTTGGAATGTCATAACTCGTTGAATTCGTTATTAAATTTCCAATTGAGTGGCATTCACAGCTAAAAAATTTAATTTGCAAAAATAATTAATAATTATCAAAAATGCAAAAGCCGGAGATCCGGAAAAAACCCACTTTTTTTCAGTTTTTTGATCAAAACCCTGGGAAATAATTGTCAGATGTTGGAATGCCATACCTCGTTGAATTCGTTATAAAATTTCCAATCGGATGGCATTCACAAATTTCAAATCAGTCGATTTTTGGCAAATATTAGTGATGTAACCCCTTATCAAAAATGCCAAAATCCGGAGATCCGGAAAAACCCACTTTTATTTCACTTTTTTGATCAAAACCCTGGGAAATAATTGTCAAAAGTTGGAATGTCCTACCTCGTTGAGTTCGTTATAAAATATTTAATCGAGTGGCATTTCCAGCTAAAAAATTTAATTTGAATCGACTTTTTGCAAAAATTAATGAGCCCTTATGAAAAAAGCCAAAATCCGGAAAAAAACACACTTTTATATTAGATTTTTTTATCAAAACCCAAGAGAATATTGTTCAAATGGTGGAATGTTATACATCGTAAAATTCGTTATACAATTTCCAATGGCCTTCACTGCTAAATAAATTTCATATTGTCGATTTTTCATGATGAAATGCCGAAATCTGGATCCGGAAAAAATAACTTTTATTTCCTTTTTTTTACAAATAGGTTATAGCTTTTTTAGATCACGTAATAATCGATTGTTCCAGGCAAAATGTAATCGATAGTACTAAATTAACATCGATTTTGTTCCACCTCTGTACGTTCGTCCACCACTAATAAAAATGGCGTTCGAAGTTGTAGTTAAATTTTTAAGAGAATCCGTCGTAAATAGCGCGACAGAATAATTCGCGCATTATTAACCGATCCGTTCGTGGGCGTGCGTTGTCGATAGAGTTTTTGTCCAATTTCTAGTGAACTTGAGCAAACGAACTGTGCCTCTGTTGGTTATTATTGCAAATTCTAGTACCACACACACTGGCACACACGTTGTTGTAGCAAAAGAAATACGAGTGCGGGTAAATAGTGAGGCACCCATACTGGAGCAGCGACTAAATTAAAGTTAATTAAACGCCTAGTGGTATTTCATTTAATGCAATTTGTGAAATAATAGAGAGCGAGGGAGAGAGACAAATCGACACTCCCCTCCCGCTCTCACCTACAGCATGCGTGAGTGCCCCTGTGTGCGTGAGAGAGTGAGTGAGACATGTGCGTGTGAGGTGCAGCAGCAGCAAAAACAACAAAAGTAGCAGCAACAACAACTTCAGCAAAACAATTTCGGGTGAGTTTTTCGTGACTATTTTGCCTACCTGCAAGATTTCTTACCTATGTATATATGTACCTTCGGTTTTGGGCTGGGTTTTTGCACTTGGGTGGAAAATACACACATTATCTCTGCCAAACTTACTAATAATACCCATTTCTACTTCTTATCTTGAATTGTAGCTTGTAAAAAACTGAAAATCGGTGTTATTATTTGTACATATATCTATGTGCGTGTGAAATGACACACAGTAACAATCGCAAAAACTACAACAATTGCAACCGTCAAGGCTACCGCAACAGCAGCAACAACAACTGCAGTTACCTTCGGCAATGAAAATACCTCACACCGCCCTCACCTGCTCCTCCTCCTTCGTTTCCTCACCTTCCTCTTCTTCTCCTCCTTCTCCTTCTCATTTTTCGCGCTCCGTTCGCCACTTCAACAACAACAACAAACATGCCCGCGACGTATAAATAATCAATATAAAAAATAAACCCATTTATTTTTATACAAACCAAACAATATCAATTAAAAGTTGGAAATTATGAATAAATTGGATTACCCACGTCGCAATGGTACACATAAAGTTCGAATAACGAGTAAGTATGCCGGTATATCCATTCTAAATAAATCCATCTAACTCATGACATTTCTTACAGTACTGTGTGCTAGAAATTTGGCTCGCAAGGATTTATTTCGTAAGTATTTTTATAACAGATTTAAGAAACATGAACTGAATTAACATTTCTAAAAAGGGGGTATTTTATTGTTTGTCAAATGCTTAACTATGAACAAAATGTCAAATATTTAAAAGAAGTCAACCATATTCTGTAGTAAAAATAATGAAAATGTATTTAACTTATCGAGACTACGATAAAATGTAAGATTAATATAGCTTTCAATTCCCTTTCGTCTACTTTTGTGCAAAGAAAACAATTTGAATTTTAAACGTAAAGATATAAGATTTAAATGTGTAATATTGTTCACTATAATTTAAGGGCTTTTTCGCTTCCCTTAAATTCCCTGAATACGTTTGATATATTTTAAATTTGTTTAGCTGATTGGAGCTAATTACTTGACTCACTTTTAGTTAGTTAAAGAGAATTTCGAGCAGTTTTCCTGCTTCAAATTCAGCAAAGTTTTGTTTAATACCATCAATTTCGCACCTGTGTAGCCCTCAAATCAAAACCCACTTTTCGGTAAATTAAACTTTTGTTTTATTTGCGGCGCTTGTGGTGCTGCTGCTTCCTCGTCTTCGCATTTATCTATGCATATGAGTATCGCTAAATTTAGCACTTCCTTTTGTCTACTTTCATTTTTATACAAATTGCGGAAAAGGGGCGGGCCCATAAAGTCAAGTGGGTGAGTGTGAGTGGTGCCATATCTGAGCGCTTATTCCATATTTTGTTTAGATACAACAAAAATGATTATTACTAATTTGCTTTCATTGCGGCTCACTCGCCCGCCCACAAACACAATCGCACACGGCATAATTTTTCTTTCCCTGTATTTGTTATTTATTACTCGCATTATTCCACTTCTTGTCCATTTTTTACACTTGGCTGCACTTAAATCACGCGCCACGCATTGCCCAATGTGCTGTCCTAAAAAATACTAGCTGTGCGATATGTGATGTACTACATTAGCGAGATTCCAATAGGGCGATCTTTGGGGCTCCAAAAATGGGTCTGGGGCCGCTGGTGTCACTTCCATATCCACTGGCATATTAATGCTAATGTCTAATGTATCATTCCATAGTTCGTTGTAGAATATGGTATGGTTATTTCGATTTTCCTTTCTATAAAACACAAGTAGGTTTATTGATTATTTTTGATTAGATTCGAGGTATACACCGTGCACAGTCATCAGTGGGAAAATCCGAGCTGGGATATGTAGTTTTTTTGCGATGTTATAAATAGATAATTTAGGCCATAAATTATTGAATTATGAGTAATAAAAGGCTGCATAATAGGTTTTTCTTATATCTGCAAAAAAATCGGTGACATAGTAAGCTGGGAGGCTTCCTTTCATAAATAACGACAGAGTACACACTCAAAAGAGAATTCAGAGCTGCAGAGTACAGACAACAAAATGATATCTTTATTAGATCGTCGAGTTTTTGGTGTTTACAAGATGTCTTCGGTGCTAGTTAGGAGTGCCAGAGGGTTTTCGGAAACCAACAAACTTCAAGTTGCCATACAGTCTGATAAAACTGGAAATAGGAAGTTGATTAACATTTTCAGCAGCGATAAAATAAAAGATTTAAATATTAAAATACCATATAACACTGAAAGCACTATTCCACCGATAAAATGTGCTGCCCAAGCATCTCATATTGTGAGCCAAGGAAAACATATTAATGATGATGACGATTTACTGACTGCAGAGCAGCGAAGCATTAAGAGAGAAAACTTAAAAACTACACAAGTGGATTGCCCAAAATTTCCCACTGAGAAACCACCACCAACAACAAAATTTCCAATTAACGAAAATGCCGAAAAAGCACTGGAACCAGCCGACAAAATAAGACTTAAAGCCGAGTTATTAAAAAGGATAAAAGATATCGCTAGACGAAAGAAATCTCAACTCGAGGACAAAGTGGAAGGGCTAAGGGATGAATTTACGGATAAATTGGTTGGGATAAAAGAAGCATCAGCTGAATGTGTTGAAAATGTTGCTGAGAAACAAGTGAAGGAGAAAGAAAAGCCTTCTTTAATCCTCCAAGCCAAGGAGCCTTCACCGCCACCCAAAGGTGACTCTGGCCCACCGAAAAGTGGATCTCCTCCACCGAAGGGTGGTTCCCCTCCAGCGAAAGGAGGCCCTCCTCCACCGAAGGGTCCGCCGCCTGGAACCCCTCCACCACAGACGAAAACCACTTTTGGGCCACTTGCTGATGAAGATCGAATCTTTACCAACCTATATGGTCGTCACGATTGGCGTTTGAAGGCAGCAATGAAGCGAGGTGATTGGTACAAGACCAAGGAAATCATAGAAAAGGGCGACATGTGGATAGTGAACGAGATAAAGACCTCTGGGCTGCGAGGACGCGGTGGCGCCGGATTCCCGAGTGGACTTAAGTGGTCCTTCATGCACAAGCCGCCTGATGGCAGGCCCAAATTTCTGCTGGTTAACGCAGATGAAGGTGAGCCCGGTACTTGCAAAGATCGCGAGATAATGCGCCACGATCCGCACAAGTTGATCGAGGGATGTGTGATTGCTGGACGGGGAATGGGTGCCAACACCGGATTCATTTACATCCGCGGCGAGTTCTACAACGAGGCCTGCAATCTTCAGTATGCCATAATAGAAGCCTATAAGGCTGGTTACCTGGGGAAGAATGCCTGTGGCTCGGGCTTCGACTTCGATCTCTATGTGCAACGAGGTGCTGGTGCCTATGTTTGTGGAGAGGAGACTTCCCTGATTGAATCTCTTGAGGGCAAGGCGGGCAAGCCGAGGAATAAGCCTCCATTTCCGGCGGATATCGGTGTCTTTGGCTGTCCATCGACAGTGACCAATGTGGAAACTGTGGCTGTGGCTCCAACGATTTGCCGACGCGGTGGTAAGTGGTTCGCAAGCTTTGGACGTACTCGCAACTCCGGCACAAAGTTGTTTAACATCTCGGGACACGTTTGCAATCCCTGCACCTTCGAAGAGGAGATGTCCATGTCCACCAAGGAGCTGATAGAACGCCATGCTGGTGGAGTGATCGGTGGCTGGGACAATCTGCTGGCCATCATTCCGGGTGGCTCCTCAACCCCCTGTATTACCAAAGAAGATGCCGAGACCTCAATCCACGACTATGATGGCCTGATGAAAGTGCGTTCGTCCTTGGGAACCGGGGCCATGATTGTGATGAACAAGGATACGGATATTATCAAGGCCATTGCCCGCCTGGCGTCCTTCTACAAGCACGAGAGCTGCGGCCAGTGCACTCCCTGCCGCGAGGGCCTCCACTGGGTGAACATGATCATGCAGAGATTCGTCACTGGAAACGCCCAGATCGGTGAGATCGATATGCTGTGGGAGCTGACCAAGCAGATCGAGGGCCACACCATTTGTGCCCTGGGCGATGGTGCCGCCTGGCCGCCGCAAGGACTCATCCGTCACTTCCGTCCGCTCATCGAGGAGCGGATCAGGAAGCGGGAGGCCGATGAGCAAGCTGCAGCAGATGCCGTCGCCGCCGAGCGCTTCCCCTGTCAAACTGTGGCTCCTTGTCCAGAATAAAGCGTGCCGCCAGCAGTGACTACTCTTTTGTGCCCAATTCCTATGGCAGTGTGGCATGTGGCAGACGTCAAGCTCCGCTGACTGCCGGCTTCCGTCCAAGTGAAAGTGCAGCCAGTCGTTAACTTCCTCGCCTTGGCGACCGGGCCACGAAATTGTGCCACGTAGCGTTAAGCCATAGAGGGTTGAACATGTGGCCATGTTGCTGTGTCGCCCCAAAACCAGGCGTCTTGTCTGTCGTTCGCGAATCCGCGTGCTTCTTCATTCTTGATTCTCACTTTTCAGGCAGCTCAGCCGTGAAAAGAGTGAGGAATTGTGGCTTGTGGGCTACGCATTGAGAAAGAGTTATTCTAAAATTAACAAGAATCGGATGGCGTTCTATAGTAGCTTATCATCTTAGGGCGGCATCCAAAAAAACTTGATAATCAACACATTTCAAACATCCGCACTAGTTTTTTTTTTAGTTCACAAATCATTTTTACGAAATCACAAGTTCTTTACGATTACAGTCGACTCCAATACACCGATATTTTCATATTTTGTTTATAGAAATATTTATTTTTAAACCCAACACAAATCAAAATAATTTGTCATATATGTGTCTGCTGTGATATTAGTAATGATTTAAGATCGAATCCCTTCGGTGTACATTTAGTTATTTTCGTAGATTTGTACCATTTGTGCAATATAATGTGTTGAAACCGAATTCGTCTAAACAAATAACATCTAAAGGTTCTTTAAAGCTGCAATTTAGTTCTTTCTTTCAACTCGTACACACCTTTCTTCCATTTAGAGTGTTGTTCAGTTGTTCCGCTGTCTAGCTACCTTTCTCTTTTTCCCTGCTGTTCTTTGTGGGTTCTCTCTTGCATAAAATCAATCAACAGCTGCCTGGCGACGACAGCGAAGACGTCGCAATGTGGCCTACTCGAATTACCTGGCCACGTCAAACGGGTTGGTCGTATCCTCACCAGCTGATGAATAGCAACGTTCCTGCTCTTGGTTCGCTTGTGGCCCTAGCCATGACAACAGCAAAAGCCTTGAGATAACGATTCACGAATGGATATGAGCACAAATATGGAAGTGCGAAAAAACCTAGTTGCGATAAATAGCGGGTCGTGAGTCAGGGGCTGTCAGACCGGGTCTAGTCGAGTCTGGTACGCATAAATCATCGGCCCGGCTCGATATAGTTCTTAATTGCTTAATTCAGCCCGAATGCCGGGCGCTTAATTTGTCAAGATTCGAGGCATTATCGGTGGCCGGCTAAGACGATAAGCACAAGCGATGCGGCAGCGGGGGTTCCTATTTCTGTTCTGATAGCGGAGATTGGCAGATAGATTCCGTTCCTCCGCTGCTGTATGTGTGTTTCCATATCTCTATCTCTGACTAATGACACTTGACCGCATTCACGTTTGCTGCTGGCCGGGATGTAAACATTTTTATTGAAGCATTGTTCAGATTTAATTGACATTTCTTGCCCTTACACTAAAAACAAAAAGTGGAGTGGGCCTGTAAATGATTGTCAGTCGCGTTCTTAATATAGAAAAACTATTTCTACGTAATATGTGGGTCATCGGAAAAGTGGAAACCGTTTCAATAAAACGAAGAATTGTTTATAAAACACGTCGTTCTTGAAATTTAAATATTTTATTTATATTTAACTAGTGGCCCTATCCATAAGGATTAAAGGGCGGTGTGGTGGGAATCTGCGGCATTGATCCAGGCCTCGGGTTCCAGCCTCTGTGGCGTCTCTCGTCGAAGGGGAAGGGATCTCCTGCAGCCAGGGTTACGAAGAGGAACAGGGCCAGCAGCCCCAGTAGGTGAATCCACGTAGAAGACATTGTGCCGTTTTGCTAGTGATGATCTCTCAGGGAGTGGCTGTGCTTATATAGGCCTCATTTAAACGGGTGCTTCACAGACCCAAAGCGATAAGCTACATTCGAATAGGGAACTCACACTCGGGGGGAACTTATTTTCTGATATGTTTAGTCTGCCTCTGCGCTGTTGACCTCCTCCAGCGAAGAAAATATTATTGTCGGTGTTGGAGTTGGCGCTTCGGTGTATTTCTGAGGCACCTGCAAGCAGCCGGGCTTAATCTGCAAGCGTTGGGCGAAGCCAGGATGCCGATGGCTATATCCCACAGAACCCAAATAAAATTGAGGCAGTAACAGCAGCAGCAAAACCACAATAGACTTTATACGTTCCATGTTAGATTATAACTTTAAAATACATGTATATTGTAGTAAGTTTAAATAGGTCTAGAGCTTCCGTGTGAATTAATGGTTTTCAGATCATTTAACACTGCATGTAATTTACCAATTTTCTAATTCTCAAATTGTAATGATCGGTGACAATAACGACTGCATGTTTATGCAGAACAATAGTTTATTTGAATCCCAGGGGAATAGCTTTGTTCCTCATTAAAATTGAGCAGGAAAGATTTTATCGAACTCAAAGCCCCATTTTATTTAATTTCTAATTGCTAAATGTATTGCTAATTTTGCAGGTCTGCCCGATCCCTTTGCGAAGGTTCAGGTGGATGGAACTGGCCAGGTGTACTCGACGGAGATAAGCAAATCCTCCCTGGATCCAAAATGGAATGCACACTACGATTTGTTTCTGGGCATTGGCGATGCCATCACGATAACCGTGTGGAATCAGCGCAAGATACACAAGGGCAGTGGATTCCTGGGCTGTGTGAGGATACCCGCATTCAACATACAGAGCCTCAAAGGGGCCGGATGTAAGTGAATCTTTAATTAAACGACTTTGCAAGCGATTTTCAATAACCTTTCCGCTCTACAGTTCAACGCTTGGACCTGGGCAAACTGTCGCCGGATGACGATGAGCTCGTGCGCGGTCAGATTATCATATCGTTGCAATCGAAGGATGGACCAAGTAGTGGCAATCCCCTGGCCATTGTAGGCCCCAGTGGCGATGTGCGTGGTCCCTCGGAGGACGACTCTTCGGAGGATAGCTTGCCCGAGGGCTGGGAGGAACGTCGCACGGACAACGGACGCATTTACTATGTGAACCATGCGACCAAATCGACGCAGTGGGACAGGCCCAGGCATCCGGGAGGAAGCCAGACCACTTCACCGCAGCAACGCCACAACACCCACAACGGCAACAGCGGTGATCGACAGGCGCCGGCTGGACCAACGCGCTCCACGACCTGCACGAATCTGATGAATGGCGGCCATCGCAGTCGGGACCCGGCGGTGACCGCTTCAGACGAACGACGACACTCCACGGAGATTCTCTCCAGCGTCGGCAAAGAGAACACCAGCCCCACAACGCCTGTTTCGGCCACCACAACGCCTGGCAAGAAGACCGCCTCCTCAAACTCATCCTCGTCGGGAGGTCGAACTTTGGAGCAGCGTCCCATTAACGAACCGGCCACGCCCACCAGTAGCACAACATCGGCATCGGTTCGCCTGCACAGCAACGATAATCATGTGAAAACGCCAAAGCACCAAACGAATGGCCATGCTCCACCAGAGGCCACACCCACCTCGCCCACGGGTCAGCAGAACTATGTGAATGGGAATGCTCAGAATGGGAGTGGCAATGGAAGCGGAAGTGGCCAGGCGGCGCAGCCCCAAAGCGCAACTAACGGATGGACGCAGGAGGATGCCACAACTACGAATGCAGGTTCAACGACAACCACTCCACCCAGGCACAGCCAGAGTCCGCCAACCCCGAATACATCGCCACCAGCTTCTGTTACCGTCTCTGCCAATGGAAACGTGCACAGTCCGAATGCGAACAGCACCCCAGGTGGCGGCGGAGGCGGAAGCCGATCCTATACAGCGGCCACTCCCGGTCAGCGTTCCCAGCGTCGCAGTTCGCGGCAACAGGGTGAGGAGTCCTCTACGAGACGACGCTCATCGCGAGGAACTCGAAATGGCACCTCGGGCGGCGGAGGAGGAGGGTCTGGCCAGCGGTATGCGTCGGCCATTGCCGCTGCCAATCAGGCAGCTCGTCCGTTTCTGGATCTGCCGCCGGGCTATGAAATGCGGACCACGCAACAAGGACAGGTGTACTTCTATCACATACCCACGGGCGTGTCCACGTGGCACGATCCTCGGATACCCCGTGATTTCGACACCCAGCATCTGACGCTGGATGCGATCGGTCCTCTGCCAAGCGGCTGGGAACAGCGAAAGACGGCCTCGGGAAGGGTTTACTTTGTGGACCACAACAATCGAACCACACAATTCACGGATCCCCGACTAAGTGGCAGTATTTTGCAGATGATTCGACGGGGCGCAGTACCACCAGCCGCTGCAAATGCAGGCACCCCTGCTCCGCCAGCCGCCACTCCTGCCCCAGCCACTCCCTCAGCCACAGCAGCGGTGGCAGCCCAGACAACACCAGCGAACAACGCATCTACAACAACGACGACCACAACCACAACAAACCCGCCCCATCGCATTGTTCCGGATCTGCCGCAGGGATTGCTCGAGGGTGCCGACCTCCTGCCCAAGTACCGCCGCGACTTGGTGGGTAAGCTGCGAGCTCTGCGGACCGAGCTGCAAACGATGCAACCGCAATCCGGCCACTGCCGTTTGGAGGTGTCGCGCAACGAGATTTTCGAGGAGAGCTATAGACTGATTATGAAAATGCGGGCCAAGGACATGCGCAAGCGCCTGATGGTGAAATTCAAGGGCGAGGAGGGTCTGGACTACGGCGGTGTGGCGCGCGAGTGGCTGCACCTGCTCTCCCGGGAGATGCTGAACCCACAGTACGGCCTATTCCAATACAGTCGGGACGACCACTACACGCTGCAGATCAATCCGGACTCTGGAGTGAATCCCGATCACCTGTCCTATTTTCATTTCGTGGGTCGCACACTGGGCATTGCCGTGTTCCACGGGCACTGTCTGGATGGTGGGTTCACCACGCCCTTCTACAAGCAGTTGCTGAACAAACCGATTACGCTTGGTGATATTGAGGGCGTGGACCCGGAGCTGCATCGCAGCCTTACCTGGATGCTGTAAGTTTTGAATCTATATTATTATACCCTTGCAGAGGGTATTATAATTTTGGTCAAAAGTGTGCAACGCAGTGAAGGAGACTTCTCCGACCCTATAAAGTATATATATTCTTGATCAGGATCACCTCCTGAGTTGATATAGCCATGTCCGTCTGTCTGTCCGTCTGTCTGTTTCTACGCGAACTAGTCTCTCAGTTTTAAAGATATCGAATTCAAACTTTGCACACACCCTTCTTTCCTTTGCACGCAGTATATAAGTCGGAACGGCCGGGATCGGCCGACTATATCCTATAGCTGCCATATAACTGATTGATCGGAAATGCCATAACTCTGCTGTTTGTTAAGTTAGAAAGTTGGGACCTTCTATGGGTTTCATATTTGGCCAATCAATCCGACGTACCAAATTTCATAAGGATCGGCCGACTATATCCTATAGCTGCTATATAACTGATTGATCGGAAATGCCATAACTTTGGTGTTTGTGAAGTTAAATTACCAAATTTCATAGGGATCGGCCGACTATATCTTATAGCTGCCATATAACTGATTGATCGGAAATGCCATAACTTTGGTGTTTGTTAAGTTAGGAAGTTGGGACCTTCTATAAGTTTTATATTTGGCCAATCAATCCGACGTACCAAATTTCATAAGGATCGGCCGAATATATCCTATAGCTGCTATATAACTGAACGATTGGAAATGCCATAACTTTGGTGTTTTTAAAGTTAGGAAGCTGGGATTTTTTATGAGTATTAAGAATGCATCATATGAATAATTTTGGAGAATATAATTTGCAGAATATTCTGCAAGGGTATTTCAACTTCGGCTCCGCCCGAAGTTAGCTTTCCTTTCTTGTTTTTTGAACAGTTTGTTAATAATTATTGTATTTTAGGGAAAGCAACATTAGCGGCATCATCGAATCCACTTTCAGTGTGGAGAACAATAGCTTTGGCGCTCTGGTGGTGCACGAACTGAAGCCTGGAGGTGCCTCCATTCCTGTGACGGAGGAGAACAAACGGGAGTATGTCAAGCTCTATGTGAACTATCGTTTCATGCGCGGCATTGAACAGCAGTTTCTGGCTCTGCAAAAAGGTTTGTAGTTTGATTTAGCTTTATGTCAAGGAAATGCAATAATTTGGAATTATTTTTCAGGATTTTGTGAGCTTATACCGAGCCATCTCCTAAGACCGTTCGATGAACGCGAAGTGGAATTGGTCATTGGCGGCATCTCCAGCATTGATGTCAACGACTGGCGAAATAATACGAGACTGAAGCATTGTACGAACGAAACGACACAGGTGTTGTGGTTCTGGCAGGTGTGTAGTGCTATCCTTACTCTCAATTTGGGTTGATTTGATGTACCAATTGGGACCAGAATCGACCAAATTGTTGAAAGTAAATTTAAATGATTAATTCTGACAAACTTTGTTACCAGGTGGTCGAGTCTTATAGCTCTGAGATGCGAGCTCGCCTGCTGCAGTTTGTGACGGGATCGTCGCGAGTGCCGCTGCAGGGATTCCGAGCGTTGCAAGGATCCACAGGAGCGGTGGGACCACGACTCTTTACCATTCACCTGACTGCCGACGTGCCCACACAGAACCTGCCCAAGGCGCATACCTGCTTTAACCGGATCGATTTGCCGCCCTACGAGACGTACCAGCTGCTCTGCGACAAACTGACGCAGGCCGTTGAAGAGACCTGCGGCTTTGCCGTGGAGTAGGCACCAGCAGATGGAGTGACTCTGTGACCCTTCCCCAAACCACGCATATGCATATACATAGACACCTTCAAATATGAAACACACATTATAAAGAAGCATATATCAAGGCGATTTGAAATCAAAATTGTACTGACCCCGGTCAAGATGATAAGTTTTTATTTTTATTTGTTTGTTGATGAATTGCTACCGCAGCGCTGTTTAATCTGGTGTGCTGCACATTTTGCAGTTAAAAATTTAATTATTTAGCGAGTATGTACTGACTCATCGTATACATAGTTACCAAGTGCATATATATATGAATATATTCACTTTCACACCCCCAAACAGACATATACATATATATATATCTATCCTGGCCTTTGTTTGTTTACGTCGTGGCGCGTGTTATAAATTGTAGTTTAAAATATTACGAAACCAATTATACATACAATTATACAAGATTATACATATATCATAGTTGATAATTAGGCATAACAAAATTTTTAATTGTAGGCATTGGACCGGCAATTTTTCGTGCTTTGTTTAGTTTAGTACACTTTTTATGTTTATTAATTACATTTTGTACATTTATAAAAACCAATCGAACTCACTGCTAAGTTTTTAATTATTGTTTAAATCGTCCTTAATCACACGCCAACATCAACACGCTCATCGACTCACATTAGTTTGCATATTTTATAAGTATGTGAGCAAAATTATTGCCTACCCCAAAAAGATTTGAAAAATAAGAGAGCAAAACAAAACACTTGAAAAATTACTCAATTATTAAATTAGTTATTTTTTAATTCTTAAATAAACGCAAATTATTTAAATTACTTTTTGTGTTGATTTTGTTTTTATTCCTTGCCGCATCGCCAAAACCAAACTCTAAGGATCAAACTTTCATATACACGTACATCTTTAAAACATATTTACATCAGTTTGTAATGAAAACGAATTGGAAAAACTTTTAGGTGATATTAGTGAAAATTTTATCTGACTTTAATTAAAACGAACAATTGGTAGATATTTAAGAGCCCCAAACGACCCCATTCCCAAAACCCACCTTAACGCCCCGAAATGTAGTGCATATGTGAGATCTATTAATTTTTTATTAAGAACGAGGATTCAACCCTTGGGTCTAAGCAGATAGAAGTAATCCCCCAAAATACAACACAAATCGATCGTTAACTTTTTAGCTTTAGCGAGAATGACTAAGAATTCTAAGGCAGAAATCCTGCGCACATTGACAAGGACTTTGCTCCATTTACCAAAATGAATGAATAAATACATGAGCCTTACAACTAAGTTGTTTAATTAATCTGGTCAATTAAGGTTCGCTAAACTACCATAAGGCATTTAAATTATTCATAGGCAATTGTAAAATTAAAAAAAGATTTAAAAAAAAAGTTAGTGCCGAAACCCGGGATTGAACCGGGGACCTTTAGATCTTCAGTCTAACGCTCTCCCAACTGAGCTATTTCGGCAGTTGAGTCGGTGGCGGAAAATACGCTTTTTTACACCAGCCAAGAACAATGGTTTGAGTACTGGATTCGCATTTAGTGTTGGGAAGTGCAGGATGCTTTTAGCAAAGACACGGACCAAATTACGCGTTCGTACATTGCTGGTTTGAAGAATGTCTTTTTACACATTTCACACAACTGCCGAAATAGCTCAGTTGGGAGAGCGTTAGACTGAAGATCTAAAGGTCCCCGGTTCAATCCCGGGTTTCGGCAATAATATACTTTTTTATTTTTCAAACTAAAATAAAGGTTTATTTTTTATAAATTTTATAATTTTGGTCAACTGTCAGAGTACTAAAACTTCGACTTGTCCAAGTTAGCTTTCGTTACATTATATTTAAAACGAACTTTATAATTATTCTTTCTCGATTTTTTATTTAGGGCAGAAAAACACAAGACACGAAAGTAAATCCGTATATATAATTTATTTATTTATTTGCCTAGATTTAGACATCATTAGTATTATAGCAAGACGCCAGTACTTTAAATAATACAAAGTATATATTGTAGTGTTTCTAGTTTTACATACGACCTAGGATTAACTAAGAGTGCATGACTATTTATTTTCCGGGGCATGCCCCAAGGTTCTATTAAGAAGCATTTCCTTCATACGTATACGGAAGTGTAAGGCATCCAGATATAGCAGCTCCATTAAGTATACAAAAGTAGATAGCTAGCTTAGTTAAGCTACGGCTGGCTGTGGGTACTGAAAAGTGGGCGACTTTTGAGCCAAGCCAGCAGGCAGTACGATAAATTATATCAGCATTACAACTACGATTCGTTACGCTATTAAGTTACAACTCAAAATCGTTCGCAAGTTACTAAAGCTAGTGCACGGATGGTCCAGTCAAGGAGATCCCGCTCAAAAGTCGGGATCATAGTCGCGGGCGTAGCGCGTCCGACTCGCGTGGTTGTTGTAGCTGTACATCTGGTGGGCATCGGCGAAGGCATCCGGATACTGGTGTCCGTACGCCTGCTGGTGCTGCTGCGGCGCCTGGTGGTGGTGGCTGTGGCTGTGGCTGCTGTGGTTCCCATGGTGGAGCTGCGGCCTCTTCAGCGAGTCGCCCTTCTGGGAATAGGTCGGCTGCTGGTCGTAGAAGTAGTCCCCGCTGGTGTGCGGATGGCGGGTGGAGCGCCAGCTGTCGTAGATGTTGGAACTGTTGCTGCCGTGCATGGAGTTGGTGAAGCGCTGGAAGAACGCATTTCATTAGTAGGGATAAAGACGACTTATGCTATATAAATACCTTCGGCTTAATAGGTTGCTTGGTATCGTTCCACGGGTCGTCAATATTATAGAAGTCATCCACGCCATAGTTGTCCGCCCCGCCCATATGATTGACCTTCAGCTCATTTAGCATATCATTGGTCAAAGGAATGGGCGTTTTCTTGGCCCTCTTCTGGCGATTAAGCAGCTGGTAAAGAAAATGTGTTATACATTCTGTCAAAATTAAAGAAAATATTAGTTAATCTTACCACTGTGACTCCAAAAATGACGACAAACACCAGAGAACCCACTCCAATCACGATGACCACAATGGCCCACTGGGGAATTAGCAGATCCTCCTCAGCGAACTCAACATTTGTGTGAACATTTTTCGCGATGACTGCAGTTAAAAAGAGAAATTGTATTATCAAATGCTAAGGAGAACCAAGAACCAACCACCCAACTAACCACTAAAGTCCGTGGCCACCGGATCAATGATGTATTTGCCCATCTGATAGCTGGCCGTGACCAGCTGCTCCTCCTGCGGTCCCGACACACTGTCCGTCTCATTCTCCTGGGCATCCTTGTCGGGCAGAACAGGAGTCGCTGGCTTGGTGAGGGCATCGTGGAACAGCTGCCGGATCTCCAGAGTGTCCACATCCTCGGTGATGTTGGCCAGCTCCACATAGTAGTCGACTAGGACGCTGCCCTTGCTGAAGCTGTCGATGCGCACCTTCTTGTACCACTTGTTCAGTTGTGGAGCTCCGGAATAAACATCGTTCAGCTGTAAGTAGAAAGCAATGTTTTACAATAGGATTTAAACAAGGAGACAAGGGGAAAAATACCTGTGCTTCCAGCTCGTGGGCCAGGTTCTTCCACTCCAAGGTGTTGTGATCCAGGAGCTCGGGCTTCCAGGCCACACCATCGATGATCTTTATGGTGGCTGCCAGGTCGCAGTCGGCGGTGCAGTGTCCCGGTTTGGTGGGTCGCGGAGTGGTCGTCGTAGTGGTGCTCGTTGAAGTGGTGGTGGTGCTGGTGGTACTGCTGGTTCCGCTGGCGGTCAGGAGATCCTCAAAGTTAATGGTCTGGGCGTTCAGCTTGTCAATGGAAAGTGGCGTGGTGGGCGGTGTTGGCCAGCCGGTGAATTCGGTGGTGGCCCGTGTCGGTGGTCCCTTCTTGATCATCACCTGCAGGTTGGAGTTCGAGGACTCGGTAGGAGCACCCTCTGCAGAGGGATGTGGTGTTGTCAGGCGGTGGGAGCCCAGTCTCTTGTGGAAGCCCTTTGGGAACACCACCTTCAAGCCACTTCCTCCGGCACTTTCTGTCATCGCTGCTTCAGTGGTGCTGGAAGCCACCGCCTTCGGTTTACTCGTTGTTGTTGTCGTTGTTGTACTGGTGGTGGAGGCGGGATGCAGCTTTTTGGATTTGTAGCCAGGTGGCAGCAGGGAAGCTGGAATCTCATCGCTGTTATCGCTCTCAGTTTCATTTAGCTTGAATCCAGGCGGGAGCAGATCTTTCAAACTATCTATCTTGATGGGAGTCACACCCGGTGGCAGCTTGGGTTCCGCCTTCAACTCGGGAGCCTTGTAGCCAGGAGGCAACTGGAACGTACTCAGATCATCGAAAGGCACCGCCACAGGGAGATTTCTTGGAGTGGTCGACGGACTTGGCGTGGTGGTGTTCTCCTTCGGCTTGGCAGTACTGCTCAATTTGTAATCCTTGGGCAGCAGTGAAGCCAACTTTTCATCAAACTGTATCACGCTGAAGAGGCTCTCCAAGCCGGAGGAAGGATTAGGACTGCTCTCATCTGGTTTTTCGGTGGTGGTCGTCGTGGAGGTTGTCCTCGGTGGCTTGTAACCCTTGGGCAGTAGCCCCGCCTGAGCCACATCCTGCACGGTGACCTGACCACTCTTGAAGGATCGACTGATGGTCGAGTTGCGTCCTGGTTTTGGTTTCGATGCCTCAGCTGGTAGCGCTTCTGTTGTGGAAGTTGTGGTGGTGATCTTTCGATTTTTGTAGCTGGGCCTGGGCTTGAAGCCCACCGGGAGCAGAGTGGCCAGCTCGTCCATTTCTCCGTCATCGAAGTGCTGCACCTTCAACTTGCTGCCACTGCTGGTGGTTCTGGGAGCAGATGTGGTCCTGGGCTGGTACTTCCTGATGTGGGGCACGAATTTGCCGGGCCCCGTTCCCACGGTGGTGCTGGTGGCGGGTGTGGAGGAGTCCATCTGGCTGATTATGGGGTACTTGCCGGATAGAAGTCCACTCGAGAGCTCCGATTGCACACGGTCCAGTTTGTCGATGATGCTCTCCGTGGAGGCAGCCACTGGGGGCTGGATGGAGGAGCTGGCCGGAGGAACCTCCTCGCTGCCCTCCGATTGCTTCTGGGCCGGGGTCTGCTGCTGCTTGGAGTGCACCTTCCTCTCCAGCTCGGAGAGGGTCTGCTTGGTCTCCTCCTGCTCAATGGCTGGGAAGGGCAGGAACCTGGCCCCATTGATACTACGACTGGGTTGGATGGAGGCCACGACCACATAGTTCTCAGTGGCATTGGTTCCCTTCTCCTCTTCAAGTGTTATGGGTGTGGTGGTTTCCACTTTCAGATCAGCCTGCGAAGCCACCTCCTCCTCTTCAGCTATGGTATTGGAACTGGGAGTGACCGGAACGGGTAGGACTGTGGATCCATTGACCACACTCTTGGTGGTCACCACCGAGATGATTTCCCGATCGTCCTCGTGCTCGCTACTGGGTGTGGATGGCTTCGAGTCCTGACTCTCCACTTCGCTGGTTGAGTCCTCACTGCCTTCCTCATCTTCGTACTCGTAGTCCTCACCTTCGCCTTCATCATCATATTGGGATTCGGACTGCTCCTCCTGCTTGCTCACGCTTTTGATCTCCGAATTGGATGAACTGTGCTCCTCTGGCTTGGATGATGTTGTATCCTCCTGTTTGGATAAGTTCTCCTGCGCCTTTTCGATCTCGACTTCTTCCTGCTTGGAGGTGTTCTCCAGCGGCGGTTCAGTGGTCACAGCTTGTTCCTCCACTTGGAGATCCTCGGTGGATTGGTTCTCCTGTGGAATAATAGTGGTGGCCTCCTCGGCAATCTCCTCCTCATGAACTGGGGGCTCGGTGGTGACCTCAACCTCTGCGTTAGTGACTTCTGAGACATCAGTTTGGCTTTCTTCGGTGCTGCTGGTGCTGCTCTCATGACCAGTTTCCGAAATGGTCGTGGGTTCGGAGGTCTCTGCTGGTGAGGATGCCTCATTCTTGGCCACCGTCACTGGGGTGACGCTCTCCTCCTGGAGCGGTAACTTCTCTAGGCTGGAGGACTCCGAGTGCTCTTCGGTGCCCTCGTCAGACTCCTGCTCGTACTGCTCATCGCTGTTCTCCTGCTCCTCATCTTCTTGCTCCTCGTCCAGCGCCTCCTCCTCCTCCTCCTCCTCGGCGCTTTCGGTGGTGCTGGTGGTGCGGGCGGTGGGTCTGGCTGGTAACTTTAGCCTGGCTCCACTGTAGTCAAAAGGCCGTTTGCTGACCACACTCACTGGTTCGTTCACCTCGCGACTGATGAAGACTGGACGCCGGGGATTCGGAGACTTCCTGCCAAAACTGGGACGCTCCGAAGGCGTGTTTAGAGTGGTCGAGGTGGTGGTGGTGCTGGTGGGCTTCGCCCTGTTGCCTCCAAATCGATTGTACCGCTTGCTGCTCACCTCCGCACTGCCCGTGGTCGTGGTCGTGGTGGATGCAGTGGAGCTGCCAGGCTGATAGCGGTTCCGTGGCCGGAAGGGCGTGCCTGCCGGAGTGGCCGGGTTCTCAGGGAGGGCCGAGACCGGGGCCTGAGTTCGTGTCCTGGTGGGTGAGAATCCGCCATTGCCAAATGGTCGACTGCTGGTCACCGGACGCTTCTCGTTCTGCAAAGGGAGATGGGATATTAAAGGGGCGGATTAATGAGAGTATTGTTACGATTCAGAGTTCGGTTTTGGATTTACTATTTGGGTATTACTATATACTGCCAAGAAGCCACAGCTGCTGCACTCCGTTCACAGCCTCGACTGTCGTCATGGGAAACTGTTACAGTTTCGACATGGAACCGCAATCTCTGCGGTTCGTCTGCTGTCAATTGTCTTGCGTGCGAACTCTTCTCAACCGCCGTGCCATTCAAGTGATTCTCAAATTTGTCTAAAGCGTTTTGTGCAAATTTCCAGATGCTATAGCTAAGCCCCCATCCCCCGCCATCCGTTCATCCATAATTTATGCGCTCGTATTTATTTAATTTTTATGTGAAGGCAACCTCGCAACCGTCAAAGTTAGGAGATTCCCCTCAGCGGGTTGCCAAATCCGTTGCACGGTGAAAAAAGTATAGTTTTGCACCTGATTGATCAAGTTTTTAAATAACTTGGAACTTAATCGGTCTTAAAACATATTGGATCTGATATTTCAAAATATAATGTGTTAGTGCCTTTTAAAACTAAGATACAATTTATACCTTAACTGTACCGTTTAAATATCAAGCCGATTTCGAAAGTAAATTGTATAGTTTTAGATATATCTGTGGAAATATTAATATTTTTTCTACGTGGGTTAGTGGTAGAGATTGGAGATTGCCAATGGAAGGCAGGTGGAGAATGGCTCGAGAAGATGGATCTGTTAGCCACCGAGCATGATCTGAAAAGTAATGCCAACTAATGAGTTTCCAGCGCCCACTAGCAATTGTTATTATTGCCGATTAATCGTGAGCTGATTTGATATTTAAGCCGGCGTCAATCAAGGCAGCACTTTCGCTCGAATGGGCCAACAAATTGCTGCAATTAACTTGAGAAATTTATGTGGGCAAAACGAGCAAACGGAAAAGGAAAATAGAGCGAAACTCTTCCGCACTGACATTTCAATTATGAGTTCGAGCTTCGAAGTAAAATAAATATACATATGTAAATATTGGCAACTTAAAGAAAAGCACGCAAGTTATATACAAACACTTGCTACTCGAACTGTTTTAAAAATAAACAAAAATTGGCAAAGAGGGGCTGGTAATGCGAACATGATTTATGGACGAAGTTCGCTGGTTGGCCAAAACGTTGGGCAAATAACAATCAAAAATGTGGAGCATGAAATGCAATCGGGTGAAAGGTAAAGTATTTTGGCCACAATTCGATTTGGCCTTTTTCTGCGGTTTTGTGTGGCAAATGCTTTGTTTTTGTTGTTTTGCAAAAGTAAACAGCAAAAAGTTAAGTTCGCGTGGCTGTGAACTGGTTCTGAAGTTTGGCTACTTGAAGTGGTAATAAAAAAGAAACGCCGCAAAGCATTTACCGTTTGGAAGTCACGTAAGACTCCCAACTACCAACTTCCAACTACCAACTCCCCGACACCGAAAAAACTGATATTGGCCAAAATCAGAGCAGAGCCAATTGTTTTGTTAACTTGTTATGCAATCCCAAGCGAAATTGTTTTGCCTGAGTTCGAGTGCTTCTTGTTATGCCAATTGAGATTGGATTTCAGCTGCTTTTACTTTCTGCGATCTGCACTCTCCATCTCGATATACACAGCAAAAATGGGCTCGATAAGAAATCGTTAATATCAGATATATATTTTGATATGATATAAAATATATATATTTTGATATTATATAAAATATATATATTGATAAGATCCAAAAGATATTTGCACTTTGAAATGTAAATATTACTAAGAGGAGATTAATTCTATATATATAATTTGCATCCTAGGGAGTTAATAAATTATATGATTGTAGGTTTTTAATGTGTTTTTAGCTTGTTTAATATTATTTAAATGTTTGACACCTTGTCAAATTCAAATCCCTTGGGACAAAGGCTAGGTAAAACCATATCATAACAATTTTTCACTCTGTGTAGATATCCATTTCCTTACCCCATTTTCGCTGAAGTGGGCCAGAAACTGCGTCTGCTGGTGTGGCACATTGATGCGCTGCGTCTGCGGCTGGAATCCGCCACTCAGGCTGTTTCCCGATCCATTCCGTATCGCCTTGGAGCGTGTGAAGCCGTTGGTCAACGATGCGGACGTTCCACCAGATCCCGCTCCCGCTGCCGCTGGCCCCGCCCCCGCCGGCACTCCAAAGGGGCGTGGCGAGATATCGTAAAAGTCCGTCTGGCGATTGGGTTTCTGTGGCCAACGAGACGAAGGTATTTAATGGTGTTATGGCAAAGCAGGTTAATTAGTTTTACTTATTGTTTTCGGCGCATTTGTCAAAAAATATAAATGATCTGATAAATAATGGCTAAGGGCTTTAAGCGAAATGTGCCTATAATTAAAGGTATTTGGGAATATATGTACATCAACGTATTCAAGGATTTGGGTTATTGAACCTCTTTTTTGGCCATCATTAAAAGTTGGCACACATTAATCTTATCTTAAAGAATCTTCGCTCCTGGTTCTTGAACTTGTTAATGTTATATCTGAAAGTTTGAGCTACATTTTAAATACCGCAGTTTCTGTTTATTGATCTTTCCTAAAGGTCACTAATTAGGAAGCCTAAATTGAGGCAGAAAAGGTTTTAAACTGTTTACCTATTTAATTTAAGCGTTTTATTCAAGCAACCACAAACGAAAGCTTTTTAAAATCTTATTGTCGATTTAAAAAAAAGTACCACCTTCATTATCTACACCAAAATTGAATCATCTTCCAAATGGCTTAGTGAATCATTGTGAATCAGAAGTATTTTAATGGTTCAAGCCAGGTATTTACCAACCTGTTTAGTCACTGCTATAAGCAAATCATCATTCAAGGTTCTTTTTTAACAAAACCCAATCAGAAAGGTATCACAAATAGAGTTATTTCCCAAAGATAGTCATGTAAACTCTAAGTTATATTGACAACTTAAGTTAAGTCTAACATAAGAGTTTTCTAAGCTGACAAAATCGGACTTTGATCGGGGCTTTAAATTGATACCCCCGGATTCCGCTAAGTGACAGAACTCTCATAAGCAGGGTCTTAGGTTGACAAAGTCCATAATCCATAATCTAGGGCAACTTCAGGTGGGCAGGGGCACTTGAGTGTTCAGAAAAGATCGGACACAGACCCTTCTCAAGCGACTTCAACGTGTTGCAGACAATGCCACGCAGCTCTAGACGGATTGTTAAAGAAATCAACATCGAAAGCTGCAACCAAACAATGGAAATCGATTGAAAATATTTGATTGAAGTGTATCAAGGTCGTTCGAAACGATATCCAGCGACTCACTAATTATCCAGTCGCAGGCCGAAATCCAAATTGCCGCCGGTTTCGCCTCCAATCCAAGTACTTGTTTCCATCCATTATTATTGGTATTGTTTGGGCCGGATTGTCTGTTTGTTGGCTTTTTGAAAGTGTAGAGCATTGGCTCTAAAAGTTTTGCTCTGTTAAGCAAATTGCATACAAAACGCGAGTTTTGTTGCTAAAAGGTGCATTTCAATGCATTTATTTTTCCGCTTCTTGGCGGAGTACTGTTTACGCATCAGAAAATTTGCGTTTCCCTCTGCCACCGAACTTTTTCAATCTAGGGGCCCCAGATTTTCTCTCCCCCAGAGAAATGCGCCTTTGGTCGGCGGACTTACTCTGATTAACAGTCATTTCATGGGCGGCTCTACTAATGGCAACACATTCTCATTTCTACACCGGAAAAAGTTTGTATATACATTTTTGGATAGCTAATTTAATGGTTTTCTAGTTTAAATAATTCCATACTATTCTATACTAAAAATCAAAATTATTAAATCGTTATTGCATAAAGTTAATAAGGTTCCCTATACAAAAAGAAGAAAAGGATTGATTGAACCTAATCATCTAATATTGACCAGGTATTAAAACAGGCACTTACTACTTTTTCAATTTGCTCCTTACTTATAGAAACTTAATCATTTGTGTCTTTAATTACGAAAATAAATATTAGTTTAATCAGCACCACTCTGAATTAAATATGAATATATTTTTTCCAGTTAATTGTGGGGTTTGTGCTTGTGTGCCCTGATTTGCACTCAGATCAAAATTTCACTGCTCCATTGTCAACACTCCGACTGAGCTTTGTGTGTTAGTTGGTGAGTTGAGTGGCGGCGAAGAAAGCGATCGCCAGTCGGTGGGGAAATTAAAAACAAACGTTTCTAAGACATTTGTCAATATGGATAGCATAATGAAACTATGAAAGCCCCGCTCACGTCGGTGGAAAGCAGTTGTTAAGCCGCGGAAGGGGGTTATTGCACCGCCACTCGTCATTACGACGCACTTTCCCCTTAGACCAACACACTCGACTTGGCCAATCAGCCGCCATTCAAACAAATCACAATTTTCCATTATGTTTTATGATAAGTTGATGGAGGAAGGGGCAGTCACCGAAAGGATCTGTTCAGTAGCTCTGCTCCTTTATCCGCCTGGAGCTGTCTTCATTCATCATTTCGGGTTCTTGAGTGCTACCACATCTGGACTTGAGCCCGGTTAATTGAGTTTTTCCCTGGCTCATAAAGAAGTCAGTTCCTTTAGGACAAGAAGGTGGTTTGGTATACTCTACCCATCTAGAATAACCATGAAGTTGGGTAGATAAAGGTCATTCTCTCTAATAATATTTATAAAAATATAATCATAAAATATATTCGTATAAAATGCCATATAAATATTATATAATTTACCAAAACCAAATGATCACTTCTGTAGTTATACAACTCTTTGTATAGTACCCACTTTAAGGGCATAACAAAATCAGCAGCACAATGCGAGTAAGGTAGTGTTCGCAGTTCGTGGGTTGCAGCTTGGGATTGATGGTGCAGCAATCCCATCCGAAGACCCCTTGCTGTGGCCACCACCACCTCTTTCCCCCCTTTCCTGGCCATCCAATACTTTTCAATTAGGGCCAAAGCTGCAAGCTGCAGCCAAAGTGCGTGCTCATCGCATTTCAGACTGGCCGTAAACAATATGAATTTACACTTTTTTCAATTAAGAAACAGCCTGGCATCGCCACCCTCCACCACTTCGCGTGGCTTTGAATACCCAACCATTACTCACGCATATATTCGTTGATATGCAGAAGTCGATTCGGTTTGTTTGACTTTGGTCAAGTGAAAGTCCGAATCCGAATGGCTAGTTTGCAGTTCCCGCCAATCCGTTCACGCATATATTTTATATCTATAATTTGATTGTAGTTTTAATGTTGTGGGTTTATAATTTGTGATGTTATAGCGTGCGGCCCACGGATATTTTAACAGCAACTAAAAGTTTTTGACAGTCGCGTGCCATGAAAATAAGTTAAACATTGTAAACTTAAATACATCTCTATCGGAAAAAGAAAGGCTGAACCTTGAAGATCCCTAGACACAATATTGGATCCTGACTTATAAGTTTTTATTTTGGATTTAAAAGATATCTCTATCGCATTAACAACTAATTTAAAGTCCACGGTATGAAAACATAAATTAGGAATTAACTGTTTAGTTATGATTCCTTTAAAAACTGATTTATATTTCGTAATGTAACACAATTAACAGTACCAAACTTAAATAGAATATTTTATATAGAAATCTAGATAAAACCCTCCTGATTCGATATTGATATTCACATCCTGCCTTTCGTTTCATGCCATCATATCCCAAACAACAACACCAATGGCAATTTAAATTCCGGACTGCAATTTTGGCCAGCCAACTAAATCAAATTTCATGTGTGGCATGTGGAAATCCTTTTGCTTTTGCTTTTGCATTCGATTTGATTTCGTTTTTGGCGTTGATTGACTGGCGTGCCCAGAGCCCACAAAAACCCCAAAAAAAACCAACTTAATTGCCTAGAGCGGAGCTGCTCGAACGCCCCCTCGCCGAATAAGGAAATGTAATGGGGAAATAATTGAATTTGAATTTGGTGCAGGCGCAAGACTTACCGCAAACTGGGAACTACCGCCGAATGGAGCTCCGAATTGGGAAGTGGACGCCGCGGGCGATTGCTTGGCGTTTTCGTTGGCTATAAAGAGGAGCTGCTCCTGGTAGGAGCCCGGCGATGGAGCAAATCCGCCGGAACTGGCCCGGAATCCACTCAGCGACTGCGGCTGCTGGCGGGGAAAGGAACCGGACGATGGCACAAATCGATTTTGCGATGGGAAATAGTAGCTGGAAGTATCTGAAGGTCACAGAGTTATTAGTCAAAATGTGTAAATGTGTCAACAATCAATTAATTTGCTCATTTCAACGCCTCTGGCAGCGGTTAGCCATGAAACGCGCAGCCCCAAAACCCAAAAATCATTGCTCTTAATTGCGCGGAAAGTGTAATAAATAAATAAATAATGCCTTCGGCTGACAGATATTTAAAATGTTTTATTTTTTGGGTCACAAATTTGTCATAGCAGGCACAGTGGAGCTTAGAGTAATATATTTTGGCAAAAAGTATGGTATTTCTTTCTCCACAATAAAGCTACTGAATGTATTTAAAGCCTTGCAAAAATGTTAGTACCAATGATATATACCTCATTGTAATCAATGGAAATAAACAGTTTTATAACTTTGAACATGTAGTTAATAATAAACACATCTAAATAAACTTTATGAAAATAAGTAAGCAATAAGTAAGTAGTTATTATTAAGAAAACTCTGGTCCACTGTGCTTGTTTGTGAATGTGAAACAAGTAAATAATGGTATGTTTAACTTAAATTTCCTTCAGTTAACATTTAAGGGGATTTTTCTAAAAGATTACAGTTTAATAAACGAAAATCCTAAAGCTAAAGGGGGACCCCTCAAACAGTGTTACTTCGATTTCCCCATAAATATCCCATAATAATAGCTTATTATATTTTGAAGATCTCCAAGTAGTTAAGCTATAATACCCCATTAAATTGTTCAATTTTAAGACTTGTTTGTCCCATTTTTCATGTTTACTTTGCAACATCTTTGGCGGCTTATTTTTGCTCAATTCTGCTTTTTACTTGAGATTGTAAATGATTGGAAAACGAAAGTGTAGCAAAACTGCAGGCGGATATTAACATAATTGGGCATTGGCGAAATACTTCGTGTGGACTGAGTGGATAAAGGGGGGAATATTGGCAGAGGGGGGTAAGGTAGTCACCCAACTCGTAGCCAAAGTTGCATGCGTCACAATCCTGACTCTTTGACCCACAATGTCTTGCCTTAAAAAATAGCAAACAAGAAAATTCAGTTGAGCCACGCAAACGTAATTTTTTTCCTCCCGTGTGTCGACAGATTTTCGAGTCGCTAATTGAAAATTGAAATATCATATGGCCGCAGTTTTTCAAACGAAATCGCAGCCACAGCAGCGATTCATTGAAAATTTTATCAGACGAATTTATGCAAGAGCCCCGAGCTGGGAACTTTGGAGTGCGGGGACTACGCCCACATCGATTCGAGTCGAATTTATCTGGCACTCTTGGGCTTCACACCTTGTTTTTACCTGAAACGTTTTTAACTGCAAGTAATTGCCGTTTATTATCGCATCTAAGAACGCGACGAGGCGTCGCATGTCTCGCACATTTGCCGCGAGTTGTCGAAATGACTGACTGGAGATTAGTTTAGGGTTTGATTAATGGCCCAGGGATCTGTCAGAAGAAATATACCCGAAAATTTGTATGCCAAGGCAGTTGCAGCAGCGCGTTGAGTGTTTATTTAAGGCTGCTCACACACGCCCACTTCCGTTGTTGGCACTGAGTAAATAGTGTTAGGTGAAGTACTTCTACATGTTTTACTCAAAATTGATTGCGAATAGGTTAAAATTAATTGTCTACCAATCAATCAGATATTAGAGTGTTTCAAAAGGAGTTGACTTCTAATTTTAATATTGTTTAAAAATTAAGAAAAAAGGGTTTACACAAATATTATTGAGTAATGTCCAACATGGTAGATTCTTATTAGTCTTAATTTAATACTTAAAATATTTCAAAACTCATCTTTGGAACCCATTTTTTCCGTAACCTTTCTTATAATAATGTTAATTTAATTTACATATTTGTTTTATTAAAATATTGATTAAAAAGATAAAACAACAAAATATAGAATAGAATAGAAGTTGTTCTACATTTATTTTACTTTTACTTTACTTCTATATAGCACTGCTTGCTATTCTGCTTTGACCACTGCTTGTCATGGCGAGTCGGTTGAATTTTAGCTCTTATCATGTGGGAACGGTCGATGGTGCTGCGGTCTAAGTTGCCCTGATATTCTACATGGGATTTTTGGGGGAGAGCTCGAATCCCCACACCCGCAATATTTAAAAATATATTACATTTTTCCTTCTGCGCTTGGGCAAGAGAGGTTACCATTTCAAGCGTAACTCACTCTAATCCGCAAAAGGTAGATCAAATCGTTCATCCTCCTCTGCCGTTGACACTGCACTAGTGTTCCATATATCTAAGTGGGCATTGCAGTTCGAACGTGGGTGAATACACTTTGTTTTTGCTTTTCCGGAGGAGCACCTCATTAGCATTCAGTGGGCACTTGACCCAAAATCGAAAAACCATCAAATAAAATTCAAATACGCCGATTCCTCCATGTCGTGACACATTTGCCTATTTCTGGACAGAATTTTACGAGACGACGGCAACCTTCGGGCTCTTGTCGCATAAATAAGCCTATCGATCGCAATTGGAATTTATTGTAATTGTGGCTAGAGGATTCGATATGTGAGCAGAATTTATGATAATCAAAAAATCACTTTTCAGTCCAGATAGAAAAGAAAATTAGTAGTGGAGAAACATAAACTCGTATTATCTCATTCATTTAGAGGACAAAACACTTTTAGATAAACAAAATAGAAAACTAAAATTTAATGCAAAAATTACTTTAATAAAGTGTTTATAACTCCATCATCACAGTTTTAATAATGGTGCTTGTTTTTTTTGGCGATAGGGAACATATTTAGGCAATCTCTTTGAACGATTTTTCTCTCTTTTTTGGGGACTGGGCAACGGAGTGGGTCGCCGGGCTACCATCCTGGGGCGCATACTCCTCAAAGAGGGCACCACTAGTATGACTTTGCGCTTAAGCTTTCTTTTTTCGATGCTCTCGATCCCATCCTGCATTGGTTTATCCTTTGGGTTTTTCTTCAGTGCCAGTTCCCTGACCTTCCGCTCCTTTGCAATCTGCACTCTCATCATTATTTGGTACAGGAGTTTTTTTCGCGGTTCCATTTGCCGCCACGCCTTAAGTGCCTTTTTCAGGAGTTTCTTGCTGGAGTTCCTTTCAGGGTTTCTCCCTTCCCGTATCAGAAAGTCCCTGAAGAATAACTTGAAGGGAGTGTAGAGCACTCGTTTGTTGCCTAATGCCGAACTAGATTCCTTGGACTTGCTAATTTGGCTGCTTGTCGAGCTGTCCAAATTGTCTTCCAAGTCCATTTCGCTTCTTGCTGCCATGATGGCTTACTGGAAATTTTTCAACAATAATTCGAAATTCGTTTTTCTTTCTTCTGGCCTTTGTTCAAAGGTCTCTCGATGTGACAATCCCATTGAAAGTTGGGGCAGAGGCGACCACTACAATGGCCCCAAATCCGTTTCAACTTAGCCGCCCTGTCCACTGGTTCTAACTTAGCCAAGGTGGCTCTCAAACTGTCCTCTGCATTTGGCATTTGGCAAAACCAAATGGAAAATACAAAAAAGAAACAGAAACAGAAAAAAACAGGAAAATGGTCGAAACAATGGGGCCGCAAACGATCGAGGGGCGTTGTGTGGGCCAAGCGGTTCAATGCAATACCATTTTCAGCCGGCGATCGACGATCGGTAATCGGTGCCCAGTATCCAATACCCAGTATCCAATATCCAATACCCAGACTGGTCACGTCAAGTGCTATTCCCCCGGCACAGTGCTTTATGGTGGTGTTCTGCCTGAGATCGCTATTAAAAGTTTTATTTCTGAACAACAATTGGCTTGTTAAGACAGACTGTTATAAAAGTTTAAGGCGTTTTGACTTTATTCCAACTATTGCTACACTAAATCACTTTTACTTTATATATTTAAATTATTGTTGAAAAGAAAAATATGTAAAATAAAATAACATTTACAAGTTCTTTATCAACATGAAGAAATAGTTTGCTTTACATATTTAAATTATTTTTGAAAAGAAAAAATATTCTAAAATAAATTAACATTTACAAGTTCATTATGAACATGTCTTCATGTTTGTTTATTTTCAAAATATCATTTGATAGATGATGTTTTTACGAGTCGGTAAGAAAATCGATTATAAAATTGTTAAACATTTATTGCAGCAATAAATATTTTAAACATTTCAATAACAATGGTTAATTTTTAGCAATTCAACATGGTTTTGACTAGTCACTGGACCATTAATTAATTTATTTAATTGAAACCCCCCACCACTGTGGCTGATTGAACTCCTCTGCTTGACATTTACGTTTTCCAGCAAAGAATTTGAAATTTGCACGGCATTTTAGCTGCTGGTTTCGCCAATCTTTAGGTGAGTAGGCTATAAAGCTATGTACATACACATATCCATTGCTATTGGGGGCTGGAGAGCAGCCGGCTAATTATGCGAGTGACAATAGCCTGGGCATTTTCAGATTCATTATATCGCACTGGGCTGGGCTGGTGCAACAAATTGCGAAAATAAAAGCATGAAATCTTGCAGCGTCTTCTTCATTTGTATTTTTTTTCGGCTTTTTCATTCGCCCCGTTTTTTGTTTGTGCGAAATGTCAAGCCATGGCGCAAATACTTCACCAGAAGTGCAACAAAAGCGAGGCAAGTAACGAGAAACAGCAACAAATGACAGCAGAAACAAGTTGAACTTTACGTTTTTCTTAACTTTAATCAAGTTTCTTGGCTGGCCGCTCTCTGCGATGCACTCGCTATTGTTGTTTTTATTGTTAAAGCTGCTTCTTCGTTTTCCTTTTTTTTTTGTTTATATTGAAGGTCGTCAGCGTTGCCTGAAGTTTTGAATGAAGCCCAGCATTTTGAAAGTTTCAGTAAGTGTTGAACAACAGAATGGCAATACCGCATTATAATGGTAGTTCTAAAAATTACCCAATAAAATCCCACAATTTTATCATGCCTCCCATCGGGGGTAATCAAAGCCACAAATGAAGTCACTCCCACACCCATTTGCCAGATAGTTAAAACTATATTCGCCTAGGCCTAGGTAACCCCATAAATTCTCAGTTGCTTGGCCGAGCAGAACTCATTTCCTAGATCTGACATCATACATATTATATACCCGCACCCAGTTCAGTAAGCCCGATATTATTACTTCCATTATGCTTCTTTTTGTTTGACAAAATTTCATTTAATTTACTCACTTTTAATGGACTTCGGCAAACTGATCAGAACCAACTCGAAAGATAACATAGAAATAATCGTAAAAAACCAACAAAATTGAACATGGAAACTGGAAACGAGAACAATAAGCTTCCGACTCCGTTGGCGATAATATCAAAGACAAATAAACCTGAGAAATCTTTCAAGAAATGGACAGAGTTCTTTCTGCGGCAGTTCGCTAATTAGAAAATAATGCCCACAGCGCCAAGGTCAATTTGCGAGATAAAAGTGAGTCAGCCTAGAGATTATTAGCACTAATGGGTTAACATTTTTTTTTAGCATCTCCCACTCAAAGTGGACAGGTTTGTCGCTTGAGTCTTTTGTGCACTTGCCTGAGGTCATAGAATTCGCAAGTTTGTCGTCTAATTCTTTCCTTTAGATCACAGAATTTGCCAAGCTTACTGCTCTACGCCTCGGCTTACATCACTTAAGGCGTTTGCCCAACTCGCACACATTCCGATTCAGTTTTTAATTATATTTACTAATACTCCACTCGCAGTCGGTTAATTACATATGCAAACTTGTTACACAAAGTAAACCGAATGCGAGCAGTGAGCAGCGCAACTGCAAAAACCAAAACAAAGAAAACTGTTGCAAGGCGACTCGGCCAACAGCTCTCCAGCTGGCTGGCTTTTATTGTTGGCCAAACATTCGAGATTGGAGCACTAGGTGGCACCCACTGGACTGGCCAAATGTGTGGCAAGCGGCAGGCGGCAAGCAGCCAGCAGCAAGTAGCAAATGGCAGAATGCAAAACTTCAAATAGTTTGTCAGCAAATAAACAAATTTCACATCTACTCATTGTCGGGAAAATAGGAAAATATTTGTTGAGGTAGCCCCGATGTTTGCGGTTCGATAAGTGGCTAACAAACAAAACTGAGTGAGTAAATAGCAACTGTTTATAATTTATGAGGGAGTTAAAGTGATCTGTATAGTTGAAATAGAAGGAGATAATGGAAAAGGTGTTTTATTGGTGGTGATTTAAAACAATGGAGGCAATTTAAGCTACTCGTGGTAAGAACTTCCCAAAGTCGAAATGATTTTATTAATAAATACTTTTTAATTAATAAATAGAGAACGATAAATTAGTTTTTAAGCACCTACATTATCACGTACAAATCAAATAAATCAATATCATAATATAAAGTACCTCACTAAAAGCAACCATTGTACAAATTTATTAAGACAATTTCTTTTAACAGAGGTAAAACTAAGCTTACAAAAATTGTTTATAACTTAAAGATACATTTATTTCCACTGCTATATATAAACATATATATATAAGCAAACAGCGGTTGTTAATCATTACCACTAACATGACAGAACCCTTTAATTAAACACCTTCTAATGCAACCGCGAGTGGAGGAAGTGAGTCCGAGAAATGTCACTGGGGAATGTGGCTCCGGCGACGAAGGCCAGTCGGCAGTGGAAAAGAAAGAAATCAGGGGACAGCTCCACACCCCAGAAGTTGCAGTCAAGTGTCGGATGGTAATTGGCGATAGAACAGAACAACCCGCTCCACACCCCCGCCGAAGTACAGAAAGGCAAATGAAATACAATTAAGGCAGAAATAATTGCCGGGCCATAAACAGGTTCTGGCCGGGATTAGAATGTGGCTCTGTGGTGCTGGTGTTGCTGCTCGTTGTGCGGGTGTTGGCCAAGTTCCATTTGGAGTCGAGGGACAGGCGCATTCTAATGCCAATGTCCTTGGCTGGGGGTTGTGTGCACCAATGATTGATTGGAATTTTCGCTTTCGGTTGGCCAACAGCAGGCGGATATTGTTTATGTGGAGTCGGAAATTGGGCTCTCACAAAACATAAACACATAAATCAATTATGAAAACCAGAAAACGAACCAACGGGCCATTTAAACTGGTTTGCAAAACATTTCACAGTTTGCTTGATTTTTCCCTATTTGCTTTTTTTCTGCCGACTGGCCGGCTATTTGCATAAACAGTGCAACTTGTAGAGCAATTATACGCAGATTTTGGTCAATGGGCGAACAGGTTGCTTTCTGGTGAACGCAAAACTAAGGCACTAAACTGGGTCTCCAGAGCTCTTTAAAACGTTAGCAGGTGTCTGTGCCTATCTGGTCCCCATCTTGGATCACAATCGGGTTATATAAATTAAAAGCCCATTCCCCGCCTGCGCCACATTCCCACCCCTTCCGCCTGGGAACCGTGGGCTTCAAAATTCACGAGCAACTCGTCATCAAAATACCCGAAATTGAAAGTATTTTTAGGTGGAAACCGCATAAATTTGTAAACCATTTAGGCTAAACCTCCGATGCGCCGGCAGACAAGAAACACAGCAGCAACTACTGGGCGTGGCTGACCAAAAATAAAAACAAAATAAACCTTTACGTAATAACGCTCGCTGAGGTCAGTTTCGGGCGGTGAAATGAATGAATTGATGAACGAAAGGCCCCAAAACGAAAGTGAAATTTCCATCGCCCATCGATTTTACATTGGCTCCGCTTGATTTTCGTCTCATGATTTTGTAAATTAAATAATCATCGTCAATTTACATTTTTCCTTTTGTTCAGGCCTAAAGGGTAGGTCGCATTTTTAATAAATTGATTTAATGGACGTCTGTGCGGACAAGAAAAATTATTGAATTTTGAAATTGGAAACTAATGGGAGACTTTTGATTGGAGGAAAGCGTTAAGAGAAATATTTTCAAGGAAAGTGAAAATGTTTTACTTTTTTATTTATTTAAAATTTTAGGGAAATTCAAGTGATTCAAATATAATTTATTTATATTCAAGCATGCTCTTTTATTCATTAAATTTATAAAGATAATTTATAACATGGTTCACCTCTTTCTAAAAACACTATAATGAGGAATGCAAAGCAAACAATATTTATTTTGTGCCATGAGGTACGATTATAAATTATAGTAGTCTATCAAAAACAATTTTTTAGCTATGGTAACTTAAAACCCACCGCAGTATCCATGATTTGCGCATAAAAGGACAATGGAAATAAATGGCCGAGTTCGTGGCCCAATGAAAATGGCAAACGAACATGAAAAACTTCTTAGCTGGGAAATTCTTTAGCCGGTTTTCGTGTTGCCTTACCACTCCCGAATCGGCCAAAACAGAAAACTGGTTCAACTCCAGCTCAAAGTCTGGCCAAAAGCTAGTGCGGGTGGTACAACCCTCCCC